TTAATAACATGACTTCATTCCATTTTAAAAGGCTATCATCTAAGAAACATACTGATCTGTACACTCTCTTTTTTTTTTGCTCTGTTTCATTCTGCTTTTTTTTATATGACTGATAAAAAAATTTTGAAACAACTGTTTACATCTCTGTTCCTTCCTCTCAAACTTTGTCTTTGTAACTAACACATTTTACTAGCACTTGGCAAGTCTCTCTAATGTGCTGCCACCAATTAATCTATAGGAAAGAAATTTTATTTCTCTGTTGTTGCACTGAGGAAAATGCAGACACTTTTATGAAAAAGTTGCTTGATTTTCTAAAAGAGGTTCTTAAAGTTCTACTTCTAGTGTGACACCTTAAGAAGCAATTAACTCAGTTGGGAATACAGATCTGCTTGGCTTTCATTAGGTATGTGCTGGATGCTTTTGGAGATCCTTCCAAGCCTCCTTGTGAAGCCTTTTTTACCATCTATACAAAAGATCAGTTTTCTAAAAGTGATAAACACCCCACAAGACTCACTGGAAAAACAGGAAGCACCATTAATATCTAGAATTTATGAAAGTTATACCACTTGCATAGGATGAAACACTGAACATTAGTTTTGAAAATCTTTCTGGTGGGCTTTTGCTCCAAAGGATGGTTTCTGCACTCACTCAGTGACCATTGTAATTGCAGGAAAAGCAGGATAAGATACATAAGGATTTTAGAAAAAGAAGCTACAAGTTTCAGTGCCTGGTCCTACTCCTTCTGATATTTGCAGAGGGTTTTTTTCTGCAGTTTCTTGAGCAAATACCTCTTTCCTATTTCCATTCTCCACTGAGCACGCACTCAAGTCTGAAAGCCAGTCTGCCCTTCCAGATTTCATTACAACTCCATTTTTGTTGGAATTGTAAACCCAAGCACTATATGTGCCTGAAATAGCCTGTAAGCTCTTCAGGGCAAAAGGAAAAAAAAAAGGTCTTTCATATGTTTGTTTGGAACCAGGCATTTCACATGGTAAATGTTGCTACTATTCATAGCAATACTAATAAATGCACCATACAGCCCTTGACATCATTGGTGTTATTGGATAATCTGTGCTGATGCTTAGCATTTGCCTCACATAATCTTTCCTTTTATTATTTATGTATTATCAGATTTGCTGTCAAGATTCATACACATAGTTACGACAGCTTATCCTGCAAGATATGCTGTGATACGTGGCCACTGAAGGCAATACTAACCCTTTTAGTGTACATTCTATTTTTGCATCTCCTTTGGATGCCTGGGATATTTAAATTTTTTTAAAAAAGTAAAATTCCATGAAATGGGTGCAATAAGAGTCTGAAATTTATAACTGTACAGGCTCAGTGAAGCCAGTTAGGAAACAGAAGAATAACCAAAGCTGTGGTCACACAAAGTATAAGCTAGTTCTTTGGGAGCAAATCTGAACAAGTCTTGGAAAAATCAAGGAGATATCTGGCTTTTAAGTGGCTAAATTCAGCTCTGCTAATTTTTGACATTTTCTTTTGACCTGAATTGTTAATTCAATAAGCTTAACCTGAGATCTGGAAGGTGAACTGCTGTCTTTCTGGGGTTTGCCTCGTTATTCTTAATGACAGTCCTACACCTGGGAATTGTGTAAAAATCAAATGTACAGTTTCAGCCAGGCTCACAGCCCTGTGAAACTCTTCACTGTTAACACAGGTAAACACCAACAGATGATTCTGTAATGCAAGCCTTGGAATGACACACAGTAAACTTACTGCATTTGTATTTCAGCCCCTTTATTACAATGCTTCGAGGTAAACAGTGAATTTCTACTTCCTTGTTAAAAGATATTTGTAGCAGAAACAGCTGTCGATAAACTGCAAAATCAGCCAAGTCTTTACCAGTGTTGAGATTACCAGTCTCCAGGCAAGGCTGGTGATGACTGGAAGTGCACATCTGCTGGACTGTGGGACACGACAGCGTTTTAGAGAAGTTTGGCAAGTCACAGAATAGGAATAGACACCAACTGTAAACCTTCTTATGGTCTCAAAGAGAGACTGCAGCACTAACTCAGTGTGTGGATACAGCCACCTCCCCAAAGCCTTGGTTTTTCACTGGCAGACTTGGACTAATCATAGCATTTCCAAGGCTACTTGGTAGAGGTAAACATGCATGTCAATCCATATGTTTAAGGAAGCCCTTGGAGTTCATCCCTTGAACTTCATGTCCAGTTCTAGACTGCTGCTTCAATGCATTCTTCAGTAGCTACATGAATCTTTCCTGATGTAGTTAAAAAGTCTTATTTCTGACACTATGACAAACACACTAATATTCATTATTAAAATTTATGGTCAAGATTAAAGTAGAAGACTGTAAACGGAAGGATTAAAGGAGTATTTGGTAGTGAATACAGGAGGAACTACATAAATAATATTTAAATATCGTCTGCTATGATTTTATGCACAGCACAGGAAGGACTAGGCAGGAACAAATTAAAGAAATTAAGCTAAAAGGTTAAGATTTGGATTAAACTATTAATTAAACTTTTAATATTATTTTACAACATCCATTTATGACGCACTCTTTCTATCATCCTCTAAATGTCCTCCTTTTCTCATTCTTCATCACCCTTTCTGCCCTGACACTGAAACAATCCCTAGACACATCATCAAAGTAGACAGATGATTAGATTCTAGTTGGCAAGGAATTCAAATGAACTTCACACTTACAATTTTGGGATGCTGCCTGGATACACGATGGTACACAACTGTGGCTTACAAAGTAGCTTGGAGCCCTCAGTTAACATTAACAAGAACAGCATGTATGTAAGGGAACAGCAAGGACCAGAATAGATAACACCCAGTGTGTCCCAGTTGGGACAGAGATCTGCAATCACCTTGGCACCCCAGGCTCTGGGGGTGTACATACCACCCGTTCTGTGTACAAAGGAAGGATGTTGCTGAGCTGTGGGGCAAATTTCTTACTCCTTACTCATATAAAACCATCCAACAGTCCATCTCGAGAAATGCTAAAATCAAAATATGACTTGAGGTCTAAATTTCAGGCCACGGGCCAGTAACCAGTGTGGTTATCTCCCCCCTCAGAGCCAAACCCCCACCACTATCTGTCACTGATAGGGCTGCACTGGGCAAGCTGAGTCATTTTCTTCCATGTTAAGAACTCTCTGTTTTGTAGCTGCCCCTTAAATAACAGGAGGTTGTCAGGATTCTTCACACACACTATTTTTAAAGCAGAAGTGCAGGATCCAGCTCCCAATCCAGTTAACTTGCTCTTGTTCCAGTTAAATCCATTGCAAACATTCAGTTGAAGCCGGTAGGAACAGCAGTGGATCCACAGTGATGCACTCCAGGGCCCACCGGCTTGTTTGATTTACTCCATGGAAAACTCCTGTCTGTACAGCTCTGGCTAAATATTTAGTATACCTGTCTCAATTGAATCTTCCTAAATGTCAGCACATCCCATTGTTTTTCCAATATAAAGTCACTAGGAGACACATGCCAGGTTGAGCATGCCATTTACTCAAAATGAAACCCTTCATTATGCAACATTAACTTTGGCATTAGGTACCTTTTGCAGTTAATTATTTTGTAATGTTGATTTTAAACTGGGCTTCCTGTGTGTTTACTCTGAAAGCAAGATATAGTGCCTAACATATAATTTGTTTTCATTTCATTTTAATGCATTAAAATACACGTCAAATTTCAGAATTTTAAATCCTGTAGACCATAAGAATGTGTGAAGGACAGAATGCCTTATTATTAAAGATTATTAAAGAATGTGACTTTGAATAAGTGGATCAAAGAAACATATTAGACCACTGATATAATCCTCAAAGCACACTGCACCTTTCCTACTTTTCGTCCTGAAGGTTATGAACTGAGAACAATTTCAACTCATAAAATTATAAGTATTAAAGTAAGAGGCAATGGGAATTATTTTCTCAGAAATTCTATTTTTACTATGTGATCCAATTATTGTTATATTTGTTAAATTCTACAACATTCTGAGCAGAAATAAATATGCAGAAAATAATTTCTTCAGTGTTTAAGTTACTGTATTTTAAGGTTTAAGTTTTATCTATAGGTTAAGGACACTCAGTGAGAGTTCAGTCACTAAACAGTAACTTTGCTCAGTGCCACCACCATCCCAGTTTCCAGAACGCTACCAGGAAGATGACCAGTAGGAATTTTGACATTCAGCATTCTCTGTTTACAGTCCTGATTCATCAGCTCTTCCCCTGCTTATGCATTTGCATTTTCAAATTCCCCAGCATGTAACTAAAAACAAAGAAGGAATTTTTCCCAAGTAGTGAATCAAGTAATATTGTCCAGCAATTCAGTTTCCTCTTAGAGAGAATTAAAATATTTTAAATTAATCAATCGCTAGAAGCATATTGTAATTCTTTGTTAGGGCTCTCATTTTCCATACCTTGAGCTTTATTTTGAAAGTTAGTTTAAAAACAATTTCAAAGTGCCCTTTAATAGAGACTTTCTAATGCAAACTTTTCTTAAAAGGACAAAACATGCCCTGGATTACAAAAGCGAGCAGAATATAAAAGAATAATTGAAAACACAATGTTTACAAGCAATAAGAAACTGGTAGGCATGTTTAAAAGGGGTTCTCTCTCATCTATCCAATGAAGGACACAAAGTTTAACTGTAGGTTTGAGGTGGGAACCCTGGGGTCAGATGGGATTTTGCTCCCCGGTTCAGCAGAAGGCAGTTTTTACCAGTCTGCTGTTAATATGGTGTGTGGGACACCACAGATCTGACCTTGGGAACAGCTGAATGCCTTTCAACTGAAGGAAATTTGGAGCTTGAGGTTTGTGATGTTCCATACTCTCCTCCACAATTTTGGAAGAAGGATTAACGTCACTAACTCCCTGTGAAGCTGTGCTATGTGTTAGCTAAGTATGCACTAACATGTTGCTGGATTTCAGGTGCAATGGATGGAATATCAGGAATTTAAGGCAACAGAGGTTTGTATTTACCCACTGTGTTGCAGCCTCACCCACCTTAAACCTTGGGAAAAAGGTCAGCACGCCCAGAGATATCATGGTAGAGGAACTCTCAACACTCAGCAACAGAGGGGCCAGACTCTTCAAGAGACGCCAGCGGAGATCTGATAAATACACATATGAAAATTATCATTACGTAGCAAACAAGCCAAGAAATGTGAGTATTTTGTACTGACTTATTAATGAGACAACAGCCAGGCTAGCTTGGGTTCCCTTGGTGCCCGTGATACAAACATTGTGCACGATCTATTTGTAGTTTCAGGAAGAATAGAAGCAAAACCCTGTACTAGAAGAAGGCTATTTGTATTTTACTGAGATCCTACAGACTACTAAAAAAAAATAAATTTACATTTCTTTTTGTATGGTACAGATATTTCAAGACATTTCTCTGATCACTCAACAGAAGTTAAATTACAAAAGGATAAAGTGGGATCAAGTTTGAGCTTTGATAAATCTGTCTTTTTAAAAGAAATCTGCACAAGAGAAATTCCATATTAAAAAAATCTGAATAACTCAATTAAACACCCAAGGCTATTCTTAAACACTATTATTTAGAAGCCCATCTGAATACTGTCCCCCCAATTTCTGCCTCTATTGAGTATTAGAAGCTACACAGACAAATTCGGAGCACATCATCAATCTTGTCAGAATCCTCTGTGCACTTCCATGATTTTGCTGCAGTCTGACAGATCCGTTTCCCTCTAGTCCACTTTGTCCCACAAAAACACAGAGTACATGTGGTGTACACTGAGTATGACATTCCAATACATGAAAAAATGATGCCTCTGGCTCCTATTCCCTTCCCCTAAGTGTCTATTTAGCCACCACTGGTGGTGTCTTCACCATCGTTAGGATTCTGCCTGCCAAAGTTAATCTTTCTAACGTCCTTCAGGATGGCTGGAAAACATTCTGCCTTGATCTTTTTTTCGTTGTTGTTTCAAGTTTAAACAAGCATTATTTGTTTGCTTTCCTACTTCAAGAAACTCTTACTCTAAACCAGCCTATATTTAAATTGCTTTTAGCCTATGTGTCATAGCTAAAATAAGATACTGACTTCTTATGAGACTCTAATTCTATATTTAAGCAACAATGATTAAGCTTTCGGATGTTTCCTTAGAACCGATAACCCGATAGGAGGGTGGAAAATAACAGCATATCATGAGCCTCCAGAAAGTGACCTGCACTGAAATTGTTATTTCCATCACAAATAAAGGAAAAGACAATCCCAAACAAAAGCAGTTCAACAAATGCAGTGAGTTTTCAACTGATACGGGAAGAGACGCTTTGAAGAATCGGTGCTTTGAAACTCAAAGGGCTCAAACTTGCCAGATTTCTGGAACCTTTAGGGTAGCAAGAGTGGCACAGAACATTTTAATGTCAAATTAAAAGCCACAGGGGACACATTTCATGGGCCTCCCTGTCAAAATGACCAGAGCAACTCTCTGCTGTGAAGCACCCAGCCCATATGCCTGGGAGATTCTGTGATGACTGGTGTAAGCATCACATGGGATGAACACTCTTCATAGACTGCTTATCAATATTTAAATATCCCAAATATAGGAAAATGCTGGACAGCTCGGATGGACGGTTGTAATTTAGGAATCCTGTTGACCTAGCTCAGTGTGCCTTAGGACTGTATACCCTGGGAATCAGATCTGGGCTGTGCACTGGAGCATCATTCCAACCTCACCAGAGAATCCCAGTTTGTTTTGCCTGTAAGTGATATTTCTTTCCCTTTGAGTGCAGCGTGGGGAGCCCATCCCGAGCGTGAGAATGGATGGCCTCAGTGTGGAAGGAATTCCCCAGCACGCCCCAATGACACCTCCCAATACCCCCGATCCCCGGAGCCCACCACACCCTGACAACATTGCCCCAGGTAACGTGGCAGTTTACAGACACTGGACATGTTTAGTTCTCATTTCATAGCAGAGAAAGGACCTTTTGATAAAACAGAATTTGTTACCAGAAGTGGATAACTTTGAATCAGAAAACTAACCTGCATCTCTCACAGAAAGGTAAAGTGGTGCTCTTAGTTGCTTCTGCTCATTTATAAAAGATCTGACATATCCTTTGTACTACTTCTCCCTAAACTGAAAACATACCTTAATATCAAGAGAGACTGCTCCTATATTTATTGGTCCTATAAACATTGAGAAAGAGATCCTCAGATTTAAAACCACATTAATGTACTGAGTTTTCTTTGCCAAACCTTTGTTTCTAATACACAACACATTGCTCAACAGTCTGGAAGTTAGTCATTGTAGTTTAATTATCCATCAACGTAAATCTGAAGTCACTAAGTTTTGCTTTGGAGAGAAGTAACTGTAAAAGGGATTTGCCTCTGGCTGCATAAACTGTTCTTTTTTAAATCCTTAACTGTGGGGGTACTGTTGGCTTTATTTAAAGCAGTGAGTTACAAGAAGGCCTTATTTTGTATTCTTTAAAGAGCAGAGAAGGCTAATTTGTTTTAATTAATTTATTCAGTGATATAGCCCTTCTTCCTGTTTATGAATTATCCATGAGCAGCCCGTGGTTTTTACAAATTCATTCTTTGTTCAGAATTACTCAATGCATGTTTTGTGCAGACCTTTTCCAGTCCATGCAAACTGGGTCAGTGCTGCTCTGTCAGTGACTGCTGAGGCTCTGGGCATCCATTGGGCAAATACAATGCAAACAGAGATCATTTCCATTGCTTAGACATGATACAAATCTTCAGGCCTTTCTTTAGGCAAAAAAAGTCTGGCAAAAGGAGAAGTTATTAAACCACAGGGGTTTTTAAGCTTATAGAAGGAAATAAAGGTACTTTAAAGACTTAGATGTAGTGGGAGGGTAAAAGGGTAGAATAGATCTCCCTTTTATTTCAAATAAATATTGTACCTCACATAATTGGTCAGTCATTTGCTGGTCTTAATTCTTCAAACTGTACATTAGGTCTGTCTTCCCCCACAACTTATTCCTGCCCTATTGTACTTGGCTTTAGAAGAAATCACACTGAATATGGAATTTTTTTATTAGTAAAATTCTGGTCAAAGCCTGATCCTCAGATGATTATGCAGAGGGAACAACTGATTGTTCACTGTTTCAGATGATGAAAAGAACCAGAGAACCAAGTAGGGAGGATATTTTAAATCAAAGGGGAAAACTCCACTAATAATGACTGTCACCTAAAGACTGTAGAATTATCTTAGCTTAAATCAAAAGGCTGGTTTTAAAATCTTTTTGTTAATTCAGCTCAAGGACTGTGTAGCTACAATCTGTTTTCAAACAAATGCTTACAACAGAAACAAATTTTTATAAAACTCAAATAAAATTAGCTTCATATTTTGGAGCAGTTATCTAAAAGGCTACAAATTTCCCCTGCCATCTTCCTGTTTCTGTGTAGCTTCAGCCAAGTGACTTGACCTCACTGTTCATTTTTACCTGAGAAACGATGGTGTGTTAGTTCCTGGTTACACAGGATGGTGGTAAGGAAGCAGAAAACACCAAGTATTGTTGTAATGGTTTTGCCTTGATCCCATTGCAGGATATTCTGGACCACTGAAAGAAATTCCTCCTGAAAAGTTCAACACTACTGCTGTGCCCAAGTATTATCAGTCTCCCTGGATAGAAGCCATTAGGGATGATCCAGAGTTGCTGGAAGCTTTATATCCTAAACTTTTTACACCGGAAGCAAAGCCAGAACTGCCTGACTACAGGAGCTTTAACAGGTAATTCTGACTGCACATTGAATTTTACAGAGCAGAGAAAAATTACTATGAAATAAAATGTTTCCATCAGCTGTAAAAAAACACCTCCCACCTGTGTTGGCAAGTGTATGCATGAACATAAATACACACAGAGATTACGAGTGGCAAACAAGAGCATCAAGGAGGGAACTAGTCTATCTCTAAGGTGTGGGCCTGAAGTTAGGTTGCAGAACTAGGAATATATGATAAATTGTTAAAAATACTGAAAGAAAGTATCAGAATCAGTGTACTCACCAGATGGGAAATATGGGCTTCAAACTCCTTTCAGTATTTCTGTTGTTGAGTTCAGTAGGTACAGGACTGTAAGTGCTATCAGAGAAACAAACTCTCAGTCAAAACTTTGTTTCTGAGCTGTATAATGCAAACCACTCTTTTTTTATTATTCTTTTATAATACAACTCAGGTAACTTTTTTAAGGCAATGATAGTACAATGAACTTTAACCTGCAACCAATCCCTCACACCAAATAGTTTGCAGATTACACATTTTATTGCATTTAACAGGTTTGGTGTCTTTGACAACCTTCAGTGACAAATTACCATAAAACACTGCTTTACTTTTTAGCAACTAGTATATTAAGGCTTTCAGTAGGACTTCTAGATATATGGACAACACTGGGATTTTAAAGTTTTAAAACAAAATCTTATTTATGTAGTTTAGTTTCTTTCATTCCATTGACACTATTTGTATTTATTGAGGTTATGGACAAATTTTCTCTAAACAACCCCCGCTGAGTCCCAGACAGCTGAGCCAAACCAAAACCCTTCCTCAAAACTCCAGACAGCAATCTATTGAAAAGGAAAATGGCTGATGGCAATACAAACTCAGAGAAAAGCCCCACAAACATCACTTGTGTTCCTGCTGTTGATGTGAGTCTCCATCATGAGTGCAAGGACTAAAACATTACACAATTCACCATCAAAACTGGCACTGCAGACACTGCACTAATTGTGGTTTCCTAACAGCAACATACATTGCCATGTTAATAATTAAGTCTGTGTGGCACACTCTTCTCAGCACACAAAGTGGCAAACACGAGTCACTGAGCTGTGCCCCAGCTGCTAACACTGGAACAGTAAAAGCACAGTTTATGGACTATAGTTATTGTAACTGAAATAAAATTTAAACGAAACAACAAACAGCCCGTGAAAAAATGCCAAAGACACATATACAGGGAGACAGAGTCAATTCTCCCTCTCACAAGAGAGATGCTACTCATTACTGGGAAGGACAGGATCAGACAGGGCACAGAGACTCCATTAACAGGGATATGTGTTTTGAGATGGTGTCTGATGGCTTCTTTGTGGATTTTTAGCTGTCTCTGTGGTCCCATGTTCTGTTAGTTGTCCTCTTTACAACACTGACTGTTTGGATTTCTTTCTATGGGGATTTTCTCTATGTATGACACGGCAGAACTGTGGCTCACCACAGTCTGAATTTCTTGAACATATGTGCAATCCTATAAGGGAAAGGTCAATATTATCCCTTGTAACTGCCATAAAAACCTGGCACATAAATCCAAATCCAAACTGTGAAATTGGTAAATACAGAACACAAACATGTAAACATAATCCACCACAACTCTCCTTCTCCTGGAAGAAAAACTGACATCCAGAAGAAAATAAAAGGATGCCTGGTGGACCTAAAAAGCTGTTACATAGAACATGTTCAGATTTATGTTGTCTAGCAAGAAGGAGCAGATCCAAAAAGAAACTGAGAATTTGCAAAATTGAAATTCAAGATAATCGCCTCTTGGAGAGGATTTTACAGCCATGATTCAGGGTCTACACTCCTAAAAATGCACAGGAGAGTGCCTGATTATGGGATTCAAAACAGAGCACACTGGATGCCCAGCAAACCAAGAGAAATGGACTTCTCTGTCCAGATCCTCAGACATCCTGTGCATCTAGGTCACAGCATCCTTGACTTCTTTAATTGCAGTGTTGGAGAGAAAGCCAATGATACTGTATTAAGCAATTATAGAGTGATATAATAGCACCACTGTGTTATCAGTGAGGGGATCTCTCCAGGCTTTCTATCCTGCTTCATCACTCAGTGAAGTGCCATTATGTTTGTTGTGCAAAGCGCTGGCACAGTCATCATTAGTCAGGAGGGGGTGTGGTTAACAGTAAGTGTGATGCACAGGATTCCCAAGGGAAACGGGCCTGAGATCCCTCCCGGATCATTCAGTGGCGCCTGTTAAAATGGCACTGGGACTTTACAGGCCAGTTCAGGTTCCTTTCAGCTTTCCTCGTTACACAACAAACCGTAAAAGCAACGCAACTTTAGCAGCAAGGGAGGTCTGATGTGTTGGAACAGATGCACACATGCATGGATTAAAAGAACGGAGATTAATTCCTATTAGGATTGAAGAAGTATTTGCTAGTGAAAAGATTTCTTGTCTCTTCCCAGCGTGGAAGCACCTAGTAAACATCTGTGGGAAAGCAGCATGAATCTACATTTGTTGAGGAGTTTATAAAATTAGTTAAATTAGTACCTTTATTCCATCTGCTTTCTTGGAGCTGGATAAAATGTCAGAGGTAGGATTATGAGTAACATACAGAGCACTACATCTTACTCACATAGGACAAGCAAGTCTGACTAGTTCTGCCTCTCCTACCAGATAAATTCTCGCTCAGCTTTCTCAATTCCCAAAGACAACTCCTTCAAAAACACTACAGGAATCCAGTCCATCTGGACTCGGCTCTGTTTTTCTTGATTCACCGATTCTGAACTCCATTATAAAAATGCTGGGATGAGAATCTCACAGGAATTTTGGGTGCTAACTTGAAGTGGTGTGAGATTAGTGGAAGCTGGGTGCTTAGCCAGTTCCTTAGCACCTACAAACCTCTGTGAAATCAGCATTAGCTCTTGCACTAAGCTCCCAGGAGGCCCTGAGCATTTTGCAGGGTCAGGTTCTTTGCTCCCACGTCTCCTTCTTGCACGGAATTAACAATAAACAGAATGTTTTATGTTCCCACTTAAAAACCTGAAACTCACCTTTTTTGTAATTTTGTAATTGGAGACACCAATCTAACACAGTAAAGCATTTCATCAAGCTTTCCCAAATAATCAACTACAAGTAGGCTTTTATGTTGAGAAAATAAAATGTTCAGTAAGAAAGACCAAAGAAGAAAAAAAAGAAGTCCTGCTAAAACAACAGCTAAAAATAAACATGATTGTGCCTGCTATTGTTAAATCCTGCACCTACTTTTTAGGAATATGCAAAGTGAATATTAAACAATCTGGTACACTTCCTGGTGCCATTTCCTATGGCTCTGAACCAGAATTTCCGCCCTTATTATGAGCAATGACTCCTGGAATTTTTTAGCCATGAGATCTAGGCTTCTGTACGATGAATCAGAGCTCAAGTGGTACAGCTGATGAGCACACAACAGAGGTCATTGCAACACCATGTTGTCAGACAAGTTATTGCTCACAAAAATATACCTACTGCTGCTGTAAAGGAAAATTAACATCTATTAGCCAATTACTGTACTCTCCTTTATGTCAATCATATGTGTCTCTGCCTATAATGCAGGAATGCACAGTTCTCTGAGGCCAGACCTTGGACAGGAACTACATGCAGGTGTTTTGCCACAGAAGATATCTGAATTTCCATAAAACACCCTCCTGTTTCTGTTGCTTACAGAAACATGCTGTATTTAAAACTCAAAAGTACTACAGGGAGGACGTTTCTGACTATAGAATCGTTTTGCATTTTATACAGCTATTATTATTTTGTTTATTTTGATTATCCCTTTAATACGCCTATCAATGAGAATTAAATATCACAACAATGAGAATGTGTATGGTAATTAGGGCAGCAATTAAAACAATCTTTATTATCCAGTAAGATGCATATCACTCCATTCACTCTGTGCCAATTACCAAGCAATTATTTTAATCAGTATCATACAGTACCCATTTGACATTGTGACCTAGAAGACAGTTTCACAAGAAAATCTTGATACCACAAGCCCTTTGTACAAACCATATCCTTTGACCTCAAGAGAATTTAATGTCTGGACTAGCAGCCTCTGCTGCAACATCTTGTCTTATCCTCACTTGAGAAACATTTTTAGAGCTTACTCCAAAGCAGAGTTCTTCTCTCAGTGAGTGTGCATGCCCAGAACTTTCGTGATTTTTTTATATCTCACAGGATTGATGCTTTGGAGTTAACACCAGCCCCTTCAACAAATGCTGCTCATACCAAAATTCAGTGAATTATCCATGTAATGACAGAGCAGTGCCATTTCCTTTGTGTCACAGATTCATTTTTATGAACTAATCTCTTATTTTTGCGTGTGTCCCAGTCAGATCTTCAAACGATCTGTTCGTTTCTCTTGGTATTAATTTCTCTGGAATTCTGCTATAATACCTGGAGCCACTGGAAATATATTCCAGCAGATCTGTTGTTTTGTACCACACACAAAATCCACTAAGGCTGGTGAAGATGCATTTCAACAAAAATTCACTTTCCCATGCCACTGACTGTTTGGCTTTGCAGAAATCAGGTGCAGCTTAAAAATCTGACACTCTTAACTGGCCAGAATATATCCCAGCAAAGTCATGCAGCTGATCAAAATGCAGAGCACATATGTTTGCTTATACAAAAGAGGCTGGAAAAAGTGACAGAAAAACTCAAGTGGTTTTTTTTTCAGCCTGAAACCTGCATATATAGAATAATCATAGGAGGTTTTTGGAAATACTGTTTTAAAAGATTTGCAAATGCACATAACAGTCAGCTCCAGCTTAGTATTCCTTATCTTTCAGTTTTTCAGGCTTATTGCCTGAGGGAACATTCACATTTAAATAACATGAAAAATGCTGGCCAAACAGTGTTTTAGGGCTTAGTTACATAAGCATTCTCTTCAGAAACAAAGCTGGTGTATCAAGTCCTCACCCATTCCCCTCCTTTCCAGAGCCTGTTGTCTTTGGCTGTCCCTTTCTGCTTCCCATTACACTCCACTGCCTCCTCACTTATATTGCTACAATTGTTTCAGCATAATGAGATGAACCAGATTGCCGAAATAATTTGGATTTTGAAGCGCTCCTTTGTTCTGAAGGGTCTTTGTTTAACCCAGAACCCATAAGTGACCCAAGTTTATAGCACAACCCACATACATTCTAACTGGTACAACAATATGGTGCTGAAATACAGTGCAGTGGGAGGAACAAGCAACTGGGGAGAGGAGAAAATGGGGTGAGAACTTCCTGAACTAATTACTTGCTAGAGAGAATGTGTCGAGCTATGTTTTCAGACTTATCAACTTATCACCAGCAAAATAAGTTTAGTAACTGTGACTCACCAATGACAAGGTTTTCTTGCCACATCTTTTTCTCTCGGCTCTTCCACCCATTTGAATTTTAAAGAAGGCTGAAGGCTTTATCTAAGGGAAAATAAAACAGATCTTAAAGAGAATTTCCCAGAAAAACACTCAGAATACTTTTTCCAAAAGCTTGAAAATCTAAACAAGACATTGGATCAAATCTGTATCATTAAAATAGCTTCTGTTCTTTTCAGCTCCTAGGAGCAGAAGAAAATAGGTATTTTTAAAAACACGTTTTATTTTTATTTCTCTAAAATCTACAGAGTTGCCACTCCCTTTGGTGGTTTTGAGAGAGCATCAAAGCTGGTTAAATTCAAGGTACCAGATTATAACCTACTGATGCTAAACGACCCCAGATTCATGATCCTTGCAAACCCTCTCGCTGCCAGAAGATCCTTCAACAGGACTCCCAAAGGATGGACGTCCGAGAACATCCCTGTCGTGTTCATCCAGCCCGCGGAGTCCAACCCCGTTCCAGAAACAGAGGACCTGTGAGAGAGCCTGCATTCTACATCCTACAAAACGCTGGAAGCTGCACATCCATGTATTTTTGGTCCAAATATTACTGAAGGCTGCTGACAAATATTTTTCCCTGGCAGTTGGAGTATAAGCAATAATGTCTGATGCAGTTGTCTCTTTTCTGGCACCAAGTTTCAGCTGTAAACACGATATAAATAAAGTCATTTGGAAAATATGACAGCCATGTTTTCTATTTGTGTTTACATGTTCTTCTTTTACTTCCTAAAATCTTTGCTGGTAACTTAAGAACAAGTGCACTAAGAAAAAAAAAAGTGGCATGGCACTACTCTCAAGGGACTTGATAGGTCTGGTGATTTTGGCAAAACAACCAAGCAATGCCACAACGCTGTACTCAATGCACCCCAAATCCCACCTGCTCAAGATAAGCTCTGACAAATCAGCCTTATTTCCCACCCCTGCTTTTGGCCAAAGTTAAGAATTGTGTCGTTAGTTCAGTGACAGCAAATTCTGGCCATTTTCCTCCTTTGTGATCTTACTCAGCTTTTATGACGGCCATCAATGCCTGTGTCACCTGGATTTGTTTACCGAAAATGCAGTAAATGTGGCAATGACAAGGATCACGTAGTGCTATGAAAAAGTACAGAGGTATTTCCTGGATGTCTTCAACGTTTGTATTAATCAGAACTGAAAAACCCAGCAATGACTGGTTCTGTCAAACATATCAAAATAGAATCACCACAAATGCTTTTATGACTAGAAAGAAATTTCATTTTCCCCTGCAGCCACAGTGTATGCTAGGACTTAAGAGCATGAGGGATTTCTTGCTCTTGATACACTGGCAAGTTGTGATGTTTTATAAATAAGAGTATATATGTTTTTCAAATGTGATTTTGAGGGAGGTAGTTGGCAAAGGAAATTCTGCCATCTATTTTCTTTAATTTACTTTGTCACACAAAGTGCACAAACAAATGTACAGGTCCTGAACAAATTTGTGAAATTAAAGGAAAAAAAAAATCAATCTCATTGACTGAGAATGCTTTCCTAGCAAGGGATTAGTTTGGGGACCTTAACTGTGCTTGGTGTACAACAGTTATATGGACAATGACAAAAATATGAATTCTTCAAGGCTAAAAGAAACCAACAAACTAGTGAGGAGCAATGCAAAGTTTGGTTTCCTATTTGTCCATGGATCCAGTGGCCAAACTCCTGACCCGTGCCTGGGAAGTGTTTGGGAGAGCACAACTGGCAGAAGGAGGGCTGGGCAATGTGCTAAGCATTCAGCAGCACAGATCCAAGTACCAGTGTCCAGGAATGTTCCCTGGCTGCATCAGCCTCGATGTTCCTCATTGTGTAAGTCCCACTGCAATAAACAAATCTCTTGTGCCAAAAAGCAACTCCTTTGCCACCAAGGAAGGGATCTTGGTAAGGCTGGGAATTTTCAGAGATTCTCTATTCTCCTCAATGGGGTTTAGCACCTGCAATTCTTTTGTCAGATATTTTTATATAGCACTTGAAATGTATCCTATAGCTAGAGGAAAGTCTAGTTTTGGGTAACTGGTGACTATTTCAGAGATCAATATTTGTACTAATTTTTGTAGACAAAGAGATAGCTCTGAAGTGAGACAATAAAGGTTTCTTTAGTTACAGGTCTGGAAAGATCAACAAGTACATATTTCTAAATTTTCAGTGGTGCTTCTAAAGGTTTCTTTTAGCTCTAACAAATACAACTGCAAGGATAGATGAAATGGAAAAACACACAAGCAACAGCTTTACACAAACACAATCACAAGTAGATAAGTAGTTCAGAAAATGTGCTTATAACTTCATGTACATTTTATCACAAGACACTCATATTTGCTTCCAAAAGAGAAAGGCACTGAAGACTATGATGAAAAGGCAGAAACATGGTGAGAATAAATATACAGTTAAAAATATCCAGAAGTCTTTGTTCCCAAAGGGTTTTTTTGCCCCATTTTTATTTACATTAAGGTAATTGCAGCAGTATAAAGGGAACTCAAAAATTCATTTAAGTGTTTTCAGTAAAAATGTGGTGACTTGAGAAAATAGATCTGCTGTTTCCCAGTCTACATAAAACACCCCCTGATCATAGTATGCCAAAAAGAAATAAGAGATGTACAATTCTAAAAAGCTCCATGAACATAAGGGTTTTTTAAAGCAGATGCACCTTAAACCTCTTCTGACGTGAAAAGTCAGGGTTCACGGCCTGGACTGTCTGCACTGGAGATTAAATTTTTTTAACTGCGTGCTCCCTTCTTAGAAATCTTAAATATGTCAGCGTGTCTTGGCTGCTTTCCCTCCTGCATAATCCATACAACTGGCAATTGTGGAAATAAACCACGATTCTATTGTCTCAGAGTATCCCCGTGTTTAAATTAATGCAATGCACATTGTCTCTATCACAAGCAGGAAAAACACATTGGAGACGGAATTCTGATCCCAGTGGAATCAAACAAAGGTTTCGGCACTGACCTCTGTGCAGACAGAGGTCGTATTATTTCATCTCCAATGTGTATTTGTAATCAAAATTATCAAAGCTGCTATGTGTTCAGTGTCAGAATGGATATATTGGATTATAGAGCAGGGCCTAACTACATTTGTAGTTCATTTTGCACTATATATAGGGTGAAGTGCAAACAACCCCAATAATGCCCTACAGCACAAAACCCCATATATGTTAGATTAGAATTTCACATTGTGGGGTCCATAAACTATAAGCAGTCTAGACAGAAACACCAGAAGATCCCCACAGGGCTGACAAGTCACGTAGTGCTGGCTCCTTCATTATTCCCAGAGGCTACATACTGTTCAGAAACAAATAAAAAGTGATCTAAATGATTTATAAATAGGATGTTTGCCACAGAGCTGTTATGTAACTGGGTGTTAGGATATAGATGATCAAAAATAGTTACAAAATGCAGTCAGCATACTGAGACAGTTTAAAAAACAAAAATTGCACATAAAATACTCTTATTAAAAGGAAATTAAAAAACAACTGAAAGGGTAAAATCCTTTCAAGGAATTAATATATTATTTTAAACCGTCTGCAGGTAAAGTGTTCAGAGTAAGTAAAATCTAGTACAGAGCTCTAACCCTTCTCTCCAAAAAAAAGAAGTTACCAGGGTTTAAGAGTAGAATAGGGGTGACTCAGAAAACAAAAAGAAATAAGACATCACTGCAAGGGCACAGCAATTAAACTATCCCAACACAAATAAAGGAAGTTATGACAGAGGTCTCCACAAATGGTATGGAAAAGATGAGGAGGGAACAATAACACAGGAACAAGCTGACTCTTAATAAACTGGTAAGGAACCGATTGTAAAATTAACAGAATAAATATTTTTTCAAGGAAGGCCCAGTTGTGGGACCTGGTCCTATAGGATGCTGTGGGTCAAAAACCATGAATAACTTCAAAACAGGAATATACAAATTCCTAGTGGTAACTATGCCCAGTATGGATAATGGCCACTATGTTATCTGGATCTGGAAAACAGGAAGTCGTGTGAGGAAGATCACCATTTCTTCCTATAAATACCTTCTACTGGCCACTGTCAAAGATGGATGAAAGAAGGATTTGGCAGCCCTATGAAATCTGTCTGTCTTCCAAAAACCATGTGTCAATTCTAGCATGTGCTGCTAGTACTGATGTTTACTAATTTACACCAAAATCCCCATTGTGGGAGCAGTCAGAGGAAAGCCAGTTTCCACATGGGAATGGGAACCCTTCGAGGTAAGCTGGAACCAGAGAGAGCCAGGGTTAACAAATCCTCCCACACAGCGTATGGGCGCTGCAGGGAACACAAATCCCGAGCTCAGCTCCGCCTTTGGCAAGACTCCTGATCCTATGCAGGGACCTCACCCTCCTGCATCCACACTCACCATGTTCCACGTTACTGGAATGCACCAGCTGCCAGTATCCCAAAGGCATTTTTCAGTAAGTGATGGTTTTTCATACAGGGTTTAATAAAAATCAATAAAAGAGAAAGTTTCACTTTACTGAATAGAAAACAAGAAGAGTCTTGGGAGAAAAGAGTCTGAAAGACGCAAGCTCGGTACCAGGCTCCATCACAGACTGGTTTAGGACATAACATTTAAAAGCTGATCCTCAGTTTTCCCACTAATAAAATAGAAATATTAATGCAGGCTGCAGAAAGGTTTTTTTTATTGTTTATCCGTGTTGGATTTTGTTGTTGTTGTTTTGGTTTGGTTTTTTGCTTTTTTAATTTTAAAGAAGAAATCTCATGGTAAAAATAAAGAAAGTTAAAAATAGGTTTACACGAGTACATACATAATATTCCAGGATATGACTTTTAATGAATGAAAGAAGCATTACTAGTAGAATAACATTCTACTTTCATTTTGGTTGAAATAGTGGATTTCATTCTACAGCAGGAAGATTCTATCTGATAAGAGTATCAACAAATTAGTATTTGACTTTTTAAAATAAAGATATGACTTCAGCTATTAAAAAGTCCAAGTAACTTCTTTTTTACCGTTATTTTTGGCCAAAACCATAAACTAAATCCAAGAATAATTTACAAACCTTTTGTTTGCAGATGGAAATTGGATTTCCTGAGAACAGACTATTCATCCAAAATACCTGGCCCAGAATTTGCAATACTTCCCTACTTCACAAAGACACTCTGAGACAAAATTAAATAACACTTCCAGGAGGGGGAGGATTCATAAATCACTGCAAGAGTGAAAATAAGCCTCGGTATTGTGAGCCAACTATTCTTTCAAAAGCAAATGGAGATTAAAATATTCGATGGTGTTTGTACAAAGAACAGCTTGAACTTTGCCAGTTCAGAGCTGGCTGTACTCATTAACACAGGAATGCCCTCAGGCTGCTTTGTGTGGAAGGTGTAACTCCGGACTGGATTGCTCTGGAGTTCTGAAGGACATCTGGACAGTCATCATCCGAAAAAAAAATAAATAAAAGCTTCGAATCTTGAGGAGATCTTGGGTGACAGGAGGCCAACAATCCCCCCGGTGGGAAGGCTGGCAGTCATGCAGCAGTCTAGAGCATATCGTTCTACTTCCTTTTCCTTTGGAAAGTTTCTCTGCACAGCCAAGTTACTCAGTGTAGGCAAACACTGCCTTGAAACAGTAGTTACTGTAGTCATTACGCTCAAGATTACTGAAAGATGACTAGGCAAGATAACTACAAATGATTATAAACAAACATTTGAGGCACGACAGGCTCTTCCTAGGTTGGCCTACTGTACGTCAAGAAGCCAAGTAAGGCTCGATTCTGGCAGTGAATTGCAGCATTATGTCATTCCTCAAGTTCTTAATGAGAACATTTTGACTATTTGCTGGCAAGGACAAAAATAAGAACACGCTGTTCAAATAGGAAGGAAAAGAGCAAGCTGAGCATTTACAGAAAGCACTACTGAACTAAAAGGCAAGTGCTTATTTTCTAGCGGGGTTGTGCCGTGATACAAATACACCTCATTAATGTATCAGTACTGAAAAGAAAGTCATACTACAAAGTGAAGAGTCTCCATATTTACTTTATCATTCTTTCAGATATGGCTTATAAAATAGGTAGAGAGAAGGGAAAGTGTGGAAATGGGAAGCATCGGTGGGAAAGAAGCTGTAAAGCAGATCTGCAACTCTAGAGGTCCACAAGATAAAGATAGTGCCATTCTATAATGTTTGCCTTGCACATGACATTTTCTCTTAGCAATGTTTAGAGGCTTCGACAGTTAAAAAACTTATTCTAATTTTCACTCTAAATTTTTTCATACCCAGTTTAGAAAAATCTCTTAATATAACTTTTTTTTTTAAATAAAAACAAGCCTCCTTTCCTGTCACATTTGCTTCAACTAGTATATTCAAGGACTGCAAGGTCTTTTACTCTTCAGTTGTCTAAACTAATCAATTCAAGTTCTTTTAGTCTCTTGTCCTCTCTTTTAGTAAGGATTTAAAATTTTTTGTTTTTATAACTCTCCTAAGTTCAATTTCTTGCACGTGGATTTCCAGATCTGTTCTCAGTTTTAAAGTCTCCCCAGTCACAGGTACTAATATGTGCCATTAGTACTGCTTCATCTGTACAAGAAATGCAGGGCTGAATTTACATGGGATTGAATTCACATTTTCCACAGCAGCATCGAATCAGTGACTCACACACGCTCTGTGCTTGGCTTATGCACCCAGTTCTTTGAAATTCTCTCATCTTTCATCTGACAAGCTCTGAGCTTGGCTAAGCCTTTCCTATTAGGCCCTTACACATGACTTTGTACTTGGTGTTACTCTAACGTATCCCATTTTACTTCTCCATTCCTCAAGGTCATCCAATTATTCCGGTCCGACGTCACCCTACAGGGAGTGTTTCCCAACACTTTTGATGTCAACAAAGTTCACGACCAAGTTCTAGTTTTTGTGCCAAGATCACTAATGAAGACATGAACAATACCAGTTTCAGCATCAATTACTGGACAGAGCTCCAACAACATCCCCCTGCCATTCAGCAGAACACGTTGCCACCTTTTCCTCTGGGCTGTTTCTTTGCCCATCTGACACTTACCTTAAAAATTCCCCTTTTCTCCAGTTTAAAAAATGTTTGTCTAGAAAAGCAGTTACTGTATCATGGAAAGAAAACAAGCAAGTCTGGCAATATCTGTCTGTGGCAAAAAAATGTTTTATCCTATTTACTTCCACATTCTGGTTTTTTTCCTATGAAGTCATCACGTTTTTTGATTACTTTTGTACCGACTACAGTAATACATATCAAATTACACCTGTAAAGTAACTTATTCGTTTGCAAATGAAAACAGCTTCTGTGAATAGAAGTGGGGTTAAACATTTTTATATTACACCATAGACTATGAGCAGTGACAACACCAAAACACTTAACAAAGCAATTGCCTTTTTTTTTTGTCAGCTTATTCTATATCACAATCCTGGTAAATTTTATTTAGTTGTAGACTGAGTAGCATGAGGCGTGGACTCAACTCATGTATTTTAAAACAAATAATGTTCAGTTTCTCACATGGGACAAAATAATTTTTTAAAATTCTTGCTATTTTATTCCGCATTCTATTATCTGAAGTATTTATTTTTCACTTCTATGAGCCACAGTATATATTGTGTGCTGCTACCCACTATATTACTCCTAATTTTATACTCACTAAATATTGCTCTTTTGTCTTCATTTTACTTCATGTTGGATTTCACCTGGAAATCTCAACTCAGCCACAGAAGTTGTCTGTGTGAATCCAAACCTCTCTGTCTTCCTTTTCTTCTTCTGTTGCAGACATCCACTGGCTTACATCCTAAGAGGAAGCAATAAATGAGACCTGGAAACTTGAAAGGATTGTCCAAGACTGATGCAACACAAACAAAGATCAACATAAAAACTTTATTTATTCAAGAGCACCCAGATGAGGACACAATTTCAAACAAGTGTCTCATATATACACAGCATGCATAGAATTTCCTTATACTTCTACTGTTCCAGAAACTAACTTTAAAAACAGGACAGCCTAAAATAGGAAAGGATTTCTGTTGCATTGTTGTTCCACAGAAGTAGATTATTGGACTGGAAATTGGATTATCCAAGAGGAAAAATATTCATTTGCAAGACTTACGCAACCCCCACCCTTTTCCTTGTTCCTAAAGAATGAACACAGGCACACACAGACCTTGTTCCAGGCCCATTATCATCAAAAAGTCTGCAGAAGAATGCAAACCAATGTTTCTTTTTCTCAGGGTGAAATTCTAGATGATTTCAATGAGATTGCTTTTGCCACTCCATTGAACATTTTAGCACTTGAAAACTACCGTGAAAAAATGTATAGTCAGGCTAATGTACAATAAGAGCAAGATATATTGTGTTTATTCCTGCACCTACTGGAAGAAAACTTTTTAAATGGTAGTTATGCTCTATGAAAGTGTGTCTACAGCTAACTGAGAGGAGAAGGAAAGAGAAGAAACTTGAACAGAAATGATGGGAAGTTTTTTTTATAACCTAGCTAAAATAAACCAACACTTAACACTCTCATTGCTTCTAAAACTTCGCTTGGAGCCCTTGAGATGAAAAAAACCCAGTGATTCTTTTTTCAGACAGGATCAATCTTCTCCTTCTTTCATTCATGCCTCCTTATGTCCCCAATTTACACGTACAAATTTTAGACTCTATACAGGATGTGGGAATGAGATCAATCAGATGACTAAGCTTCATGTGACTGCTTGCTACAGTCGACATGAGGAAAACACTGCTAGAGTTTGTTCAAAAGGAAAGGTTGTGGGTATAGGTCCTCATGGTAGGGGAGGCTTGAGCACTGGAATATAGTTTGGTAAAGTTACCCATGAAATAATGTGTCCTCACTTAGCTTACTGAAAGCTGAATGCATATTTTTCACTTCTGCTCGTTTTGCATCTTTTCGTGGCAATACAGCTGAGTATACAACCTAAACTTGGACTAAAACGTTGTTAGGGCTTCCCTACAGCCTCCCTAGCAAATGGACATGATTATTTTATGCCACAAACAATAAATACTATTTACTTTTTCTCTGGTTCTTTTACTCCTTTATGGCTTTCCTTCCTACCAATGTGTTTTCCTCATTATGGATAAGTCTTGCAGCATTATGCAGAGCACTGTGTCCTTTTCACTCAAGGAAAAAGACAAGTAACTACAAGAACATCTTGGAATTTGAAGGATTTTTTTTTCTCCTCTCAGGGCAGAAAAGTTTAAACATATGATCTGACAATACCCCAAAGGCTCAGAGAACATGGAAAAATCACGTACTCTTAAGTAACCCTTACCTTACTTAATGGAACTTTATCCTGCTACAGCCTATGCACAACAGGCCCAGTTTCCCTGCTATCTTTCAAATTACATTTTCTTCTAGAAGAATGATTTTCTTTATCCTCTTTTCTTCTGAGAAGAGTAGCACAGCCTCAAACACTTTCTTCAGTAATTACTTCACAAAAAACATGACGGCAGATCCCAGCCACTGGAATTAAACATGCATTTCAGTTTAAATTGCAGTGTCTCCCAAGTATCTTAAAGTCAATGTTAAATGGCACTTGATCACAGAACACTGTTTATGATAGGCCAATAAAACAGACTGAACCATAACAGGCAGTATAATGTGTAGTGCTGAATTAAATGCAGTGAAAAGACTTTAAAAAAAGAGATGTAACTAATAAACCACACCTTAAATTCTGCAATAGCTTGTGGAATCTTCTGTCTCAGACCCTACATGTAATTTGCTAATTTACTTTTTGCAAAATCCCTCAGTAAGTACAGACACAGTTCCTGCTAAGAATACCAATTTGATTTCATATGATCAACAGCTCATAAGGAGGAAGAAAGATCCGTGCAGAAGAATAAGAGTAACAATGACAAAATCAACTACTCAGTACAACATTACTTATTTAAAAAAAAAAAATCCTCAAAATTTAGCCTTTTATCCCTTCAATCTGAGAAGATTTGAAGAAGACATAATGTTTGTATTAAACATTTGAACATGAAGAGGATAGCAGTTGGCTGAAAAGGTTGTTGTAAACATGTCCTAAGCACTAAGAAGAAATACGAAAGAAATTAGAGAACAGGTGTTCCAGTACTGCTACAGGTATGAAAATGTTCATAGAAACACTGTGTACAATAAAATTATTTCAGAGGAAGGAATCAGAATTTATCTACAGATCAGCCAGTGGCAACAGCAGTATAGATGGCATTGGAAGAGTAAAATTGTAACACAAAAATAAACCCTTATGTGTGCAGCTGTGAAACACAGATCTGCAGCTCATTTACCGATGAAAATGATGCACGATGCCTGCATGTTTGACAAAACCTATTTAATGCAATTACTTTTAAACCTTTTGATGCCTCCTATCCATGTTAAGACTTTTCTTTTGGCATGGAACTATCCATAAGTGTGTTTTAACCTGGATTGCACATGCGCAAAACCCCAATGCCCTGGATGTGCTAAAGGATCTGGATGTGGTGTGCCTCCATTCTCTTCCAGCTCCATGTTTCATGTCACACCCCAAACCCACCACCCTCAACCCCTCTCCTCCAAATTTAACACCTTTCCAACCCTCAACTCTCCAGTTTAACAATCTATCTTATTAATACTACCAAAGTTTGCATTAACATCAATGCTAAACCCACATAAATACTCTTCTGCCCCCCTGCATCATGCCCAGCACATATCCTGTACTGACACAAACTGCAACAGGAAATCATCTGCCCTTGTAGCATTGTTTTGTACTTGCACCATTTATTCTAATTTTAAAATTCTTCTGTTACCTCATTTAGGGCTTCCTGTGCCGCATCTGTGTCATTCTCTGTCTGAACTGTGTGGAAGACTCTGTTAAGATTCACTCCTAGGGAATCTTAAAATATACCATAATTAAAGCTCACAGACTACACTTACTCTTAGAAAAAAGGAACAGAAGAAACCAATATAAATCCTAAGGGACTTCTAAAAGATTAGTGGTGAAGAACAAATCCCTGCTGAAGAAAGGGCAGAGGCAAACAAGAAAGCAGGGTTCAGGGAGAAGCAAAAATATCAAAATGAGGTCATAATCAGAATGAGGTCATAATCCCACTTTGGGATACGCAGATGCCTTTGCTTGACTGGCTTTGCAAAGAAGTAATGCAGGGATAAAGGACTGAACTGATACTAAACAAAACAATAAGCAATGTTTTATATAAATATACAATAACAAGATGCACTGACAAAAAACTAGATTTTTAATGGTAGTGTTAATATATTGACTATTAACTTGGTTTTACTTTAAATTTTCTAGTGAGAATTAGGAATTCAAACACTTATCAATAAACAGCTTAGAAAGAACTACAAAAAACCCTAAGAATGCTCATTGTGCCAATATATCGTATGAGTCTTAGGGCAGTGAGAGAATGAGAGATTCAATTCCCTTCAAAAATCACAAAATCTAGAAAAATTTTAAGAAAACAAGAGGCAAGGAAATATGGTATTTGTTAAAAATTAAAAAGTATATATATATGTTACTGGTCACCACATCTGAAAGGCTCAAGAAAAAACCATTTCATACAAGTCCTGCATGAAGTAACTCCAACTTGTGAGTATGACTACACAGATCACTGAAAAACATGGCCATATATATATATATATACACACAAGACAAATCTACAAAATGTAATAGAAATGTCCCCCATTTGGGTTTTTTTTGAAGTAAAAAATTGGCCATTTGATGAAAAATGTTGGAGCGTGAAACTGAGAAAAATGCCTTTGACAGTGGGCTTTTTACATTACCAATATAATGGAAGAAACAGTAGCCAAAATAATCTGATCAAAATGTATCAATATTTAACAGAAATGGATACAAGAACAACGGAGGTGTAGCATTTCTATAAGGCAGTGAACTAAATTGTTGCAGTGCCTTATGTTCCACACACTCCCTTTGCAATCTGGATGACCTAAAGTAGATGCAGAAAGGGAACTTCACAGGGAAATTATTTAATGTACTATTGCAGAAGATATTATTGGAAAACTAAACATGCTCTTATACACAGAGGCACATTTCCAATCCTGGAAAACTACAAAAAAAGGCAATTGGAAGAGCGAGAATACAAGAAGTTGTATCCAGCAGCCTGCGCCAAGGACTGATGCTGGGTGTGGCAACACTTAAAATCTCATTGCTTGTCTAGAAATGAAACGTGTTAATGAAATCTCCATGTTTGTCCAGGAAGATGGTCATAATAGTGAAATATAAAAGGTACTTGAGCAACCAGAAACATGAGCATTCACGAATATGGAATTCCTTTCGCAAATAACAAAAGGAAACACCCCTCCCTCGCCAAAATAATAGACCAGATAAAAATCATAGGGAACACGACTTTGGGGCAGTGACCCTCAGGCAGGTGATACATAACAATAATAATAATATAGGATCTTTCTGGGCAACATGGAAGTCAAATACAACTCTGAGATGATAAAAATTACTTGTGTGGGGTTTGGGTCACAAGCTGCCCCTGGCTCCAGCTGCCACTCTGTGCCACTGCTTTTTCCCTGGCATCTTGAGGAAACCCAGCGTGTGTGTAGCCAGATATCCTGGAACGAGCGCTGGAAAACAATTGCTGGAAAAACAAGCGCCGCCGCGCTCATTTTAACGGGTTATTGACTCCGAACCTGAGAGCCAGGGGGGCACCCGCTGCAGCCTCCGAACTTTTACACTTCGAGCAGCCGCGCCTTCGAACAGTGACATGGCGGGCAGGGAGCAGCAGGGTGGCGGCACGGCTCCCCCTCAGCAGCCTCGGCAGGACGCGGGGAGCCCGATCCCGATCCCCAGCCCCGCTCCCGCCCCGCCGCCTCAGGCGCCACCGCGGCCCCTCACACCGCCCTCAGGCCTCGCGCGCCTTCCCGCGCCCTTTCCCGCACCCCTTCCCGCGCGCCCACCGCGCACGCGTGTTGCCTGCGAGGGCGGCCTCGCTCCAATCTCTCCCTCCCTCGCTCCCTCCCTCCTCCTGGATCGGGAATATCCGGGATACCGGCCCGGGAAAGCGCCCGCACTGCGCAGGCGCGGCGGCGCCAGGCCGCGGGAAGGCGGAGGAAGGGGGGAGCGGGAAGGAGGAGCGGGAAGCGGGGGGGAAGCAAAAGTTGCCGCGAGGGCGGGGCCGCGCCCGGAGTCGCCGCCGGGAGGGGGCGGGAGAGGAGCTGCGTGAGGAGCCGCCGGGGGTGAGCCGGGGGTGGGTCGGGGGTCGGGCAGGGGGAGAGCCGGGGAAGAGCCAGGGATCGGGCAAGGGGAGAGCCGAGGGTGGGCAGGAGGTGGGTCGGGGGTCGGGCAGGGTGGCGGCGCCGGTGCCGGCGGGGGAGGCAGCGGCGGTGCTGCGGTGGGACGCGGGACGGGACCGCCGCTCCTCCTCCCGGCCGGAGGTTCGTGCGGGGTTAAATCCCTGCCGGGGTGCGTGGGTGCGGGTCAGCGGCGGCTCCGCGCCGTCCCCGCGCGTTGTGTAAGCCGAGGGGACCCTGCGAGCGCCGGGCGTGCGGTTTAATGTTTAACGCGGCGCTCACATGCCCACCGGCGAGTCTCGCAGGAGTGTTTTCCGAAGGCTGTCCGGAGCAGGAAATGCCAGTACAGGTAGTGTGGGGCTGTTTGAAATTTAATCAGTTCGCAGTGTTTTGGAGGCAGAGCTGCTTTGCTGTGCTCGTACGGATGGAGTTTCGGGGGCGTGTAGGTAGGTGCGTGCAAATGGCATGCAAATCATCTGCTTAGCATCTGGTGTAAGTTTACGTTTATCCCCTTACTTTGATTTTCAATGCAAATACTTTAAAATCTGCTTTTCAGAGGAGACACGGCTTGTTCTCTCTACATGTATTTTTCTCTTCCCAAAATAAGTGTTTTACGTATCTCTACTTAGTGCTTTATTTTGTGCGTGCAACCCACCCCCCCAAAAAAAACCTACCCCGAACACTTAAGCTTTTTTAACTTTGAAGCTAGTAAGATTATTTTGAGAACAACAACTTAATTGTGTGAATAGCATTGTGCCTGACTGATGATGCAGTATTCCCTTCCACCTCAAGGCAATGGAAAATGCATTGACTGACTTTATTAGTAACTGCTCTTATTTTTTGTAGAATGAAAGGGTGATTTTTGGTGTTGAAATAGCGAGACCTAATGTTGTAATCTGACTACAAATTAGCCTTGTCAAATTGTAAATAATCCTATCTTCCCCTAACAAATTGCTGCAAAGTAGGAGGTATTTGCTGGTTATTTTTTTAAATATCAAATGACTTGTATAAAAAGTTATTATCCCAAGCCAGTGGGATGTTGACAGTAAAAACACCTAAAATATGCACTCGACTTTCATATCAAAACTTGATAGCGCAGGATCTTTTTTGATCATACAGTGTGCATGATGTGCTCCTGACAGCATTGTTTTTGGGTGTGAGACCCAGAGGGCTTTGAGGTCAGGGTATTGGCACTGTCACGTGTTTTGGTTACGCTGCTTTTCAACATCTTGGTAGCAGCACTTTGTCCTTTTTTCTTGGTTAATGCCTCTTGGTAGAGGAAAGCAGTTTAGTCGCTTCAGGGACAATAGTGATGGGAACGAAACCCATTCACAGAGTTCTTCAAAAACCTCATGGTTTAAGTAGAAACAAGTTGGAGTTTGTCGGGGCTGGGTTAAATGATGATGGGTTGAGGCTGAATCAGAATTTGAGATGTGTGGGTAGAGTGAAATGTTTGTAGGTAGGTTTGTGCAGGATTTGTTCATGAAGAAACATATGAAGTGTAGTGATTCAGACATTTTCAGACATTGAAACGTTCCTTTTTTTTTTTTTTGTCAAGACTGGAAAAGATGTGTGGGTTTAAAGATGATGTTCACATTACCATTCCTTTTAACTCGGCTGTGCAGTTTTTTTCCTGGTGACTTAAGGAATCGGAAAGCTTTTCGGGAAGGAGCAGAACTTGGTATTTTGCACTTCTGTTAATTATAATCAAACATCTGCAGAGAGAACTGAAAGGCAAAGGCAGATAATCTGGGATAAAAAGGCAAGTGTGAAAATTATCACTGTAAGGATACATTCTATCTTTTTAAGGCTCAGGAAAGAGTACATTGTAGTCTTTGAACAAAACCCTTGTAGGAAGATGGAGAAACAAAAATCTTCTCTAGTGTTTGTGCGATGATTCACTGTAAATGCTGGCCTGTGTCATGGGCTGGGAATTTGTATTCTCCAAGATCTTTACTCAGAGTTCCCATTGGAGCCCTTTCTAAAGTCGGCTTCTAGTCGTAGCAGCCCAGAGAGGCTGAGCTGTGAACCTGTTGTTTTGGTTTTGCTGCGAACAGGGAAGTTTTTATTGGAACAGCTTAAAGAAAAAAATTGTGTACTTATATAAAAGCCATCTGGGATAGCATCTACGCTTCTGGTGCTCCCATCCTGAAAGGATACAGAGGAGTATGACGTGCAAGAGCAGTGGTTTGGCATATGAGGGACAGCTAAATGGGTAAGGGCTGGGGAAGAGACAATAGAGGTCTTTAAAATAGAAATAGTCTGGGTTGAAAATCTTCAGGGATTGTTTGGAAGATTTTCTAGAAGAGATACCATCAAATACTCCTTTGGTGTCTTGGGGACTTCTTGAGTGAGTGACTGAAGGAGAAAGAATGTGTCAAACCAATACCAGCCAGTGGTAATACACTGGTATTGGTCTTGTCTTGTAGTGTTGTTCTTGTTTCATGTTATGTGTCTTGCAAGTAAGTGCTATTAAATGAAGTTTTTCTCTCTCTCTGATGTTTCAAGCGAGAATTTGCATTCCTGTAAACATATTTCTTTGACAGCTTTTGAAGTGAATACTATAATTTTCAAAGACAAAGACCGGTGACTACTAAAAGCATTTCATGTCTCTTCTGGTGCATGAGATCTGCTGCCATAAACAGTTTGACAGAATGCTAAAGGTGGAAGGGGACAGGATATGTGCACGGACCAACAAAATTGTGATTCAGCCCCATTGAGGTGGATGTAAGAGTTTATTCCTTTCCAATTTTGGTCTTTTTCTAGTTTTAAAGCAGCTTCACTCTTTGTTTATTTGTTTTTTTCCAGTGTGGGGAAAAATCATTGCAGCCTCCAGCCCTGTCACAACACAAATCAGACTTTTGTTCTGCTCACAAACATTGGAAATTTTCAATGACAACCTTTTGAGCTGTGGAAAACACTCAAATTCTTGCAGTTGCAAGTTGTTGAATTTTTGGTGGATTTTTTTCTGTTGAGGAGAAAACAGTAATCCTGGTCCTAATAATGTTGGCTCACTGCAGAGAACTCTAGTGGTTTCCCATCGTATTATACTCCCTTGTAATATATTTAATCACTCTTCCCTCACAAGTTTTGTTGTCTTGTGTCTAAATTCCCAAGTTATATCAGTTTAGAAACTGAGTTACCAGAGTTGTCAGACTGTTGGGCGAGTTGCCAGGCTCGGCACAGAGGTGTGAGCTGCAAGCAAGAAGAAAAAAGCTGTTTGGCTTGAAAGTAACCCCAGTATTGGGCATGGGGAAGCTTTGCCATTAGGCAGTTATGCAACACACTGAGAGGAGTTGCAAAGTGAAGCCTGGAAGATGTAAATAGCAATTCTTCAGCCAAATTTCAGAGACACAAGCAGTCAACTACTTTTGAACCCATTGGCAGGTTTCCACTCAATTTGACAGAAGGGACAGAAGCCTTAAAGATGATTATGTACTTATAAAGTGCATGAAAAGAGGCAGCTGGCTGGAAGAGAGAGACCTTGTAAGAGGATGTGAGGAGCAGAGTTGGCATATGCCCCAACTAGGGAGAGAACTGTGAGAACTCAGCCATGAGACATAAAGTTATCAGGAGGCCAGGCACTGGTAATTCCAGTGTTCACAGAACCAACTGCTTATCTCATCAGTTTTATCTACATGGATATCAAAGGTGCTTAAACCCAAATGTGCTCATAAACAGTGATTATTTTAGGTAAAATAGCACTGATGTGTAAGCTTCTTTAGTGACACTGTTCTTACACTGAGAACTCTGTGGCAGCTGCAGTTCCATTCGAGGCTGTACCAACACTGCAGGTGATAACATGCAGTTTTGCTGACAAGTGAGTTTGTTATTCTGGAAGCTGTAAAGGCAAGTGCCAGAAATTTGTGACAAGCATGCGTTTTGTCCTGTAAGGCTGCACAACTAAGGGTAGTCAGGTGCTTGATGAGATCATTGATGACTGAAGAACAGTGACTGAAATTGGGCAAGGTGGAAGAACATGGGCTGGTAAAACAGATATTGGTTTGAGAGCCCATAGCCCTTGTTTGGTTGAGAAGAGTTGGCAAAATCAATTCCTTTAGTCTGAAGGGCAAGAATATTTCTTTAACTCTCAGCTGCTAAAAATTTCATGGATTATGTCAGTAACACGGTGTGAAATAACTGTTTTGCTGAAAGATTGCACCCATTGAAGACTTGGTGTGGGGTTCAATCATAGAATGGGTTGGGTGGCAGGGACCTTGAAGACCGTGTTGTTCCAACCCCCTGCCGTGAGCAGGGACACCTTCCACTGGACCTGGTTGCTCAGAGCCCCATCCAACCTGGCCTTGAACGCTTCCAGGGACTTATGGTCCATCCTCAGTCACTCACACCTTTGACAAGGCAAGAACTTACAAAGAACTGGTAAACCTGAGTGCCTAATAAATGCTGCAGTGCCCTTGGCAACACTGGCTTACCACAGCCAAGTCAGGGGTCTTCAGTTCCTAATTCCAGTATGGAGTGTTGACTTTAGGTTATGGCAGTCAGTGGTCCAACTCCCAGTCACTTCAAAGTTCAACCAAACATGTAAAGTTCAAAATAAACTTTCTCACCTTAGGGAGAAGCTGTGATGCCAAGTTAATCCCGTTGCTTGTGGCACCACTGGAAGGCTCATTTCCAGTGCCCCTCTTACTAATGAAAGAGCAGCTGTGCACCACGGGCTTTGATTTGGGGTGTTAGTGGAGAAAGAAAGGGTAGTGGAACTTCTACGTACGAAGACTGCACAATGAACGTGTTCTGAAATGATTTTTTATTAAGTGAATCATGATAACTTTTCCTGAAACCCAACAGCTAAAGGCTTGGTGCACAGAGTGTTTGTTCTAGGGCATCCCTGAAATGCAAGACAAAATAAGTTCCTGCAAGTTTTTAGTGAATGAATGTTCTTTGCCTTAAGTTGTCCTGGAAGAACTCTTGTTTCCCAAGCAGCACGTGTATTTCTAATAAGATCTGAAACTGATATGCATTTCTAGTTATTCCCTACATTTCTTTTGCCTTCCCCTTTCCGGGCTTATTGAAGTGAACATAAAGAAAACAAAATTGTCGCCTGATGTTGTGTCAAGGTCAGTTTGCAGTGAGATTTCAGAATCTTTGCTCAGTGCTGCCACAAATCACACTTACCGTCTCCAGTATTATTAAATCAAATTACTTACGGGTGAGATACAGTAACATCAGTAAACAAACAAAACCCATCTGATTATTCATGGGGCAAAAGAGACTTTTGGTTATGTTCCAGTTATTGATTTATGTTTTTTTTATAATGCAAGCAAGTACCAATGCTTCTTTTAAATAAAAGGGAATGGTTTTAGGGGCGCAAGACTTCATGCGTGCTTGTAAAACCTAAGGTGAATATCTCACTTGTAATGTGAAGCCAAATTCATTTTTTTTCTTTCCCACATATACAACCCTAATTGCTTTGGTTTATTTAAATTCATTCTGCTCTGTGCTGTTTATGTGGGTGATGCAGTAATGCCAAACTGGTAGAATAATCCATTGTTGTGAGAGAGTCACTGTAGAGAGGGCTCTACATGTGGTGATGTTCCGGATATGGAACCATTTAACTTTAACCATGTTCCTCCAACAATGAGGGAAACAACTCTTATTGCTGGGATTTAAAAATCTTGGAATGGGTTTTTGGAGGCAGCGAACAGAATGTTCTTGCTTCGCTATTAGCCATGTTTTTCTGGGTGCTTTGAGAATGCAACTAGGTTAAAGGCCTAATTTTTATGTAGTGTTTTTTAGGTAGCACAAACTTCTGAAAGCTGAGTACTAGCTGAGAATCCATCTAGAATATTGACATTAAAACCAACTTAGGTTTTCCAGTGTTGAATAAAAATATTTACTTCTTGGGAAAGTTTTTATTAGACTTGGAGATTCAAAGGTAGAACAACTCGTATTATACGATCTTTTTAGAAGATGTTGCATGTTGGTAGAAGAACCTTTATGGTAATTTTATTGTGGTCTTTAGAGGTATATAATAATTTAGAAGATATTTTATTATGATAGATAAAATAATTTGATTTTTCTGCCTTAAAATTTTTTTTAAGTAGTGGTTTTTTTCTCGTCCTCTTCCCTGCTTATTGCACCTACCAGTAGATTAAGATATTGTTTTAGCCGTGCTCTTTTCTGATTTAGGAGGTCTCTAACATTTTGGAATTTTTTTCTTAAATTTTCTGGTTTTTTCCTATTTCAGGTGCACTGGAAAGAGAATGAAATAAGCATGGAGTCTTCTAAACTGGAATATATTTCCTGGGTCACAGTTAAAAGTAAAAAGAAGATGGAAGGAAATGAGAGAACAGGAGTATAAAGCCTGTCAAGAACTTTCCATTTTTGTGATTATATGTATAAACTCTCGATATAATACAACTAATGGTTTATAGTAACACTTTACTGATATCCCAGGAAGAAGTCAGTTACTGTGCAACTTGCTTAACAAGAAGTTTTATTCTAACTACTTTGAACATGTTTTAACTTTAACTGGACACCTTTTATTTATTTTTTTTTTAAGTCTGAGAGTTAAAAACTTTGTTTAGCTGTATTTTTACTGAGACACCAATTCCTGACCGATGGCTGACAGCTGCTCATGGAAAATGGACTTAATCCTATGAATGGTTACTATTGCACAGAGTTGAATGGAATGCCATGACTTTAGAAATATTCTCGTAGAACCACCTTCTTTGCCTTGTACCCATCATATCCTTAAATATTTAAGCGTAAACATTGCAATTATAAACTCTAAAAAATAATGGCATGGGTGAAATTCCTAAGAAAACCTGGGGGAAACCTTGGAAAAGTTTATCAGCCTGGAAGTATACTGTCCCTGGCCCCTACAAAAGGCTTATTAAATGAACCTGGACAAAACAGCTGCTTTCTTAATAGTGCTGTTCAGGTAAGAAAAAACTTGATTTATTAAACATTTTTTGAGTAGACTTTCCTAAGCGGGTGGGGGAAAGAAAAATGGCACTTACAGAAAGAAGACACTGTGTGGAAGGAATTTTACTCAACATTTCATTTTAAGGAATTGAGAGTATTCAATATTCAATGTTGCAAAATATGACAATATGTTATTTTATTTGCATACATCAAGAACTTTTGTATTTGGAAACTTAGGAGTCCAATAGATGTATAGACTTCCTGTGAAAACTGGAAGGCTTAAAAATGGTGTGGATTTAAACATGGGAGATAGGAGAGGTAATGCTATGGTGTGTTTGTGTATGGTATCTAAATGTGTTCAGGATAAAAATGTGGAATGTTTGCTGGTTTGCATTCAATGGGAACAGCATGACCTATATTCTCTTGCAGATCTGCTATTTTTGCTTAGGGTGCCCTAAAATTAAACCCTATGTAATTTTACTTACAGTTTGAGACAATCCTACTACCCCACAACATATCAGGCAGTGGCTGATGGTTGGTGACTGCCCGTTTACAGGCAGGAATGCGTTCCTTTCTTTGCTTTAATCTCCCTTCAACCTTCAGAACTGAGCTTTGGACTCTGCTTTTCAAACGCATCCCACTTCATTTAAGCTTTTATATTTATAGATAGGATATTTTTTCCCCTGGATTTGCAGCTGTTCTGTTACTCTGCATCTTGAAAACTCATTTTTGGGGAGGTTTATTTTTATTTTTTTTTAGCGGGCGACTTTCTGAATTACTTCATGTGGACCTAAGACACTAGATACTGAAAGCATTGTACTGTAGCCATGCTGATATTACCTTTATGTAGAGTAGTTACACAAATAAAAGGTAGAAACACACCTGTTTAAGCACTAGAACTTTTTTGAACAGTGGAAAAACAAATGCATTTCAGCAATCATTTTAGTTAGGGGCCCATAAGAATGTAGTATAGACTTATGTAGAGCTGTAAGAAGGCTGCTACAACCCCTGTACACAGTTTAGCTTGCTGCTTGTTTGCTTAGGAGTCCTTCAGCTCTTTTTCCAAAGTGCATTGGTTCGAATAGTTTAAAAAAAAGAGATCGGAATTTCAAGAGGTGAATGCAAAACTTTCACTTCCACCTGCACAGTTCACCAAACTGAAGGCAAAGGACCACAATTCTTGCAGCAATATTGGTACTTAAGTTGTGCATTGTGTGAAATTAGGAAAAAACAGCTACTCTATGTTGTGCTAAATGAAGAACCTTCAGAAGTCATTACTTATTTTCTCTGGAACTTTATTTTTATAGGTATTATGGCAACTTGACATATTTCGACGAAGTTTAAGAGGTTTAACTGGACACGTGTGTCAAGGAGACGCCTGCATATTTTGTGCTTTAAAGGTAAATAGTAAATTTAGGAAGAATCATCTTTCAAAACAAGGGAAGAATAATGTAAATTATTTTTATTATGTCTGTATCATACATATGCCTGGGTGCCTCTCTAAGTCATTCTTGTGTAAAGAAACAGTTTAGGTATAAGGGCATTTGTAACAGAAATATTTTCTTGTGTTTAAAGAAGAAATTTTACAGTACACAAACTTTAGTCTAGTTAAACATAAAACCTCTGTCAGTGCAAATAAGTTATACTGTCTTTTAAAATATGGTAGTAGATATAGTGATATACAGAACTGGGAATTGTTTATCTGGAGGGAGCTGAAAGGAACAACACTCTTGGAAAATGTTTCATTGAGGGAGTGATTTTTGATGATGCTAAATTGTAGGCAAAGGTAAGCCAAGTATTTAAGAGTTTACCCTCAGGGAGCTGAAGGAGTGTTTTAGGCAAGAACTGTTGGCAGTGACGTTTCCTTCAGGATGTGTATAATCTATGTACTTGGTATTTTTTCCAGTAATTTCTAGCGTTTATCATCATTGCAGTATTGTACAGCTAGTTTGGAATGTGTCTCTGTCTTTTTCCAAACAAAGTTCTTTTCCAAAAGGTGCTGTTTCATTTCTTTGGTTAAAATGTTTAATTTTAAAAAGCCAGCAAGTTGAGACTACACACATTCAGACTAACTTCCTGGGGCTTTTATTCCAACCTTTTTTCAAAGCTCTTGACCCTGCAGAACTCATTGGGACTTCTTGTTTCCCCAGTGTTTTGATGCAAATCGTGTTCTTCTGTGTGCTGGGCACTTGATCTTGTTAGTACATAAAGTGCTGACCCGGAACTGGGGCATACCTGTGTTTTCAGATTAAATCTTGTTTCTGTCTCGGAGTGGTGGCTTTAGTTTACGTTCGGCATCACTTTAAGCCACCTCCCAAAAAAATGCACTACCTTCAGCTGCTTCATGAGGCTGCTATGATTTAGGACTTGGAATTTTCTTTATTCTTTCAAGCCCCTTGAGGGATTGATTACTCCAGGATGCACCTTTTGGAATTTATCTAAATGGCTTACAGTGCACGAATGTTTTGCATTGCCTGGACCGACATCTTCCTATTTTAATACATTCCCAGGAATACTGATAAGAAGTGGTATTGCTGCGTCTTCTGAAATTGGTTGGAATGGAATTAGTTATTTTTTTAACAGTATAGCTGTGATCTTTAACTCCCTGGCCTATGTACTGAGCTCAAAACCTTGCAGTTAATTCGTTTGGAAGTATCTGTCCTCAGCTGTTATGTACACTACTGGTTTTGCTTTCTTGGCTCTTTAGAGATACTGGTTGAGTAATTCTGTTTGTTTTGTGTTCAGAACCTGGGGCATTTTAATTTTCATGCAATATATGTGCTGGATGAGGATGCATTTCAGTAACTTGTTTGTGACTTGGGTCGTTTTTTTGGGGTTTTTTGGCTTTATTTTTTATTTTTTTCTTTTTGGCCTTGGGCTATTTTAACCCTTTTTACTTGTTCACCAATTGAAGAAGGATATTATCTACATACAGCTTCTCCTATAAACTAAAAGCATAGCCAATAAATTCTAGTTTACCTCAGTTCAATCCATTATCTCTTTCTTTTGGTGATGTTTGAGAATTAAATATGCTCTGTTCTTTTTTGGATAACACTGGGGTGGGACTTTGACTGTGCAGGCCACTAAACTGAGCATATATATCTGCACAACTGTTTATCTATACTTATTTTTTTTTAGCTGGACATAAAAAGCTCTGTTGCATACCAAAAATTACCTACAGCCAAAATGAGTATTGATGAGTTTTCAAAGGAGAGCTAACTTGTATTTTCAGGCCTGTTAAAAACTTCATTTTGAATGTTTACGTGGAGAGAGTGACTGTAATTTTTATCAGTAGTCCATGCTTTTTATTTTTGAGAGGGAACTTTAAATATTTGACAGACACCCTGGAATGCATTATGGTTAAAACACTAACTTTTGTTAGCACTGAGACTTTGCTTATCTGTTGCATCTTTGCCTTCTATCTGAAAGATTTTTAACCATAGGAAGCCTATGTGAAGATTGCATGTCCTTATTTATGTTTTACATGGCTTCTGCTGATTTGCTTTGTCTCTATTCTCTTCATTTCCCTCTAAAACTTGACTTAGAATTCTTGACAGTGGAATATAGACCCTGTAATATTTGAAAATAAGTAATTCATTTAATAGCTTCTAACTTTCAGTTCTTTCAAAATCAACCTGCCTTGCTTGCTGAATGATGAGGTCACTTGCATATGTATCTGCCAAAAAGAAAAGTAGCAGCCAACTCACTCTTCTGGGAAATGAAGGAAAAATCAAGTGCAATTTATTGTCATGTTCTGGAACTGCAGATATTGACCTGTTCTCTTGTATCGTGTGCACTGGTTCAGCAGTGAGCTGATTTAATAGCAAGGATTATCAGCACTCAATCTAATTTATGGGAGGTTTTTACCTATCCATAATTTTAATAAACATACATTGCCCTCTGAAGTAGTAATGTCAGTATTGCATTATTTAACGAATGATGAGTGTAAAACTAACCTGAGTGGTTTTATGTTATGCCCTAACAAATACACACTGTCTGTAAAGATGAGATGCATATGGATGAACTGCTATTGCAGTGGCCAAATTTAAAAAGCTGTATCATTACAGACCAGGGGGTGTGTTGCTTTTGGGAGCTCAAGTCAATCATTTGCACTTTTATATACTCTTATGTTGTTGTTCTGTTGGATCAAAGTTCACTTTGGTAGCATAACTTCTTATCATGGAATCGGTAACAGAACACAGAAACCAAGTACCTCCAAGAGAAAACGGTTATTTTTAAAGTTGCATAGGTTTATAGACATCATAAATACAAATATTTTATGTATTTATTCAAGAACTGATGTATTTGTGTAGAACTGCAGTGTTTAGTCAAGCAGGCAATGAAGCTAAGGAATTGTGTTTCTTCCTAGGCAATTTTTTCCCAATTCCAGCACAGCCGAGAGAAAGCCCTCCCGTCGGATAACATGAGACACGCCCTCGCAGAAAGTTTCAAGGATGAACAGCGTTTCCAGCTTGGATTCATGGATGATGCAGCAGAATGCTTTGTGAGTATCCCTGTGGTAGTTAAGTAGAATTGTGTTTAGTTTAGCTGATGCCAAGCTGGCCTGTTGTTTCGGTAGCTCCAGGCTCACAGGGAGGATTCGAGTAACATATGCTCCTGACCTTCTTTATGCCAGTTTAGGGCAGTGAGGGTGATGAACTCTGAGTCACTCTTGGAAATTTTTGGGTGGAGAGAAGCACTATCTTCTGAGGAGAAGCAGCACCTATGGATTTGAATATATAGTCTGTTCCTCATCAGCTGTTGAAATATATTCCATTACAACTGGCCAGCTCATTACTGAATTCTTCTGCAGAAGAGATTTCCATTTTCTTATCCAAGAGTGAAGGGATACTTGAAGTAACCACTTGCTGTAGTTACTTTGTCTGCTTTTATTAAGTGTCTCATTGAAAAACATGAGCCATTAATGTGGCCAGTAAAGATGACTCCAGATGGCACAGAACTCTGGTAAAGAAACCTTTCGAAGAGCTCCTGTGTTAGACAATGAAAATGTTCACTATAAAACACCTCCAGTATTAACTTTCAGACACAGATCTGAGGGGCAGAAAACATGATTGCTGCTTCAGTTACCTTCAGCTTTGGACATCTTTTGGAAGTATCCACAAATTAATTCCTCCTACCTGCATCTTCACTTGAAAGCAATTGTTTGAGATCTTGCAGTCAGGTTAATGGATTGCAGTCATGAAAGAGAGCCTATCATTAATGTTTCATCTATTAAAAAATGCATTTGAACCCTGAACTAATCAGCTGTCTGATCTACCTGACTAGACTCGCTTCTTCCCATTGCCTCTGGTATTTTAGGCAAAAGATATAAAAATAGCCGTGTAGATTCAGGGGCCAAACTCGTGGCAATCATAGTACTTTTTGGTGCCAAGGGGAGTAGTTGGGAGTATTAAATTGTAATGTTCCTCACGTATTCTGACTTCATCAGTTCAGTTTGTATTTACCTCGATGTTTCTTTTTAGGAAAATATCCTCGAGAGGATTCACTTTCACTTAGTGCCAAACAGTGAAACGGATATGTGCACTTCCAAATCCTGCATTTCTCATCAGAAGTTTGCTATGACGCTGTATGAGCAGGTCAGACCTTCATTTGATTGCTTTAACAAAGAACTTGTTTTCTCTGTCCTGAGTAAATAAAACCTGAAGTATTTTTGGTGTTGCAGTGTGTGTGTCGCAGTTGTGGAGCATCGTCGGATCCGTTGCCTTTCACGGAATTCGTGCGTTATATTTCCACCACAGCCCTCTGGTAAGAGCTTTTCTTTTGTTACTCCCTTTTCTATATACACCTTTCTAATACTGTGCCAAGCATGCCAGAGAAGTGCTGTAAATGTTAATTTATTTCTTTGTTACCTTTTTGAGATACTGTCCAGAAATAACATTTGGATTTCAAAAGCAAGACGTAGAGAGAGCTTGACAAAAAAAGTTTGTATTGCTACTGTTTGACCACTGTATACTTTATTTCTAGTCATACAATATAGTCAATTGAGAGTTGGCTGAAATCTGTTGACTCTTAAGAAGTGAGATCCACAGTTATGTCATTTATTTTTTACAGTAATGAAGTAGAAAAAATGATGGAGAGGCACGAACGTCTCAAGCCAGAAATGTTTGCAGAATTGCTGCAGGCAGCAAATACTGCTGATGACTACAGAAAGTGTCCTGTAAGTAAACAAAGATGTTACATTACTTTAAGATACAAGGGAGAACTCTTCAGGATATTAAATCAGGCTAAAGTATTCCCCTGAAAGCAGGGTTACCTCTGGATGCACCTCAGCACAGGCCAGCTTAGGGTGAAAAAAGCCCTTAAACTTATATTTTATTGCTCCAGTTATTGAGATTTCGGTTTTAAGGTGGTGAGTGGTAGAAGTTAAGCTGTAGTCTTCATCACAAGGATTTTATGATGAAGAATGTTACTCTTAAACTGTTAGAAACAAACACCACAATTAAATTTTAGAATTAGAAGAAGTTGCAGAATGGCTTTTTTGCATTAATTCTTGTGTAATAACTCACCTTTGGACTTCCATTTTTTAAACATCTCTATTTTCCCTCCCATCACATTTTTTTCCGTTTTTCTAGAGTAACTGTGGTCAGAAAATAAAAATTCGTCGTGTTCTTATGAATTGTCCTGAGATTGTGACAATCGGCTTAGTCTGGGATTCGGAACACTCTGATCTGACAGAAGAGGTTATGAGGAATTTGGCTACACAGCTTTATCTTCCTGGGGTACCTGACCTAAAACTTACTATTTGCTTACTCTAGAATTTAATTTTCCATGGATTTTATGGTTATGTAAATATATCCAACATAGAAATACTCGTATGTATTTTTAAAAAGCAAAATTTAACTTCCAAGTTTATGTCTGGTTTTCCCATTCTTTATAATGTACTGCTTGATGTAGTTTCCGTGAGAGGGAAAAGTCCTGTCAGAAGTGTTGGTTTTGTGCCTAAGTACAAAGATTAATGTAGGTGTGTTCCTAGTTGAAAATCTAGGAATATAATTTTCAGTTTGAAATTTGTGGATTTATTCCAGAGCATTCATATTTTACTCTTTAAAATAGAGCTGTGAAGTACAAAAATCAGTATTTATACTCAGGAAAAATTGTATAATGCTACAGGACAGTCAATACCAGTTGCCTTGGTGAAACGCCAGCAGTAGGTCAGGAAATTAAGGCTAAATGTTTTATACACGTTTTAAAATAGATAATCATTTTTACAGCTGTTTTATAGGGTTACAGATGAAAATGCCAAAAATAGTGAGCTTTTTCTTGTGGGAATGATTTGCTACACAAGCCGACATTACTGTGCCTTTGCCTTTCACACCAAGAGCTGCAAATGGGTGCTGTTCGATGATGCTAATGTAAAAGAGGTAAATACTGGTTTTACTCCTACCAAATTTAGTGATCTTGTCTTTTCTAGAGTGCATTCTCCTGACACCAAACTTGAAGAAAGTCAAGGCAATGTTTTTATTTTAATAAACCTTTAGTTTTTTAAACCGGTTTTCACAAATCAATTTTGGAGCTGGCTTCGCTACTTTATAGTCATGCCCTACAAATGCTGAATGTTTCAGAATGTTCATGCACCTGTGCACTGTTGAATTTGTACTTCTTTTAATGAAAAAGAAGATACTGGCAGTTGTATTCATAGGAATGATGTTCTGATTGTTATCCCATGTAATGTTATTCTTTGTGTTGCAGTTTATGTACACCGAATGTGCTAAAATGTTGAATCTTCATGTACCTTTGGAATTGGGCATTTGGTACCGGCTGCTTGATAAATTACTTCAGGCTTCAGGGCTGTTGGTAAAGTTTTGAGGTTTGTTTTGTTGTGTTTTTTTCTTAGATTGGAACAAAATGGAAAGACGTGGTCTCCAGGTGCATTCGGTGTCACTTCCAGCCATTGCTGCTATTTTATGCTAACCCAGATGGCACAGCTGTATCTCCAGAGGACGCACCAAAGCAGATTATTCACTGGTCTCAGTGTAAAACAGCAGGAGGAAATGGGGAGGACTTAGGTAATTAGATATATTTTATTTTTTTTTAATAACAGTATCAGCTATATTTCTGAAATGGGGTTTATAAAGGAGGAGGTAATGGATTGGCTGCTTTGTTCTTATCACTCATTATCTAAAGAGTCTCAAAAGAAAAGAGATTACTGTATATAATCAATGTTAGAACTGTTTGGTTAATAAGGGAATAAAAATTGAGACTAATGAGTAGTAGGGAAAAAAGATGTTCTGTTGTAGATTGGTCAGAACTACTTTGCACAACTTCAGTAATTTGAGAAGAAAATTGTAGTGTATTTGTATATGTGGGTGTTCTTATGTGTGTATTGAAACATTTAAAATACCTTTTCAAAGTGCTATAAAAAGATACTTTAAAGCTTCATGCACATATAGATTTGGAGCATGTGTGTCTACATGTATATATATATACACACACATATATTTATGTACAGAGAGCACAGTTCAGAACTTTGGGAAAAATCAAAAGGATCTTCAGGAAACTTGTTTTAGCTGAGATTCGTACACAATAAGCCTCACTGTAAGAATCCAGCCCTTTTGGTTCTGCAGTTTGTTCTGCTGTCTAGGGTTTTTTAAAATTATTTTATTTTAATCTTAAACATATCTTACAAGTAAATTAAATAAAAGCCAAATTGAATTTGACATGTTCCTCTTCACATAATGCATAGTGATAGGGCATAGACTGCTTCAGGGAGGAAAGAATTGAGGACCCTCTTCCACTACAGGCTACCACTATAAATATGACAGTATATCAAATATTACAGAACCTTATTGCCTAGTACAGGGAAATGTAGTGTAGGTTTTAGTGAGGTTTTTCTTCTGTTTGTATTTTTTTTAATCTGCAATTAAAAAGCTTTCTTTTTTTTTTTTAATTTAGATATTGAAAATTTTAACTTGGGAAGCTTTTTCTGTCTAAAGACAAATGTATTGTTTGACAGGATTTGAAAAGCATTCTGCTGCTAAATCAGAGCATGTGAAAGAGAACGGAATTGGAGACCCCACTAATCAAAGGAGTAATAAAAAGCTTCAGCCAGATAATTCAGCATTCAGTAGAAGCCACATTCAAGCAAGTGGTGGTAGAGGTCCAGGTATGTATTCCCCATTCCCACCCAAAAAAACCCCAGATATGTCTTACTATGAAATATTTCAGATTATGGCATTTCAGGTGTGTGATAGCCTCGGGAGTAGAAGTGTTTCTAAAGGAAGAATTTCATCACTGACTGACTGAGTTGTTGTTCAGTTCAGTGTTTAAGTAACATGTGAATATCTGCCATGGAATGTTAACTTTTCCAGAGAACTGCAAATGCAGAATATTTTTTATTACCCTCATTATTCCTTCACTAAAGTGGCTCTTGAGGCCTTGATCCATTTCTCAATCATCATAAAGCTTTCCAGTCATGTTGTTGGTCAAAAGGCATATTAGTGACTTGAGGCTGACATGAGGCTCTGTGGATCACTTGACTACCTGAGGAACACTCTTCCCCAACAGTATTGTGCTATGCAGCATTATTTGTAGTCCTGTATGTTAATGGACTTTATGTTTGGGAAGAAATTTTCTCAATCTGTGTTATATAATCCATCAGTCTTTTTAAGTAATATAAAAAACTTAGGTTATGGTCCCTAAATGGTCCATATTTGTATGTTTTGATATATATGTGTGTTTTGATGGTGAATGACTTTTGAGTAATGGTCTTTGACAAGAAGTGTTTTTTGCAGCTAAGTTGGGTTACAGCGATCAAAAGGACAGGCTGAAGGACTTATCCAGAGAGTGTGCTCAGAAAGCTGCTGACATGAAAAACTTCACATCCTTACGAAAAGATGCAGACAGAGGACCAAGGAAAGAGTCTGGGAGACAAAGAGGTACATTTTAAAAATGTGACCAGAGAATCCATGGGTTAAATTACTTTCTCCTTTTAAGAGAAATTCATTGTTCTGAAATATGTACTGGATTTGTATAGATACTGTAAGAAACATCAGTAGTGTAACAATATCAGTTAAATGACCACTTCCACCCTGGAGGTGTTCCAGGCCAGGCTGGACAGGGCTTGGAGCAACCTGGTCTAGTGGAAGGTGTCTCTCTGCCCATGGCGGCGAGGGTTGAAACGAGGTGGTCTTTAAGGTCTCTTCCAACCCAATCCATTCTCTGAAACATGAATGAGAACTGTAATGGAGCTTTTTTCCTTTTGTTCTTACAAGATGTGATTGCAGAAGACCGTTCCAGCGTGAAGTCGGGGTCTCCTCCCGTTGGAAATGGCCTCAGGCACTGCGTGGATCAGCGGATATACAGCAGCCAGGGAAGAGGCCCCTACAGGCACGACAACGCACCTCACCCAGCAAAGCTTTCTGCACACGTGCTCGGATCAAATAAAACAGAACCTTTTGCTGCTGGGGAGAAACCAGTGACAAGGACACGGCCTGATGGTGTCACTGGCTATGATACAGACACCAGTCAGGACTCCAGGGACAAAGGAAGTGTCAGCAGCAGGAGCAGAAGTAAAGGTTGGAAACCAATGCGTGAGACGCTGAACGTAGACAGCATTTTCAGTGAGACCGAGAAAAAACAGCACAGCCCAAAGCACAAGGCAAACCTGAGCAGTAAATCTAAGCACGAAAAGGAGCGCAGCTTTAACCACTGGCCAAAAGAGAACCAAGTGCAGAAGGGTTTAATGACTATATATGAGGATGAAACGAAACAGGATACGGGAAGTCGAAGTTCACTGGATTCGGAGGGAAAAGGGAACGCAGAAAAAAGCAAAGGATTTACAGAGAGAAAAGTCCATGGTGATAACTGGCAAATTCAGAGGACAGAATCTGGATATGAAAGCAGTGATCATATCAGCAACGGATCTGCAAATCCAGACTCACCTGTTATTGAAGGAATCAATGCAGCAGATGTCAAGAATGTGAAAGAAAGTGCTTCCTGCAGGTAATGCTCATGCTCTTAGTGCTTGCATAGATGCTATTCATAGAAAACCAAGCTGTTCTAATATTTATGTATTGTTTAGAAAACAAAAAACCCAAGAAAACATGCTTTGGAACTTGCTTCAGGTCAGGCATGTGAAAGGCTGGAGTGTGTCTAGAAGTAAGGGTGTGGGCCATTAAGTGTTCCATTTGCCTTCACGCTGAGGCTGCAGCACTGGTTCCCTGTGGAAGGCACTGAGCCAGACACTGCTGAGCCTTGCTGAGACACAGGGCGTGGTCATTCCTAGTAATTGCTACACTTCTTTACTCAGGAGATTTTTAGACTGTGGGTAACTTTCCATCTGTAGTAGAACACAGTGTCCATATAAACCATACCTGTAACATTTGTACAGACAGGCCCTGACAAGGAGATGGGATTGGCAGTAGGTGACTCTTGTGTGCTGTTACTACTCACTGTGCAGAAATTCAGTGTTCTAGAACACCTCAGATATGTATTGATCACCTGGTAATTGATTGACCTGTTTGAAATTACTAAAACTGGCCAAAAATATGGTTAGTAGCCATATTTTATTAGACTTAGAACGGATGTATGTTAGTAATTAAGTATTCTATTAAGGGATGTTGTGTAATCTCTGTCTGTAAAGATAGTTCTAACCCAGCAGGATGTGATCCTGGGTATGGAGTTGACCCTGCTTGAGCAAGGGGGGTTGGACTAGATGATCTGAAAAGGTCCATTCCAGCTTCAGTTTATGTGGTGCTGTGAAATAGAATCCTCCCACATGCAGTTTTCTGTATTGTGTATCTTAAACTGTTTGTGGAAGGATCCTACTAGAACCCATCCATTCTGCTTTCAAATCTTGCTTGTATCCATAAAATGAAAGAGCACAGATAGAATCACAGAATACCCTGAGTCAGAAGGAATCCACAAGGATCACTGAAGTCCAACTCCTGGCTGTGCAACAGGACAACCCCAAGAATCACACCATGCACCCGAGAGTGTTGTCCAAATGCTTCCTGAAAAGTTGAGAGACCAAGCCTAGTCACAAATGATTGCCAGATCTCTGCAAATGTTTGGACATATATTTTCATGAGAAGTTATTTCATGGGAGAAAACAATAGCAAATAGCAGGAAATCAAAAGGCTTTGACTTCCTTCCAGTACCTGAAGGGAGCCTACAAGAAAGATGGAGAGGGACTTTTTACAAGAACCTGGAGTGAAAGGACTGGGGGAATGGCTTCAAACTGAAAGACAGTAGGTTTAGATTATTAGGAAGAAATTGTTTACTGTGAGGGTGGTGAGGCATTGGAACAGGTTGTCCAGAAAAGCTGTGGATCCCCCCATCCCTGGAAGTGTCCAAGGCCAGGTTGGATGGGGCTCTGAGCAACCTGCTCTAGTGGAAGGGGGGTTGGAACTGGATGATCTTTAAGCTCCCTTCCAACCCAGGCCATTCCGTGATTCTCTAAGTGGAGATGCAAAAGTTTAGAACTTACTTCATAAGGTATTGTGACAAGTTATGAAAACAAACTTTTTAGTTAAAACATACAAAATGCAGCTTCCATAGCGAAATGTGTTCGATTATTTTGAAACCACAAGAAAGCAAAATCAGTCATTTTTGTCTGTCCGTATTAAAAGATTCAGGTCATCCTAAATTTTTGTGGATCAGCACAGGCTGTCACATGTGGGAGCAGTGCTAAAATCAGTGTTCAAATCACATATGTGCTTCTTTTACAGCGAACAGAACTTGTCAACCAAAAAAGCTGAGCATGTGTTACATCCGGTGCCCCAGCAGAACAGAAACTTCCATGGTAAGAACTCCTAGAAAGGTTAAGCTTTCAAAAAGTATTTGAGAGGTACCAGAATTTGAAAACCTATTAGTATCACACAAGAGATGGACAGATTTCTGAATAGCCTTTTGTATTTTATCATTTTGCTGCATAAAGTAATGTCTTCATATGTCGCAAAATCAAAAAATGTACGTACTATTTATCACTGCTTTTTTTTTAATGAGCCATAACCAAATATTTCAAAGTTAGGCAATTCGTGTATCAGGTTGGCTGTATTTCAGTGTATTAGAAGAAAATTGAGACCCCTGGTGGCCTAGTGGTTAGCGTGCAGGACTTTCACTGCTGCGACCAGGGGTTCAAATCCCGGTCTCCTGGCCTGATGGAGGTCGTTAGCCCTGTGTGGCCATCCATCTATGAGAAGGTCACTCTAAACAAACCTACGTCCTGAGGACCTCACTGCCATTGTCCAAGCTTGCTTGGCCCCGGCAGATGAACCTTAGGATTAAAGGGTGGGCTCAGTTCAGCGCAGGCTGTGTCTCACCTAAAAAATCCATTGCGCAGGCTGGAAAGGTAAAAAGACCTTTCCCCAAATCTTCGTTCGCGAAGATGGGCCATTATTAGAAGAAAATTGGCATGGAATTTGTGGCTGTTTTGACCATGATGGAAGAGGTTTTCTTATATACTTATTTTCAGTAGAGATCTCTCTTACTGACTCATCATAGCCTGTGTACTCTGTCTTCTTGAAAATGGCAGAGGAAATATGTTTTGTGGGTGTTTTTCCTGCACAGTGAATTAGAAATTTTCTTAAAGCTTTTCAGTGAGTTATGCTGATAGATGAAGATGAAAAGTGTTCATATCCTTTTTTTGCTGTTGTTGCTGTTTTTGTTTTGTTGGGGTTTTTTTGTTTTGGCAAGTGGGCATGTTTCTCCTCCCCCTACCCCTTACTCCCCCCCCCCCGAAAAAAATCCCAAACACAAAAAACATTGTAATTTTGTTCACTCCCTATGTTTTCCCCAAAAGCATTTCCATGAACTTTCTTGGTGGATACTAAGGAAGATTTTTTCTTAAAGGTCTGGGTGGACTGTGGTACCATTTGTTTTCCTTCAAGATATGAAGCAATATCAGGAAGAAACACTTGTAATAAGGAAGTCTACTTCCTTTTACATACTAATATGTCTGCTAGGGTTTTATAAAGTTGATAAATGCCTTGGCATATAAATATTATAGGTCAGCACGAGGCCAGCCAAAATCATTATCTGCTGTTGCTGAAACAATGGAAGGGTGCTTGTACAAAGAGGGGCAATAAATATTAGGCCACTTCCTCAGGAAACATTTGATTTTTATAGATATCATACTCCTTTCCAAATAATGTATAGTATAGTATAGTTTCTCCTAAGACTTAAAGTAGGGGGTGGGGGTGCTGCCATATACCACTTCTACCTTTTCTGTCCTTATTCTAACCTATGTTTTGGTTGTAGAAAGAGAACTAATTTGGTGTTTTATTTTGACAAGCAAAAAAAAAGCCCCAAACCCAAAACTGAGTTACATGGAATGCAAAGATCTGGTTTTGCACGACATTCATCTGCTTTAGTTCTGTACTACACCATTCTTATCAAACACACTTGGATGGGAAAAAAAGAAAAAAACACCAGTGAAAAACACATAAAGGACTCTGGTATGAAAAATAGGTGGGTTAAAACAATGGTTGAGCTTGTAATGAGTGTTCTCTGGAGAGAGTACTTAAGTGTACTGAAAACTTTCAACATTTTACAAGCATTGTATATTTTCTTTAAAAAAGTGTAGTGATTTCAGGTGATCCTTAGAGTTAGGATCCCGTCTAATCAGTTATTTTAATTCAGTAACTAACTTTTGAATAGTTTCATAACAAAAATGCATGTATTTAAATCAGTTGTGAAGGTCTCATGTGTGCAAGTTTTGGAAAATAATACTTTTAGTGGAACTGATTAATGGACAGAAAAGATAATCTGAAGAATTTGATAATTTCACATGTATATAGGTTTCAAGATTTATTTAGACTCAGTTTTAAAAGTGTGCCAGGACACCTTTAGCAAGGACAATAGTGGTCATTTACATGTTTCAGTTGCATTACCTATGTTTTATCTCTGGGTGTTTATGAACAAGACGTGGATTGGTAGGTAAGAACCAAAGAGGCTCCTAGAAAATAGGACTTTTAAAAAAAATGCTCAGTCCTTTCTGAGAGAGGAATGGAATGTAAGAAATCTTCGTTAGGCTCTCATGGCAACTCCTACAAATATGTCTGAGTGGGTTTTCTGTGTGGAAAACTTCTTATGGAAATAATGTTGGACTGCTAATTCTGCCCACCGTTTGTGTAACTGTGCTTTTCCAGCTCCTTGTTTTTCACTGGAGCTGAATAAGGAAGGCTACTGTTCAGCAGTTGAGGAATTCTGTCCCTGACTTACAAAAATAAACTTATTGTTAAAGCATTATAAAGATAGAAACACTGGATCACGCAGTGGTGGGGAGATCAAATGGCTGCTGCTTACACTGGCAGTGAGCAGTTGATAACTAGTGCTGAAGCAAAGGTCCCCCAAGGCCAATCCCTAATTTGTGTGGCCGGATTCTGGCAGGACAACACAAATATTGAGTAAGCAGATATTCAGATTAAGCATAATTCATATTAATGACTTCGTGTTTATGCGGTTTGAACTTGATGAACTGAGGAGACGAGGGTTTTTTTTTGGTTATAAGGAACATGTGACATGAGCAGTGTGAGGGCAAAATTTCCAACCTCACATTCTTCCAATTGAAGAATGATGACTATAATTTTAATGGTTTTCCTGTTAATTATTAAGCTCAATAGCATGAGACAACTCCTACTGAAATCTAGAATCATCCTGAAGCTCTGGTGAGTGTGTGTAAAGAAGAATCCAAATTGCCTTTGCTTCCAAAAGTACAGTTCCTTGAATATAAGGATTTCTTTTTTTTTTTTCCTGAAAATTGGTCACCATTTTTAAAAAATAATATTCTGTTTTGGCCAAGTTATAATGTGTTTACCTTCTTGACTTGGACTATGTTCTTGTTCCACGTTTCCAAAGCTTCCAGTAAGTTTGCCCGTAATTTCAACTTAATTCAGAAAATGTCAGGGTTAAGAAAGGGGAATTTGCCACAATATGTGTTATGAAAAATAGTACAATTTGGTTTTTTATTGATAAAGTTATTTTTAAAAAAGGTAGGGTTTTTTTTTGTAAAAAAAACTCCAGGAAATGTGCAGCTAAAACACATTAGAAGGAAATTGAATTTAATGTGGAGTTGAGTTTTTGTTGGAGACTTCTGTATTTATGCTCATGTGGGTTTTTTTCCCCACAGAAAGCAGATTTTTGCACGTGTTCTGTATTTGTAAATGGAGATACCAGAGGAGAAGTTCTGTCCTAACAGTGGGCTATAGAACAGATATTAATATTAATATAGAACAGATATTAATATTGTGGAAATCTCGACGGACTATACAGATGTGAAAATAGGTGTTCATAAATCTTAAAAGCAGGCAGTTTGTACCTCCTAAAACAGTTTCCTCTCATTTATTGCTCAGCTCCTCGAGCCCCATTGATAAGGCTGCCGGGCTCCGGCCGAGCGCCGCGCTTGTGCGTCCCCATATTTAGGTTCGCGGAGGACGCAGAGCCAAAATTCCCGATGGAGCCGGCGTCCGGCTTTACCCGTGCATGGCCGTCCTGTCAGCAGAAGGGAAAATAACAGGTCTATTTTTAAGCCCGGCTGGAATCCTGCGGGCGCGGGGCGGCCAGAGGTGCCGGGGGAGCCGCCTGGGCTGTGCTGCCGCCCCCGGGCCGGCCCTCGGTACTGCCGCGTCCCGGAACAAAACCACCGCGCCCGGCACCGCCGGGAAACGTTCTCTCTTTGAAACGCTGCTCGGTGTCACCGAGCTCGCTGTTGGTAACTCCGTGGAGCAGTTTTTGAACTTTCTTCCAGTTAATTACTTGTCCCTCGCCACCGTCGCACAGGCTCGTTCAGCAACGATATTTTCCCCGAAGTATTATTTCTATTGTTTATCATGCAAGATTTTTAATTAATTTCTTTTTTCAATGTCAGGACGTGAAGGAAAGCCAGAGGGGTCTTTGTCTCTTGTGCTGTATGCTGATTTAGCCTCTGCTACCTGTGTTCTTGCTCAAAGATGGTGTCTTTAGTCTTTCATCACTTAAAGACAGGGCAGATATTGACCATCAAAACGAGCATCACCCAAAGTTTTTACTTAATTCTGTTCTGTTGTTGGGCTTTTGACTTGTGTGTTCATGAGTCAAAAGTTCCATGACTTCTAATACTTTAACTTGGGGAAGTAACAAGTTAAAACAGGTGTGTAGTTATGAGTCTAGTCTATACATAGACAAAATAAGCCATTGTAATAATAATAATAATAATAATAATAAGCCATTCCTTTGAATGGTTTCAGAGCAGGTGACTGATTATAAGGGGTTAATCACTGCATTAGGAAGACTTAACAGGACCTATCTCTAAACAAATAGACTGTTGCTTGTCACTTGCCAAGAGAGTGTTTTATTCTATGTGGTGTTGACACGAATACTTCAATGCGTCCTTTATTTACTGTTCACTAGGAGCTGCCTTGTTCAGAAATTGTGTATTTTGGGGGAATGTTTTTTTGCCTGTGAGTAAAACCCTGGCCCAGGCACTCAGTGGTGTGTGTTTGGCGCATGAGTGACAGTGTTCTTGGTCTGCTCAGCATCTCTGCGAGCTGTACAGTCTTGCTCTAAGGTTTTAATCGTTTCAAAGAATGTATTTCTTTAAACCCACATACAAAAAAAACCCCTAAAACATCCCCAATCCCTACATTCATTAGATTTAATGATTATTACATGATGCGAAATTTCAGACTTCATAAATAGTTTTTATTTTGTAATTTAATGATTTTGGGTGTTTGAATAAGCAAGCATGGTTTAATAAAAAGCTGCTTTTGAAAATGTGTTTTTAGTAAGATTAAATATTAGGGTGATGCTGAAAGTGTGTCTATAGGACTTCAAAATTGTGATAATTACCTATTTTCTGGTAACAAAAAACCTATAAAATTTCCTCCAGATTATTTAGCATTAAGGTAAGATCTGGCCACCTGTGACAGATTGTCTTCAAAATGGCTATTTTGATTGATCTCAAACCTTGAAAGGCATTAATTGTCCTGTTGTGTTGTGTGCTGTTTTTGTAACCTCTGAGCAATTACAAAGAAGGAATTGGACTGTACATATGCTTATTTTGAAATACCTTTTTTTTCTACCCCCAGATTTGAGGAAAGACCAGTTCAATTCTGAAGTTAACTACAGACCTCATGTTGGTTTCCCAACAGAATTACATTTGCAGGTGCCCAGTCCTCCAGTAAAGAGGTAATTAATACTGGCATCATTTACTCTACAATAGTTTAAGAAATACTGAATTCTGTTATGTTACAATAATCAATATTAAGTACTGAAAAGCTAAGGTATTGAAAGTTTTTGACAATCAAGAATCTAAACACAAATTTAGCAGGCAAAAGTAACATCCAATATTTGAAAAGTGGATGTATCAGAGTCACAAGGATGCTAAGAAGAGAGCAGAGGTCATGTTTGACATAGTCCTGAATGTTGAAGGAATTTATCTTATCTTGCATCTCTTGCAGAGATCTTTTGGGGGGCACTTTACATTTCAAATGAAAGAAACCTTGGAGCAATTTAATACAACTTTTAATCAATGGCGTTAAGTTAAAGAGATTCCAGTTCTCTCATCAGTTTGAATATTTAGGCAGTTTTACCAAGACTGTCTTTGAAAAAATCCTTGGGTTATTTGAACCTGTTCATATGTTTTTAGGGATACTTACATCTTGTGTGTTTTTGTATTTTAGAGCTGAAATGCCTGAGACCAACAAGAAATTTTTCCCCTCATCAGCTCTACAGCCAGTTGTCAAAGACATTGTGAAACCGGAAAGCAGGAACAAGGCAAACGGACAGAATCCTTCAGAGTGGCTTCACCCGGACAGGTTTGAGAAGGTGAACGTGGCAGTGTTCTGTCCTGATGGCATATCCCACCCCTCCCCCGAGAATGCCTGTGGCAGGAAGCTGCTCCACAGTGACTTTGTGCCCCCCGCCCAGCCGCAGTCTCATCACACAAGAACGCTCGGTCCCAAGGTGGGCTTGGCGCCCTGTGTGCCACAGTCCCTGCCGGAGAGGGCCGTGGTGCTTCCCACCCCTCCCGCTGAGCACGCCGGGCACCCGCTGCGGAGGGGGGATACCCTTTGGGTGCCTGAAGCAGTGTACCAGAACGTCCCTCCCCCTCTGCCACCCAAAAAATACGCTCTGAATACTTTGCCGGGATCAGAGGGTAACTTGGCAGCGGATGTAAAACCCACGGAAGCGTTGCAAAGTAATCCACTGAGGCCAACAGGTGCACCTCCAAAACCTGCACCAGAACCAAGTGTACTCCCACCAGAACAAAGGCTGAAAGAGCCCTTTCCAGGGAACGAACTGTTTGTCCACAAACCGGATTCTCCACCTCGCTTGTCAGTCAATGACTTCTGGACCGTGTCTGAGAACTTGTTAAAGAAAGGATCCCGTCACACGGGGCCGAGTCCTGGCTACATGGATGGGAACGACAGCGTGTCCCTAACAACCTACTTCTCAGTGGACAGCTGCATGACTGACACCTACAGGATGAAGTACCACCAGAGGCCCAAGCTGTATTTTACAGAAAGCGGGAGCTTTCCCAAGGAGAAGCATCCTCCAGCAGCTGGGGTAGAACTGAACGCTACATACCACGCCACCCTGGAACCCAGGCATCCCGCGCCCGAGCCGAGGTACAAGGCCAATGCAGAAGGCATCCACTGCAGCCGATAGATCCATAAAAAACCCCACACCCGGATCTGACTTTTGCATTTCATGTAGTCTGTGACCGGGCACAAACCTTGAATGTGTGTGTGATAACCAGGTACCCAGCTGACCGTACTTTGCGTGGGAGTTATGACTGTTCAAATGAATATGCAAATTGGAGGCGAACGGAGGAGAAGAGGTGCTAAACTTGTGGTTCTTTGATTTGTTACTCTAGTTGCCTTAATGCTTACCTCTGTTACTCAGCTTGTCTTCTACAGTTTGTACTAAACATGGTCCCTTGGGGTGTGCACATCTTACAGCAGTGGGATTGACTGGATGTTACTAAATCTGTAAGAAGATTTAATTAGTTGCAGTTTAAGAAGTGCTCCTTCAGACTGTGGTCACTACCTACTTAGACTAACAAAAGGGATAAATGTACTACCACATAAAATGCAGCAAATGTAGTAATAATAGAGTATTATTTGTCCTGAGAGGTGGCAGGAGATGACATGGTTTTTTCAACTGACTTCTCTGAGAGTCTGTGCTTTCACAAACCTTCAAGTGTCTTTAATACAAGTTTACCCAGAGGATTTATTTTTTATTTGAAAAGCCTTAATAATAATAATCCTTTAAAAACCGTCCTGGTTTGCAAATGCTAGATGAGACTTTCAAAGGGAATTGAAGTAAACTGCAGTAATACTGTCCTATTAATACACCTGCTCTATGTTAGTGTACGTTTTTAAACACATTTATCAGATTTTGTTCACCCTATAAGCTATATACTTTAACTTATTAAATTTAACTACATCAGTTACAAACTGGTATAAGAGAATAGGATGCTAATTTTAAATACAGAGTTATCATGCCACTATGAAAGACTAGTTTTCTAAGGTTTTTTGATAGAGTTACTGTTTCTGTTCAGTTCTGATTTATCCTCCAAGTGCATGGAAAGTTATTGCTGCTATTTATTAAGCTTCCCTTGTTTTCCAACTTGACAATTTTGAGCATTGGTTCATGGGGATCACATATTTGATTTTTTTTTTAATTCATTCTTTTTTTACTGATGTGTTTCCCCCTTTGGAACAGCCCTACACATGGGTATGGTCTGCATTAGCAGATCAGGCTGAACGCGCAGCCCTTCAGACTGTGGTGGCTGAGGGGCAGGGAAAGAAGAAGTTCCTCCTTCTCTGCTCTGTCACTGCCTACAGTTTTGGCAGCTTAGTAACAAAGAGGAGGATTTATTTGGCTTTTATTTGGTTAGTTAAATCAGTGCACAGAACTATCTAGCGTGTGCTGAGGCAGTGGCAGCAAAGCCTGACAAAATCCAAACAGGCTACATTTTTCCATTATTCACATTAGAGTGTTAACTTGGGGTGCTGCTGATTACACCTAAATCATCAATGCCTTTTAGTTATGAAAATAATGCAACAAGGTTAAAGATGCATAATAAACACTCTTGCTTATACTTGCACTGTTAGTCAGAAAGGCTTTTTTTTTATGTTTATAACTTTATGTACATGAATTTTAGTGCTCCAACCAAATGTTGGCAATTGTTTAGCACAATTATCCAAGGTAAACACTTAAACATTACTTTTGGTTATTCTGTGGCAAGGTCAGGTTTTTTTCTTTTAAATTACATGTAACTTACAGTAGAACTGGAACATTATATATATGCAACAAACCAGGTATCTCAGATTAACCTTATTTCTACCTTCTTGATCAAAGTTAGTTGTAGCACTTGGAAAAAAAAATGAATTCAAGGATTTATAGTGAAAATACTATGCATGTTTAGGTATGGCTGCTGGTAAACAGCAACTTAAAAAATGATCCTTTTGTAAGAAAATCAGTTGAATACAGGAGAACACTAAAAATGTAAGAACTTGGGTGATTCCTATTGTAATATTTTTGAGAGAGATTTCAGAACCTGTAAATTAAACTTTTCTAGTTCATCTAGCCATGTTACATAATATACATAGCCAGTTAAGTACAGCTGTCTTCTAATACTTGTGTAAAAAAACCCCAAGATTTATGGAATTTGTAAATAATGTATAATTTGTAAAATGTTTTGCAAAAAAAAAAAAAAATCTTGTATTTGAAATGACAGTATTTTTATGTATGAATAGCACAGCAACAACTGTGAATGATGTTAGAACACTTATTTTTAAACATGCATAGCAACGTTGCTACTTCTGTCCCAGGAGCAATATGAATGCCTATTACTGATACCAATGAACTCGGCTCCCAGGAAGCACAACCGGTAAACTCATTTCTGAAGTAGCTGCAGTGATTTAGATGTTCTTCAGTCTCCTTGCTTGGCTTGAAACAATCTTACCAGACAACTCTCTCTGTGCCCCATGTTTACCAGGTATTTAATTATCCTCCCTAGACAGCTAATCGAGGCACCTTTGTTTTTATATTTGACTCTGCACTCCCTGTATGTATGTATGTAATATTTGCTAACTAATATGTGATAACTCGTTTTAACTTACCTAGGGTGCCTATTTATTTTTTTATAAATGTCCCCTCCCGGCTATAGATTTGTATAAGAGCCTAGACAATTTTTGTAACAGTAAAGATATTAACAAGTCTTGTAATTAATATATATTTTTCAGTCTCTAGAATTATTTTCTTGCGAAGTTTTGCTTGTTCAAAATATCAAGATAAAAATTTAAAATCTTTGGTGTCTGTTCTTTTTTTACTCCACATTTAAAAAATGAAAGTTTTTGCAGATGGTGGTTCAATTACCTTTTTTGAACAGTAAAATTTGAAGTATTTGTTTATAAAGCTGTTAAATAGATTAAACTTTTTTTTTTTTTTATACTCATGAAATGCATAAAGCGATTTTAATACCATAATCCCTCATATCTGGCAACAAATGACTGATTTAGTTACACCAGCTCTCTTTCCACCTTTATTAGAGATAAGCAAAGTTTTCCTGGATATATGTATTCCTGAACTCCAGGTGCTGTGAAAGAGTTTGAGCCCAGTGCAGCACAAGCCTGCACTTTGTTAGCTCTGAAGTTTTCTGAGATGAGTAAAACCTTGGATGCCAGATCTGCCTGAAGGAGAAAACTAAAGCACTAGAAAATACCTTGAAATTTCACTTTCTAAAGGCTATAAAGCTGAATATCACCTGTCTTCCTTAACAAAAGAGAAATGGAGCAAGACTGCAGTGCTTAATAGGTTGTTCCCTTGAGATTTCCCTGGTGAAATCATACCAGAGGGAAAAAATAAAAATAATAATGAAAAAAGAGTAGTGAAATTCTCTAAAAACTGGAACCCTAATTTTTTTACTTGTGAGAATGGAATCACAATTCAATGCTCTTCTGCACCCTGAGTCAAGATCTCTGAAAGCACTGACTGATTTCATAGGTAGCAGCAGCCAAAATCATAAGTGTCATCAGGGAAGGGCATCTCCATTCTTACAGCATAGGTCTAACACATAAAACAAGACCCTCTCCCTGGCAGATTTGTCTTTAACAAGGAAAGAAAAATAAAGGGAAAGAGCACATGCCCACTTTTGCATCCCAGATCCCAGTATAGAGGCCCATTTTCATTTACTGTGTTAGGAAACACGGAAACACTTTACACTTCAAAGTCTCTGCAATCTCGTTATTATATTTATTCCTGAAAAAAAACCCAAACCAACTATGAACTGTGCTTCTCAGAATTACAAACTAGCATTCTCAAGGGAAAAATACTAAAGAAAACTGAACCCCCTTCATCCATAGTTGGAAGACTGTCTTCTCCAAAACCTGACTGGATACAAAGCTTACTATAAATATACATATCTATATAAATACTGACCCTGAGGAGGCTCAGTAACTGCTGAAGGTAGAGAAGAAAGAAAGGTGTAATAGAAACCCAAACAGCATCAACCCCTCACAATTAACTTTTTGGAAGTAAAATGGCTGGTTAAGCTTCACCTGTTGTGGGAACAGGTCTGAGTTACAACTTGAGTCTAGACAAGAGCAGGGTTTTATTCTCAGCCACTCTGCAGGGTGTCCTTTCAGTGGGTTTTATTCAAGCAGTGCTTTCTTCCCTTTCTGCTGCACAAACCTTCAGGCACTGATTACACAAGCCCAGTCCATCCATCTTACACAACCTTTAAGGCACAGTTTAGAGCACAGAAACAGGACAGGGATAAAACCCTGTAGCGGTAATATTGTGACACAGACAGAGATATATTATGGTATTACTATAAATATCTGCCTCTTGCATCCAGCTGCAAGTGGAGCCGTGTTCCCAGCTGCTTATCCCGCACAAATGGTCCTCCTCCTCCACTGGTCGTGTTTACGAGGTGCATCCCGTGGCGACACAGCGACTCTGCGGGAAACAGAGAAGGCCTGGTTATTTTTGCAGTGCTTTTGTGCGTTTGGTTTGAATTCATTTGCCACTTCCTGAGAAGCGTTTGTGCTTCCCAGGCCTTCTGTGGGACTTTCCGGGGCAGGAACGCCGGGGCTGCTCCCAGGGGCCTTCCCTCCGCGGGCACAGCCCCTCGGAGCTCCCTTCTCTCCCTCCTGTTATACCCTGGCCACCCCAGGGGGCCCCCCCTCACCTGGGCCCGCGCCCTCAGGGCAGCAAGTAGATGACCACGAAGAGCGCCAGGTCGAAGAGGACGAAGAGCCACAGGTCCAGCCAGTAGGACTGTCCCGACATTGACAGCGATCGTGACAGCGGCGGGCCGCCATTCCCCTGCTCCTGCCGCCCATTCCGCTCCTGACGCCGCTCCTGCGGCCGCCGCGCCACCGCCTCCATCTCCTTAGGGCTCCCCCGGCGGCACCACCGCGCAGGCGCTACCGGCTCTTCCGGGTTCCGGGCCAATGAGAGCGGAGCGCACGTACCGCGGCCACGCCTCGCGGCCCCCGCGCGGCCGCATCGCCCTTCCCGCGTCACGTGCCGGCCCCTCCCGCATCAGGGGCGGCACCGCCCGTCCCGCCTCACGTACCGCCCCTCCCGCCTCAAACACCGTCCTTCCTGCATCAAACACCGCCCCTCCCGCCTCAAACACCGCCCCTCCCGCCTCACGTCCCGCCCTTCCTGCATCAAACACCGCCCGTCCCGCCTCAAACACCGCCCGTCCCGCCCCACGTACCGCCCATCCCGCATCAAGCACCGCCCGTCCCGCCCCACGTACCGCCCATCCCGCATCAAACACCGCCCTTCCATCTCAGGCACCGCCCTTCCCGCCTCACGTAGTGCCCCTCTCGCCTCAGGTACCGCCTCAGGTACCGCCCCGCCCTTCATCTGTTCAGGGTCCTCCCCGCCCCTACCGCCTCAGGCACCACCCCTCCCGCCTCAGGGACGGCCCCGCTCTTCCCGCCTCAGGCACACCCCTTCTCACCTCTCATGCCTCAGGTGTCGCCCTTCCCGCCTCAGGCACACCCCTTCCCGCCTCTCCCGCCTCAGGGACCGACCTTCCCGCCTCAAGCGCTGCCCTTCCCGCCTCTCCCGCCTCAGGCACTGCCCCGTCCCTCCTGCCCCATACACCATCCCGCCCTTCATCTTCTGAGGTACCGCCCTGCCCCTCCCGCCTCAGGGACCACTCTTCGCGCCTCAGGGACCGCCCCTCCCTCCTCAGAGACCGCCCTTCCCGCCTCAGGGAAGCCCGCCCGGTGAAGCTCGGGTGTGGGGAAGAGCAGGTTGCCAGTCCTGTCAAACCGTGTCGGTCTTGTCCTGTGAGCTGTACTCGGACTTGTGTGGGAGTAAACATCCACGAGTTAATCCTGATACGGTTTATTGGTGAGCAGGTCATGCCCTGAAAGAAACCAAGAGATCATGTGGGAAATCCTGTCGTGAAGAAGTCTGGGAAAACTGAAGTTGTTTTAAGATACACTCCTCTCCTTGAAGGTTAGTTGGTGTTTGTACACGAAACAAACATGGAAAAGTTCATGTAGATAGTGTACTCTGTGTCCTTTGTTTATGCAACACACAGCTGCAGAAGAAATTAAATGGAGCAGCACAACCTGATGCCACACTCACAGTCAGGATGTGCCACCCTCAGCCCAGCCAGTTCACTCCATATTGAAAGCAGGGCAATTATTTTCATCATGTCCAGAAGAGTGACCAGAAACGTAGGAATATGCTAAACAAAAACTTCCTCTTTGTAGCTATTAACCCTTTTTAGCCTCATATTAAGAGACAAGGCAATGCTTGCTGAAGAATGCAGAGCAGGTGTATCTGAACAGAGCTTACTTCTTAACATGCACTTCGGGATAGTTGTTTTCCGTAGTAAGTTCTGTCGATAGAAATAAGGATGAATGTGTTTTTATATAGCAAATACTGGTTAAGCATATGTGGGTTAGGTGAAGTATATTAGAGATTTTGGGACGAAACAATGACAATACTTCCTCTTTAAGCCTTGTACCCCTCTGTGTAACCTCGCTTGAGCAAAAGGAGCTGTGGTTCGTGGGTTTACTGCCTGTATCAGGAGAGCATTTTGGCAGAAGAGGGAGCTGTGAGACGCTGAAGACATCATATTTTACTCCACGTTTATACTTACATAGAATAGTCTTGGAGCCTTGGGTGTTGTCAGGTTTATTTTAGGTTTTGCCATCCTTATTACACAAAATCCAATACACAGAGAAACCGTTTCTCAGTATAAATACTAAGGCAAGTTAGTAAGGAAACTAACTTGCCATTTGATAACCTATGCGAAGATGTTTAAGTTTTGCTTATGCAAAATAGTTTCTGCAGCCCTTTTTATCTTATGGCACTCAGGTAGGGCTTGATAAAGACATTTTAGTATATGGTAATTGGATTATTTTTTTTTTATTCAAGGCAAAACAGTAACATAAGGAACTAGCCTGCGTTTTCACCAGGGCTAGGTAATTGCAGCTTAGGAGGTGCTGTGAGGGGATAAAAGGGAAAAAACCCAGCAGAGGATGTGTAGAAAATGGTCTTCTTTCATTGCTCCTTCATTCTGGTGCTGTTCTGGGTGAAGTGCTCAGCCCCTTTTGAAGATTCTCTTGGATTCAACTCCTTCATATATATAGGTCTGTTAAGAAATGAAGAAGAAAAATCAGTGGCTGGTATTGCAAAGTTCCCTTTCACAGATGCTGTTGAGAAGGGGTCAGTAATGAAGGAATGAATTGTGAGGGGTGGCTGTGCAGGCTCTGGGGAGAGGAGCATAAGGAAAGCAGCCTGTTGTCAACAGGCATAAATTCTCTGTGCAAATGTTTGAACCACCACAGGGCAGCTTTTGGGGGCTTCATGAAAAACCCAAAGGACACTTGGAAAAGGGCCTTTAGCCACAACACATCTATACAGTGTGTATTTACTTATCTGTCTGTCTCCTGTATAGAACTTGTATTCAGGCTTCAGAATGCATGGATAAGATACAGTTCATATGTGGAGGAAAACATAAAAACCACAGGTTGTGAGTTTTGTTTTAAAGTGTTAAATTTTGATACGTGACTGGAGGATTTTAAGTAAAGATAAATTAAGTTATTTGGCTTTGATGAAATATTCCTACTTTCAGAACAGCTTTTAAATTTTTTTTCACTTCATTCTATTGTAAAGTTGTGTAAGTAAGTGCTTAACTCACCTGAACGAGTTCATCACCTACAATTTCTCTGTATGCTTTGAGTACTTTTCCATTGTCTTTTCTGGTAAATGTGCCCACAAGTTTATTTCCTTCCAGGTTCCAATTTCCCTATAATGGGAAAAAAACCCCAAATATTTTGCAACAGTTCTGACACTGATTTGATTTAAAGGCTGCAGAATGCTTTCAAAGATAAAATTAAAACAGTGTAATAATGCTTTTATAGAAAGGCTGTAAAAATTAAATGTTAATAAAACCATTAGTTCATTTAACTGCATAATAGTCAAGCTAGATATTTTTTAGTGGCCAGTACACCTTATTTTAATTAATTGTATCAACAAAGGTAGTTTCCTGTAAATACCCACTCTGTACTCTAGGTGGTGGACTTGAGTATTGGAATAAGTAAAATTACAATCACCTGGATTTCATCGTATGAAAATTGCCACTTGCTCCGCGTTTTTGGGCTCTCTATGGAACCCTGAGTTGCACAGGTGAACCATTACCAGTTAAGACTACCTTGTGCTTTTGTATATAAACTGCAAGCATTCCTGAACAATCACTCTTGCAAAGTAAAATTTAAATTTAACGCTAGGAAGACAACTAATTTATCTTGAAACTGTATCTCATGAAGATATTATCATATAAAAAATATAAAGCTGTATAGGAAGACTCTTACATTCATTTCAGTCCCATCAGCCAGGCTGTAGTCAAAACTGACTCCCAGGGTGAATTCAAGCTCTATGGTACGGAAGTTACTGGCCTCTTTGACAGTAAATTTGTTCCCATCTTGCTGGATAGTGATCTTCAGGTTGTCATGGGCGCCCAGCTTTCTCTTCATCATGTTAACACCTGGAAAAATCAATTAACATCCATCAGAAAAAAAACACCCAAACCCCCTGAGGATCATATTTGTCTCTTTTTAGTGACTTTCATGTAGTCCAAGTGAGCTTATTCCAGCATCCTGACCCAATTTTTTGTTCTTCTTCTCTTTTTATTGAGACCATATTCACCAGTACACATATACTACAAACCACTGTCTAACTCGGGTGGTTATGTTTATATCCATATAATGCACAGTCTGTGCAAACTTAAAGTAAGTATCAGGATGTTAGAATTACTTGAGTTGTGTTTCTATAAAGTTGAAGACTGATGATTTCCTCCCTGGGTAATTTTTCAACTAGTTTAATGTTATCAAAATAATATTCCTGCTATAGAATTCTCCTTATAGTTTATAATTCAAATTCTCTGAGCCTTTTCCTCAAATGTGGACTTAGGGATTCTTTTTTTCTGCTGAAATAAAGCTGGAATTAATTGAAGTGCTCAAGATTAATATAACGTAATCAGAACATTTCTCAGCATCTTTTATCCTCCCCCCTCCATGAAATATTTTGCAAGTCAATGCAGTACACTGTGCAAGGGCAGAGCAAATAGTGAAAGGACAGGCTGTCTTGAAGGTGGTTCAGAGGCAGCTCGAGTTTGCATTCAGCTGGAGTGGCATTTTTCCTGCAGAAGGCATTGGAAAAGTGAGACTCACCCAGCGCCTCCATGAACTTCTCATAGTTTTCATTTCTGTCTATTTTCCAACTGCCGTTGAAGGCCATGGCTGTGTCTGTAGCAGCTGCTCTGAGCTGAGGTGTCTTTGCCAAGGGAATTTATGTGCTGCCTTATCTGGAGAGCAATTTACAGGATGATGTGGCTGACTAAAGCTCAACTGATGCACTGATCTTTGCAAGGAGAACTTTACTGTAGTTTAATTAAATTTCCAGTCCTGACCACATTGCTTGCTGAATCTCTCTCTTATTGCCCCCAGATCATGACAGTATCTTTATGGCTCATCTTAATAAAGAATTGCTAATCCATTCATTCTATCCACCATGCATAGTAAAAATCAGATATCTAGTGAAAGCAGTAATTAAAATAAGAGCATTTCTTGACATTTTCTGTCTCTGTTGTATCTTCATGCTTTTGTGAGAGCCTTTATGCAACTGGAGAAAACATTATTTACCCAGCAAACCAAACACAAATGTCTACTTTGTCCATTATAATTTGATAGATGTCTGTTCTGCTCAACATAATAAGCAAAGGGCAGATGATTTACTGAATGTCTGCAGTTGTTTCAAAAAACAATCCTCTTGTTTCCTATCTAATGCTGAGCTATGAAAATTGGGATGATATTCTGTATTCACTTGCTCACTCCTTAACGTACAGTTTAAATTCTGAGCAGCTTCTACAAATTTTCTTCACTGCAACACATCAGTGAACACTATGTGCATCTGACACATTCCTGCAACAGAAAAAGAGGTGCAGCTGAGTGAATTTACCTGATGTGGTTGGTTTCTATAATTCCATAATTTTGCCTGTTCAAGGAGAATGCAGAACATGAGTCTTTCCTGACTTAGCAGCTTCTTCGCCCGCTCCCCTTCCCCTCGAATTGGTGCTACTTCAAACTGAGCAAAACCATTGACCCAGCTTTTGCCTTTGCCCAGTTAAGGGTTATAGTTATTCTGTTCCCAGGGATGCCATCAGCTTTGTTATGTGTTACCTTCAAAATGTAAATGTAAATCCCAATTGGTCAACGTGCATTTAACAACAGCAGTTAGGTCTCGGTATGTGGTTTTTACATTTACTTTCTTTCCACGATTTCATGCAGTTTTCTATCACCTGAATAACTCCGTGTCTCAAAAAATGTCATAGCCCATGCCCAGAGCTGAGCTAATCACAGATGTTCATCTTACCCTTCAGCCAGCTCAGGAAATGGGCAAACTGAGTTTCTACTTAGAGCTAAATTCTCTTTTTGTTGCATTGGCTTGTATCTTGACCTTTGTAGTTATCACTGTCAGTCTGTGTTATCTGTTGAGTAACTATACATAAACAAAAACACCTGGTGTGTAGTTATGGTTCATCCAATTTATTGTTACATAACAAAATTGGTAACTCTCTGTAGTCTTTGCAGAGAGGTTCTTTCTGACAGTGGTGTGGTGCAGCTTCTGCTGTATCCAGTAGAAAACTGAGGCCTGAAATAATGTGAATTACTCACATTATTTGAGGCATCTGTATCTGTAAAATCTAACAACTAGGAAATGACCTTTTATTTTGAGCATTTCCAGAAAGCTTTTCTTAGGTGTGTTCTGCATTCTCCCCAAGAACCTGCTCTTTCATTTAATTTAAGAAATGCTAAGGTGTCTGAAGCTAGTGTTTATATACTTAAACAAAGTTAATGCTACAAATTAATTTCCACATTTGATTCCAGTCTGTCTGCTTAACCTCTGAAAAAGTAACTCAGAGTAGTGACATTCTGCAGGTTAAATGTAATTTCTACACCAAACTTACTTCAGCAGCTTTTCTGAACCTTAAAAAGGAGGGAGGTGGTTCTGGAGCAAGTCTTCAACTATCAGGAAGATTCTCAGATGTGCTTTTCCAGTCAGAGATCTGACAGTTTGCTGTGTCCCCCCTTGTGATTCTTTGGTGTTTCTCAGAAGTCAGGCCAACTCCAAACCTTTTCACCATGGGAGCAGCGAGTAGCTGGGTCCTGAATTTCCCATCAAAGCTTGTTGTTCCATTCCTGTCCCAGTTTTCCCTTCTTTGACATTTTTTTCACTGGGCATGAGTCCCTCGGGTCCTGTTCAGATCAGCCCCACAGATCTGTCAGTTAAGTAAGAACCACAGGTGGTCAATATTTATGAGTTTGATGGTTGGTGTAGTGCTGACAGCATAAAGAACTGTTTTTCTCTGAGGTCTGGTGGAATGTCACTGCTACAACAAGGGACTGTCTTTAATCTCTCACAATTTACATGAGTTACTTAGGACTGTTAATGCACTAAAATATGACAAAATCTGACTTCATTTTTTTACATGTACTGGAATCATATGATATATACTTCATTCAGAGTTCTTTTGTGTTCCTATAATAGCTGGTTTTCTCTTTAAAGTGTTTTTATAGATTTTTTTTTTTTTTAGTTTGAATATTCCACAACCCTTTTCCTTCTTCTGTCTCCCTCTTCCTTGTGTGGTTTTTCAGAACTACAAGTTTTACTTAGATGGTGTCTTGAAATCTTTATTTTTTAGTGTTGCTGGATCCAGGAAAGTCTTGAAAGGTAAGGGTGTCTTCTTGGCTTTGTGGCTTTCTGCAACATGCCAGCTTCAGAACACTGAAAATGGACAAACATTAACTTTGAAGTTTGATCTTTAAGTGATGTGGATGGGAATAAATTATTAACTTAAATGGTCATGCCAATCTCATCCTGCCGATCTGTGATTATCACAGCAAGCTGTATTGTGATGGTAATTAACAATGAGGTTCCAAAGATCAGGGTGATAAAAAGGCTTTTGCAGTGGGTTATGCTTATCTATCCTCTTTGTTGTTTCGTGGTTTGCACTCGAGTTGTTCCTGCCTGAAATTAGCTGGGACAATAGAACTCAGCTTTACCATGGAGTGATTAAGGCTTGATGCCAGCCTAAACATAATATGCATCTGAAAATATTAATGTATACAATGTTATGTAATAAAAGAGAGATTAATCCCTGGTAAAACTATGCAGATTGGTTTGGCAGTATTTCTGTGTGTTTTCTACTGTCAGTATGTCTTGGGATGGATTGCAAAGATGGCTGGGCACTTAAATCATTTAAGTGCCCCTGGCTCCCTCATTGTGAAGTTTTACTAAGCGTTTTAAAAACCACAATACTCCATTTTAGATCAATATGGTAAACAGATAATTCCATGCCAGTAAAGGCAACTTCAGCATAACTCTGGGTGGCCTGGCAACGAGGAGCTTGGTGGAGCCTAACTAATGCCATCTCTTGGATAAATCATTTCAAAGTACGTATTGTGGTTGAGTGTTGTACTGCAGCAGGATTGGATTGGTTTGGATAGATATTGTCCTGCTCCAGCTGCCTGTTTGCTAAATTTCTGGTTTTGTTTTGGCTCAAGGAGAATCTCATGGATGCTGCTACCATGCAATCTGTTCAACATGAGGATTCAACATTGGAAGATTACTTAGAAATTTCCAGTGAGTATGGATCCATTTGACTGATTAGTTAGTAGTGAGTCTTAAAACTTACTCTTAAGTGACTGTATGCACCCCTTCTTCATTTCTGTGTAATGGCTCTGGTCCATAAAGTGCTGCATGGTTTTGAGAGTTGCTTATTGAGAGAACTGAAGTGCATGAGGTAATGAGCTCCAGGTTAAAAAAAATCTAGAAGCAAAATTTAGAATTTTCTTAAAGCAGTAACAACCCTGGTACTTACTTCATCCGATTACTGCATGTTAAAATGAATCCTAGGATTACCTGAAATAGTAGAATCTGGTCTCGTTTCAATGCAAAGAGGGTGACAGTGAACAATTGCCAATAAAAATAACTGTGCTTCTCTAGGAAAGGTTATATGAATCTCTGAGTATTAGTGCCATTTGTCACTTGCCACATAGAGACTGATATGCCAGTTGTCCCCCAGGGCTTCGTGTCGGGCTTATCTGGGGTATTTAAATCTATACCTGAATATTCTTTTCCTGTATTCTCCAGTTTCTTTTTGTTCAGAATGTGGAATGTGATCAAAGGGGGGGGTGAGTTATAGTCCAGTGAACTAACAACGTGTACAGTATTAGAAGTCTGCATCAGTCATTTCAGTTTCTCCAAAATGTGAACTGCACTTTTAGCTCATTTCAACATAGCTTTTTGCTTATTGTACACTTTTGTTCTTGGTTATGATATAGCTCCAAACTCCACCGGAGATTATTGTGATTATCTGGATTAGTGACTTGAATCTGATCTTATCTGAAAAAACAGTGAGTTTCAGAGTTCTTCTGAGCTCAGCATAAAAGCAAGAGAGCACCCTATATGGCTCAGATATTTAAATATTTGTATATGCAAAAGGAAAAGATGGTTTCTGACAAAACATTCTTTTCTTCGTGTCTCAAATAAAAGCAGAACAGACATTCATGTCTTGGTTCTCTTTCCAGCACAGAAATGGACTTTCTATGTGACCTTGATCAAATTCCCCCCTCTACTTATCTGTAAAATGAACTTTCCTTCCATTAAGCAGCTGTATATACCATAAAATAAATTGCCAGTGACTTGATTAACTAGTACAGTAAAAGGATTCTGAATGCCTATATGTGAATGTATCATGTAAACTAGTGGTATGATTTAACCATGGGCTTTACTTTTTTGATGCTGTTAAACAAAAGAAACCTGTGTATAGATTTGCAGCCATTACAAAGCACTGGGTGGGCAGGAGCAGGCTATGGTCTAAAAATTATTTCCTAAAAATCCTAAAGGGTGGGATTTCATAGGAATCTGAAATGCATGTCAGCAACAGCAATCACCACTCTTACTAAAATTATGGCTGGAGGAAAGAGCCCTTGTCTTTTTACATTTGTTAAAAAGGCATCACTGTTGTGCAAGATGTGAAAGACTGAGTGTAAAATTCTTTCACGTCTTCACTAAAAATGCCCTTGTTCAAGGTTAGATTCTGGGTAAGAAATGTATTCCAGTACTCACTCCTGCTGAAAACTGTGCCACTGCTCAGAGGTGAATTCAAACATTCAGCAGGCCAGAAGGACTGAGCAGGAGCATGGCTAGGCTGGGAGGGGGCTGGAAAGGCTGCAATCCCAGCAGCAAATGGTTGCCTGATGTATGGAGATATACATAGGCAGTTGTGCAGTTGCACTCATAAATTGCAGTTGGTTCGAGCAAACAGTGCTTGTGTTTTGTGCTCAACTAAATCTGGCCCTTCATAAGTTTTTCAATGAGCCTGCTGTTTGTCAGGGATGGACATACTTCTTGGTTTTGCCTAGAGCTAAAAAAAGTTAAGCCAGAAGTGTTGGTGTGCAGGACCTAATAGGCAAAGAGCAGGAATTGCCAAGAAGCCCACTGGTCCAGAATTCCTTCTGGGATCAGCAGTTTGCACATGAGGAGGCTTTTGCTGTCAAAAATAACTTTGTCACAGTTTTGTTTGAAGTCACTGGGTTGAGTATTTCCATGCTATCCCAGGAACTGATAGCTGGGGGGGCAGAGGATGAGGATACATCTGTGTAACTGTTGCATTTGCTGGTTCTGCTTATCTAATAAATAAACTGGTTTCTGACAGCTCCCAGTAAGTGCAGCTCCAGTGCTCTCTAGTGGTTAGTAGCAGTTAATTATTTTTTGCTGGTTTTAAACCAGAACTACTTTACCACTGGCTGATCTCAGTGCTACTTAAAAGTATCTTGATATTAATAGTGACATTTTTCTCTTCAGCATTTCTAGGACATAGAAAAGTTATTATAAAATATACATTTACAAGAAGCAATTATTTGAATCAGGGAACAATGAGATGTTGAAAATTCAACCTCAGTAATATTAAGTAACAAACAGCAAAATTTGACATCATCCTTTTTATTTTAAAAAGCATGAAAACGGTACAAAGAGAAGAATGAGGAAATAACTAATAAGCAGCAGTCTGACCATAGAAAATATCCCGACTCTGTATTCTCTATCAGCTGTACAGTAAGTAGGGATAATGATTCTTTAAAGTAATGTAACCAGCTTTACTTTAAGAAGTCATAGGACAGAAGCAAGAAAGAACACACAGCATTCAGAAGACTTTAATACTGCGAACAGGCAAAACATAATATACAGAGAAACCCCTCAAACTAGTACAAAAATACTGTGCCCAGAAACTATATATTTGTTCAAATTTTTTTCAAAGATAAAAGATTACAAGTGGACACACTCAGTGATTGGTGACTGTGACTAAGATTTTTATTAAACCATAATAGGAATGTATATTAAAACTATTTACAGTGCATTTCACACTACATTCTTTAAGAGACACATGCAGGTGTCCCCCATGTGAATACAGAGAGGGCTCAAATTCCAACTTAAGTTCCATCTGTAAGGTACCTCATGCATCAGCAGGAAGAGCTGAACACAGCAAAGAGCAGGTGAGGCAGGTGTTGCCAAGGGTAAGAGTTTGGTCCCTCCTTGAAGGTAAAAAAGGTGGATTTGACCATTCTTTCACTTTCTATACAGCTCAATCCAACTCCCACTGAGGCAAGTGGGAATCTGTATGACTGGCTTTAAATAGGCATCAGAGCATGCTTTAGACCCTGGCATGACCAGCTCATGCTGTGAAAATAAGTGAAAACTGGCTATTCTACAGCATTGTCACAAAAATACACATTTACAAACAGTGGTACTTAGATCTCAGTTTCTCTATGGAAACAAATGTCTTTATGTGGAAAATAAACTTTCCCATGCAACTTCCATTCATCTAGCAGTGACAAAGATAAAATATCCCACTGGCACTATTTGCTGTATTTAACAAGTGTCACTAATCACCAGGCCAGATTCTGAGATGTTTCTTCTTCCTGTCAAAGTCCAAACTAAAAAATCCAGCTTTCATTATTTACCATACTCTGGCCAAACTCATTCTTTTATTCAAGCTCCAATGTTCAAGTTTATCTTTCAAATTAGTGCAAGTCCCTGAAGAAGTGCAGCAGGGAACTGTGAAATAAAGCTGAAACCTTGTGGAATGTAAACTGCACGTGATTTGACATGAAGAGAAAAACCCAGAGCATTACAGAGACAAGACTCCAAACTAAAGCCAATAGATATATTTGCCTGAAATACCAGATCTTTATAAAACCTTTAAAAAATGTATGAATTTATTATCAGTGAGGCTTCTTTTTTTCCATGAGAACTCTCTGCTGTCTTCTATGGAGAACTGCAAGGGACACCAACCAAATAACTCGGGCAACATCCCCGAATTTTATGGGACTAGATTTGACTCTTCATAATTTTTCTGTGTAATGCGTTGGAAAATTAGTTACCTGGGAATTTTGAAAAAATCTTATATATGAATTAGACAGTGTTCTGATTTTGTCAGTTCATGCCACTGCCTGGTAAAATGCTTTGGATTGGAGGTGAAAAGTTTATCTTTACATAAAATCAGGCTTCAGTCCTCTCTTCTAAGGAGAGATCAGCTGATCATCAGTGGAATAGGTTGTTTACTTTTCTCACTAGCTCACTTGAAGTTAGGAAAATAATCTGCTCTTAACTTTAAACTGCTAATTAACAATTCACTACATCTCCAAAATCAACATCACATTATTTTCCTCCCCTTTCTTTAATTGTGTGAGATAATAGAAAACCTAGATGTTCTACAGCTAATATTGGATGTGGGACTAACTTATTGGAAAAGAAGTACTACCTACAGCTTAAGAACCTCATTGTTATTTTTAATTAGAAGAGGTAGGGTTAATCAGTAATTTTATGTGTGTTAATACATGTGACAAGTAATTTTTTTAAGAAGGAGAACAAAAACAGAAAGAAAAGTGTTCTTTAAGCATTAAACTCTGTTGTGGAGTGAGTCTAAAAGAAAATATGTCCATATCTGAGATCAAGCAGGATATTAACTTAGACATCTTCATTGAGACCTTGGTGGGATAAATTCTGTACTTGAAGATTGAAATATCGAATTTGACAATGACTTTAATAAACTTTAGTCTGAACTGACCAAGGGAAAAACTCCACTTCAGCTGGTTTCTTGTGTAATCCCCACTGATTGTTTTAGCTAGACAGTATAAATTGGGGAGAAAATGTTTGAGACCTGACTAAAATAACTAGAAACACAACTCATGAGGAAATGAAGGACAGCTTGTGGCTGTAATCCACTAGCTGGGTTTGAAAATGTTGAATTTTAAAGGCAATGAACTCCAGGCAGGAAACAGGCTGGCTTTTTTTTTTCCCCATATTGTCCCATATCTGCATTATGAAAGGAATGAGCAGTTTCTGCAAATGCTTCACACAAAGCTGACATGGAACCAGCACACTCTGACTTTGCCTTCAGGCAGAATTAAACACTATTTAAAATCGTTGATCATGCTCTGAAATGTCAGGAACTACAGCAGTCTATGCTTTTAAGGTTCTTAAACCAGTAGTTTAAAGGCTTTGGTTTTGTAGAAATATATACAGATACAGGTGTATTATGATAAATAAATGGTTTATTTACTAGGAACTGTATTTATACCTGTGTTCCAATCTCTGTAGTGGAAGAGATTCCGTGGGATAAATGTGTACAGATATGTAATTAAATATATGCACATACTCTATAACTGTTCATTGTAAGTGAACCTTTAAAAAATGTAATGCCATGCCCTTTTTTTCAAGTCAAAGGTATGAATCTATCACTCTTCTGTAGCAGTTATAAATTTAGTTATAATAAAGCCTTGCTGGACACACAATATAGCAAAGAAATACTGGGATATTAATGTAAAAGATGCTCAGTCACTACACTGTAATATTATCATAGTTATCTGCTGTGTTGTCACCATGAATTACCAGTCTCAACCATAATAGAGTACACCTTTATATACATATAATTTATTCATATTTATATTAAATATGTATCTCATCAGTTAGTGTAATAATTATATTTCAGTATCTCAAGCACTCAAGGAGAAGACTATACAAGGACTATGCAAATCCTGAAGCAAAGTTTCCTATTCATCAAAAAGTACCTAAAACCTTTTTGTTGGGGTGGGCAGGCTGCTGTCATTTGCATATAAATACACATATGGAGCACTGCATAACAGTAGTCCTGGAATTCTGAATTATTATTGAAATCCATACTTTTTTTTTTAAATCTGTGTGAAGGAAATCAGGAGAAATACTTTTTGAAATTCAGCTGCAATAATACATTATTGGTGCTCATTAGAGAAGTCTGAGATAGGATTTAATCAGTGACAAATAATTTAGGTTGGCAGAAATGCTGCTGACTGTCAGAATACCTTATTCTACATTAAAAAAAAATATTCAACTATGAAACTCAGTATCGTCAGACATTTTGAAACATTTGCTTTATATTTTCTTAGCTTCTGGTATAAGTTATCTAAATGAAGAAATTGATAAAAAGGGGGACTTCTCACTTCTTTCTGACCAGCTCTTACAAGGGGAGGGGTTGATAATTCATTGCAGTTTCCAACTAGAACGTTCTGGATTATTCTGATAGAAATAAATTCCCATATTTCAAAGTACAATCCCAAATGTGTTACTTTTTCCCAACACAATTGCTGATTTTAACCGGAGAATCATTATTACACATTAAAAATCCACACTATTTTGTGTGTGTCTGTGCAGCCAAAGTTACAGGTACTGCTGATCCGGTTTAGACTGCTGATATTCATCTCCTGATTCTGTCTACACAAGGAATAGTACTCTCTTTGTTTTACTCTTTTGGGATCTGTCTCATGTGCATATTTTCTTTAATTGGTTCCCAATTCACAACCATTTTTATTAATCATCTTTTTTTAAATAAAATACCAATGTTGGGGTTTTTGCTAGTGCAAGTTAATTGATTTCTTACTTTTCAGAAGATTAATGCCTCATATACAACTGGCAAATCCCTGTAGCATTCTTGGCTATTTCTGCTTTTGGTACTCTTTTTTTTCTAATTTTTTTAAAGATGCTGTGATTAATCATTGTTAACTAATGCTAAAAATGATTTTTAAAAGATGTTAACATAAAACTTCCTTCCAAGTGGTCATAGCCATTTCATAGCAACACTGGCCTAAAGAATCAGTCATGGATAGTCACCAGGATTGTGCCATTCCTGCATCTGTCTGACTCACATTGTCACCTCTTGCTCTTGCAGTCACGTTCTCTTCTGCCCGCGATCCCCTCTGTCAGTTGGATGATGTTCAAATCAACTTCCAAATGAAGTTAAAACCAGCAGATAAAAATGATCCTCTTCAGTTTCCATTTCTCTCTGTGCTTCTTGCAGCTTTCTGTGGGAGCCATCCTTCCATCATCCTTGCATGGCAGCCTGTCAGTTATGCTGGGACATTTCAGCAGTCTTCGAGCAGTTTCCATTATTCATGGATAATTGTGACACTTCCACCTCAAAACTCCTAAGACCCTTGTTGCCTAGTATTTCACCAGGGTCTTAAAAATTTCTTCAAATGTAATATGACATTTGCTCAGACACTCATTTGATATGAAAAAAAACCCCAAAATTGAACTACTGGGTGCATAAATTCTGGGGCTTTTCACCTCAGAGCCCAGTTCTGTCTTCTGAAGGAGGTCAACATAGTATATGCTGGATTAGGCTCCCCAGAGCGAGTCCCAGTCTTCCCTCTGAGCCTCTGGGAAGAGAACAGGTGAGACTGCTCATGACTTTTATAACATAACACAGCAAGATTGGGAGAGGGAAAAGAAAAAGGTGCGAAATGCAGTAGTCTGTAAGATACTGGCCACAACATGATCACCAAACAACTATATACATCTGGAAAGTCAGAGGCTCTCGGGCACAGCTGAGTCACTGCTCTAGTACCTTCTGCTGGAGCAGAGGGGCAAAAACTACCCTTGCAGGTCTTTTTCCATCTCAATCAGATGTAATAAAAGACACATACTATCTCTTGGCATATACATGGTCATGCTATATCTTGGAACGTGGAAAGATAATACAGCAGTGGCAAAACATAAGCCAGATTCATACAGTGTTCAGCAAAATGCAGTACTCCCCTATTACTATGTCTTCTACGTGAACTTAAGCTTGTGGTTGTTAAATCAGCATCTCAGTTCCGTTTGCCTTGATTGCTCTCTCCATTAATCAGGTTCTTCTCTTGCTGTTCAGCTAAGGCTTGCCATTTCTGCCTGTTCTTTTTACAGCCATCCAGTAAAGGGGAGCAGGCCTCTGACACATGTGTTAGGGCCTGAAATAGATTAAGAACGTGTAAAACAGATTGCATTTAATTTATAATTAAAAATGAAGAGAATGAAACATATTTCTCGTATTTTTTCAGATTTCTGAACTTAGAGGATAGACTTGTAGATCATTCAGCTGAACTGCACCGGTTACTTAGCTAACACAAGCCACAAAGCTTCAGTTCACTGGGATCTGACCTACTCTGAATAACATGGTAAGTCACATTCTTGCAGTGCTGGATTGAGAACTCATTTCTGTTTGCACTGTGTGTCAAATTCCTTCTGACTGGATGAAAGCTACGAAAGCAGTGAAAAGGCTGCCATTACAAACCTGTTCATTGTTTGCTTTTATTGCGTTAGAACATTGGAGAGTGAACCCTGTGCTTGTTCATTTTCAAAGCAACACTGAAGTTGTTTGTATGTTTTATCATTTTATTACTCATTAAAAAACCCCAAAATCTGTGTAAGCAGGGTAATACCCCCTACTTGTACTCCAGTAAAAATAAACTCAAACCACAGCCCTTTCCTTGGATTTAGCATAGTCTTTTGGGTTTGTCACTACCTCAAAGGCTCCCCATCCTCTCCAGTGCTCTCTGCCCCTGCAGGTAAGTCACTCTCACTTCTCTGTCAGCTTAGGACATGAGCCTAGATAAAGTCCCAGACACTGTCAGCCTGTTCTATGCTGTTCCAGTTCAGGGGAGGCTTTAAAACAAGGTGACAAATGAAACTGAGACACTGAAAGCTGAATCATAATTGAAAAGACCAGGGAAAAAAAAAAAAAAAAAGGTAAAGCTCTCCCCTAACAAGAAAAACAATAGAAGTTCAGGCTTTGGAACTGTGGGCCTTCAAACCCGCTCAGGTGCTCTGTTCAAAGAGTTTTCTGTTTGTACAGTCTGTACCTTTGCCACCTCCACCTACCTCCACCTCAGGCTCCCCAGCAAAGGCTGCCTTATTTTCCTGACAAACAATTTCTACAGCACAAAAACATCTGACTTTCAGGGACAGTAGCTGGTAGCTCCCACTCCTTCCCCTATCCTTGTTTCCTTCCAACTGGTGGATGTGGATTCTTTTTAGAAAATGTTATTGTTTAAGAGAGAAAAATGCAAGTAGTCACCTTCTTGCTCCCACTAGAAGATTGTTAAGAGTTAGGCTATCTGTTCTTCACCTCAGTCCCTGTAAAATGCTTGCTACAGTCCCAATGAACAGCCTTTCACTCCAAGGCTTTATTGGTTTAAAAAAAAAAATTAAAAAATCATTATGCTGTGTTTCATGTTGTATTTGACCAAGCAGCTTTTCACACAGTTTGTGACCAGGACAAAAAACTATTTCAATGAATTCTCTCATGCACTGCTTTTGTGTGAGATGAAAGAAAAAAAAATGGGATGGGAAAAGTTAAACTTGGGTAAGTTTTCTATACGTAGCATATCACCTTTTGTATGAAGAATTCTGAATTCCTTAAAACTCTTAAACAACATTTCTATCAATGCACTACCTGGATACCATTCTTTTCCTAGAGAGCAAAACATTAGTTTTATGAGATTCCCTGAGGATCACAGCAGCTCACTGGAGCTGCTGGAATCCAGAATATAAGCCAGGGATATAACACCAGTTGCACAGAGCACAGCAATTACCACTAGGTTTAATAAAATGATAACAAATTACATTAATCAGACAAATATACCACTAATTATAAATACTAAAATAATAATTTCTTCGACTGAGTAATGAACCATATGTAATAAATAATAAAATATTTTTACCTAAGTGACTAGTTTTTTATTTGACTGTTATTCTAATTTTAAATCTGTGTCTACTAGTGAGTAGTTCTGGTTTTAGATATTTGCAGTTCTTTCTTAGGCATCGTACCTCATACAGCTGCAAACAAACAGCATCTATGAATCCAACCTGCATGCTGGGAATTTTGTTTTTCTTCTCTCTGTTCATTAGATCCTGCAGATAAGAAGTAAACAAGCTCTGTGTTTAAATCCATTAAATAAAAAACCCAACCAAAACCAAGGAGACAGGCTGGAATTAAAAAGCAGCACCTTAAACAGCAGAGCAAACTCAGCCCAGTGGGGTATCAGTAGAAGTGTTACAATGCAGGCAATTTGACTGCATGACTTCCCTTAGGAGATTTGCTGTGGATTAACAGAGCCCAAATAACTAGAAACACAGGCAAACTTACTGGGTTTGGATAGGTTGCAAATAGGTACCAATTCAGGAATGTATTTCCCAGACAATTTAGTAATACTGATTTGAATAAAGTCTGTTCTGGTTCAGAGTTGATGACACACACTGCTGGTGTCTGAGAACCACAGACAGGAAGACAGGGGAAGAGTTGGTCCTATATTCTGGTCAGTGGGAGAAATTGGGGATTTTGAGGTGCTGTTTCCAGAAGCCATTTTGCAAGAGGTGATTCTGCCACTTACTGTTGGTTCTATGTTGAGTTCCTTCCGCTCTTTATCTCCTTGATCAAAGAACTCAGTAGCTACAAGCTCAGCAATCTGTAAGAGATTTCACCCATTAAGAGCTCTAATGTGGATATATCAGATTGGGGACCCCCCCTAATGAGACTCCAGCTCTGCATTCCACCACTGCCTTTGCAATAAGGGTTGGATGGAGGAAGCAGAACCTGTCATGCAGTTTGTATTTAGTAAATCTTAAAAATGAAGCATATACCCGTTGCTGGACTGGCCATGGTTTGGTTATGGCTGATAAATCACAAGCAGTCATCAGCATGGCTCTGTAGAACAAACAGAGAGAAATGTATGAGCTACTGTATGGTGAAATGCATGGAGACACCAAGTCAAGTGATTACTAAAATAGAATTTCAGGGAAGATCCAAGTCAGAAAAGCAACTGAAATTAAAGCAGAGTTATAAATGTAGCCCAGGCCTGATGCTGTGGTAGATGTCTCGATTCTTAGTCTTCTTTTTTCTTCATTGCCAGTAAGGAATCAGCTTCAAACCAAACTGCCTGTCCTGACTCTTCAGTTACAGGTTTCAGAAATTCACTGTTTAAGCATAAAGTATCAAGAGCAAAACAACATGGTTCCTAGACAGGGACCCTACACTCTTTAGGAAGAACAAAAATGCTCACGTAACTTCATATGATACTTAATAAAGTTTATTCTACAGGCTGCAGACTTAGTAGTTCAGGCCTAGGGAGTTGTTCAGTGACCTATATGACAGTGCCAGTTGTACAGGCCCAGAGCACACACTCCTGCTCACAGAAACGTGGCATGGGGAAAGGGTACCTAATAGTATCAGCTGACTTCTTAATCATTCTGCTTTTACTTACAAAAATAGCTCCTTCTGTGTAGGGTCTTCCCAATTAAACTGCTTCTTCCTTAGAAGTTCGAAAAATTCTCCTCTCCTCCTTTAAAAGAAGTAAAAGATTTTGCAGCATGATGACACGATCCAAACATCCAGCAATGACTACCCAGCCAAACTTTCCTCTGACTTACTTTATGTACAGTGCTAGGTCTGTGGCAAGAATGGCTTGTTTTATCATTTTCAGTGTAGCCTTGTATTCTTCAATGGAAAGGTTGCTGAGAATCTGATTTCCCTTCAGAAAAAAAGCCAAAAAGCAGTGTTACCAGTAAAATGGGCAGCAGCACACCAGTTTGCTAAAATGTCTCTTAAGCTACTCAATCATTATGAGTTGCTCGCTGATGTCATTCTTTTACCCTGCTTCCTTTTGCAGATTCCCCAATTTAAAAATAAAAATTCCAGTCTTCTTGAGTAATGGCAGAAAGCTGCATAGCAACAGCATCAAGATTGACTATTACAAAATGAAACTGTAAACAGAGCAACATCCAAGCTCTCAAGTCCATTTCATTCATCAAAATCAAATTTGCCATGAGCTCTACCACAGCATTTCTCTTTCCTCTTCCTCCCCCTCCCCGAAGCAGAGGAGCTGTGACAGATTCCAGTACCTGTCTATGCGTCTCTAGTAAATGAAAATATTTTCCTTTTGTGAAGCAGCATAAATAACAAGCTGTTAGACAGAAAGAAAAGCTCAGCAGCCTCCTGTTAAACCAAAGCTGGTGAAATGGCAATTTGCCTCAATTTTTTTCCCATATTTGCCCATCTGAATAGGAAACAATCATTACAATACAAAGGATGCCAGAAGTACCATACCTGTGGTGTGAAAGGAGCAGTGCTTTGAAATGACTGTGCACACTGAATAACTGGGCTTCAGAATTAGTTAATAGCATGAAACAAGAAGAATGTCATTTTATTTGCATATTTACTTAACTTAGGTTTGGCTTCACTTTGGAATGTCAACATCAGCAGTGTTTGGTTTGGTCTCATCAGGGCTGCTTTGTGTATGTGTAGGCTGGAATGTTTTTTGGAATGAGAGCAAGGACTTGGGTTTGTTTGGTGGTTCGTAAGAGGTCATGAAATGGCAACAAAGCCTTTTGTTTCCCTTGGTCCAAGGAAGCAGGTACCCGAAAGGATATTAGCAAGGCTTCCCTTATCAGGCAACACTTGGAAAGGTTTGGTGGAGCTCAGCAGTGGAAATGGGATTTCCAAGCTGCTGCATTTGCTTTCTTTACCCAAAAAGGAATAAAGAGCACTTGAGAATGTATAAGGGTGGGATTCTATCCAGAAGCTAAAAATAGAAAGTAGAACAGTTTCCTTCAGCATACAGAAGAATGTGGCACTCACTGGGCTATTCAGGATCATAAGGCATTGATCAAAATGATGATGCTCCATGATCGAGTGGCAGTACAGCTGGGCCAGCGGATGTTCGCTTCTGAGGAGTAAAAAGACCCATTAGATGGAGAAATCAAATTAAACATCCAGAAATAACTTCCCTTTTAATGTCCTCTTCACAGGAGTGTGGATAAAAAGACAGTGCTGTTACTTTGTCAGAGCACAGACAGCTCTAGTTTTCTGCCTTCTGTACCTCTTGAGATCAGCTGCACACAGGGAGGGAGGTTTTATAAACAGCTCTTGTACGAAAAGCAAAGGTAACGAGAAGAGTTCATTCACAAGCAAAGTTTAAGCGACAGTTTTGGTTTCTCTAACATCCTAAACACCTGTCTGGCATATTTAGTCAACTCAACTGCCGGGCTTGTAAATAATAATGCAAACTTAATAGGAAACCCACTGATACCAATGGAAAAATTCCTGCCGACCTCAGTGTACTGCAGTGCAGAGGCCCAAAACGTTGATCAAGTAATTTCCTAGTGTTAGTAACTACTGGTGTTTCATCACCACTATCTTCCTGACCAAACTACTGCAACATCTTACCTACCCTTTGCCCAGGGTAAAATCCAAAAGGAAACAAGGTGTTGGTTGTACTACAGGCAGTGAAAAAACAGCATTAAACCTGCTGTGTGGATGTAGAATTTAAAAATATCTTAGTCTAGAAAATAGAATTTGCAGTTTGAGTAGCTTTAGACGAAGCACAGAAACTCCTCCTCTTTCAAGGATTTCTAATTTCTCCCTGTTGCATAAGGCAGTTCTTAGTTTTTGCTGCTGTATCTTCATTTTCAGCCCCTGGTCCCACATTGCTCATACCATCTCTTCAACTAAATCTGCGTTCTTTTGGAAGTCTGTTTTGCTGCTGATCCTGAATCAATTACTCTATTTATAATCTGACCTACAAGTGTTGAATCATGTAAGAAATTCTTTTTTAGCATATAGTTCCATGTGACTTTCTGTACGGTTAAGGATCATTCACATGAACTAGTGGCTGCAGGATTGGGTCCCTCTGTGAGTGAGTGCACAGAGACTCAAATAAAAGTCATGAGAGGAGACTCTGGGGATTTAAGAAGCACAAAAATGTGGAGAGAAAGATGGAAAGACAAACAAAAATGCGGAAAGGGAGATTAAAGGATGCAAGCCCCTGAGGATTATGGGCTGGCTGCCCAGCACCTCCTCTGAGACCACCACAAGAGGAGTACAGAGCAAATCTGTTTGCCTGTTTCTGTAAGGAAACAAACTGTAGGATGGTGCCAACACATGCTGGGTGAAATTCCCATTGAGTTAAGTGGGATGTGTACTGTGTCTCCTAAAGTTCATCCTGACTGCAGAGAGAAATATGTGAGAAATATCTTAGGTTATCTTCCCAAGTACTGCACCAAACTAGAGCTTGCTCAGTACTTACAGACAAAGGACACCACTGCTTTCTCAAACATGCATGTTTGGTTATCCAGCTTTCGTACTTTACTTTATCCAGGCTTCCTACTTGACATGTAGGATTGGAGGAAAGAGAAAAGAACCCCCCAGCATATCTACCAAAGGGCTTCTAAGCAGCCCCTTTCCTGTAATTTCCACACTGAGGACCACTTTAATTTTTGAAACCCTGCTGCTTAAGGAAATCATACACTAAGTATCCACTCTCCCTGCTTCAAAGGAAGAAACAGAGAATCTGTTCCTGGAAATAAAAACCTTTTCATTTAGATTTGAATGAGAGATTTAAAAAAAAACTGACAGAAATTTCTACTGAACAAGAATTATTAAGCTGTGATCATCTCTGCTTTACAGCATGTGCAAATGTTAGATTTTGCTGTCTATGACACTTTCCCAGGACATTTTTGAGAGGAGATGACGCATCTCCAGATGTCTTCCAGGAAATTTATTTTTAAATAAATAAAGCAAAAAATAGCTAACTCGTTCCAATCACTGCAAGGCTACAGTTGCTGCTGGGATCCCCTATTAGAGAACTAGAAAAAAGTTACTCTTTCAGTTTTGTGGAGTTTGGGGAGTTTGTTTTGTTTTTTTTCTCTTTACAACATCAGTCAGTGTTATTCTGAACATATATGTGAAAGGCAGGAATTCTGCTTCAGCTTACTGATTTTCTGCCTTTCAGTATTCTCTGCCTCAAACAACCTTTTCCTCCCTCAGTATCTTACTTCACACACTGTGAGAACAGCAGACCACTTCTTCCAAAGGGCGCTTCAAAACCACTCTCTCAGACAACCCAAGCTCAGTGCAAAACAGTCATACATTTTTAATGTGATTTTAACTATGCATCTTATCCAAATCAGCCTGGAATTCTCAAAGACCATGGCTAAACCACAAGTAAAACAATCCAAGTCCGAAATGGTCGGGAGACACCTTTGTGTCCGATGGCTGCAGATCTCAGCGCTGTGCTGGCCCACAGCATCAAATCCGCTCGGTTGTCCGTAATTTATCTGTGATTTTGTCACTCACTTGTTTTTATTTCACTTGTCTCAGCCTTGCTTACCTTTGTATGTAAGAGTTGTTCACTCCCCTGTGATCCAAATCGTGGCTCAGAGTGGCGATCAGCAAAGCCAGTGTTTCTAGGTCAGTCAGTTTGCTCTGGGTGGAAAGAGCAATGCAAGAAGTGAGCTGGGGATTTATTTTGCACAGTGGGTTTTATATCTACTTTCTAGCTAATGAAACCTGTCCTTAGTCTAGTCAAAAGACAGTTTGGAAAGGCTTGGTTTTATGTTTCTCCTAGGAAGATGTGTCCCCCAGTGCTTGCTCTCCCCCTCGAACTAGGAAAATTTGAGAGGTTTTATGTTCAATGCCGTTCAGACTCCGGAATCTAGGACATGAGAATCAGCGTGGAGTGAATCCAGGGTAGTTGGGAATAAACAATTTATGGAAATTGGAGTGGAGACTGACAGGATTCCAAAAATAGCAAGCAAACTATCCAGATCATCAGAGATTGCTCGACTGCACACAGAGCAAAACTACCCTGTCCATTCCAGCACAGAAGGAAGAGGAATGCCCTTGCCTTTGTCTCTTCCAGCAGCTTTTGTCTTTTTTATTAGGGAAATGGGGAAAGAAATGCCTTTTCCTTGTTGATATTGGGTTTTGACCTACAAATGGGATTTATTTACGCTCTCAGAAGTGTTTACTGGAAAGTAGTATAAAGCAATTAAAAGCAACTGTCTGTAATCAAACTGAAGAAACACCTTAATTCTGAATGAACAGAAACATTCTGTTTCCTTCAAGAATGTAAAACTGAAACCTAAAAACATACTTTGGATGAATCCTGAATCAGTAGGGATTCTAGCCCTTCAGTAGGGATCATCTAGTCCTTCAATCCAGCCCTAATCAGAATGATTAGGTTGTTTTTTTCAATTATTATGTGTCTATTAAGTGGAAGGTTGAAAATTTGTTCAGAAGCATTGAAATGAACATTTAAATCTTTATTTCTGCATTTTTATCTTCTGTTGACTGTCTAAAGCTGTACTCAGCTCTGTATTTGAACTTAAAAAATTTTTCCAGTTGAATATTTTATGGAAACATCCAGAAATAGGGTCAGGCTTTTCTCCCCCACCTTTTTGACTTGCCTGTAGCGTAAGTGTTAACTTTAAAGGACATAACCATGTTTGTGCCTTATTTGGGATATTCCCATTGGGAACATCCAGCTGACCATTTCCAGAGAATTTACTGAAACTGGGTACAAAACAACATGTCAACAGTTTCACAAACTAAGCCCTTAAAGCCAGAAGTCTTCAGCAGAAACATTTTGATTTCTAGCAGTACCGTGGAATGATGAACATCTTACTGGCGTGACAATCAGAACTATGCATCATTATATCATTTGTTTAGCCAAAAGATTCTTAATACAGAAAATGTACCTGAATTTTACCAGATTTCAGAGCAGCAAACATGCACTGGGCAGTATTAAAGGCATGTCTCCAATTGTGGTAGGCAACATTCTTCCGATAATTTTTCTTTACACTTAAAATCCATCTGCAGAGAACCTTTAAGAAACAGGATCAGATAGTTTAAATGTATTACAAATCCATTCTCTTTATGAAAACCAATCTCTCCCTAATCCCACTTGGAAATTCTCTTACAGAAAAAAAATATTTTAAACTCAATTAAAACTTCAAATTCAACCTACTTTTAACTGTGAACATAGATAAGAACATGCTTACAACCACTGGGGCAGCCTCTCAGTGAGTTTGTGATACTTGTGGGTTTAGTTTTTTGTTACTAATGGCTAAATGCTTGTGTCAGAAGCACTGCTGTTAATTCAGAAACTGAGGTGTGCTGAGCTAACTGGGACAGAAAAAAAAAATCCTTCTTTACAATGACATATTTGATAGAGAAGATACATTATTTAGTTATAGAGTCCTCTCAAGAGCTGTTCTGAAAACGAACATGTGGCTTTTGCCTCCTATCAGCTTGCCAAAAACCAAGCAGAATTGGACTTTGGAAAGCACATAAGTATGAGAGAAAGATTACTATATTGCTGGGTAGTTTCTTTTCTATGCTGGAAGAAAGCATGTCCTAGGTGTTTTACTCAACAGTTATCAGAAGTTGTGGGTTGTACTTTACTTGTAAGAAAGTGACAGGTAAGAAGGTCAGATAAGAATTTAATGTTCACTAGAACAGGGTCCTTGGTTTAAAGCCAGGATACTGGATACAGCATACTGCTCCATGTTAAATGCTGGCTGAGAATCCAGGCCCTGGCTTGCTCAAAATTTTGAGTGTTCCTAGTGAAAGATGTTGCGCTGACAGAAAATCCAGTGTCATTCACCCCCAAAAAGGACTCCATTCAGACAAAGGCAGCAGTTTTCTCTGCCTTTCCACTGTTTAAAAGGACTAATAGGCTACTGCCAGTTTTCTTTAGCTCTAGTGTGGGAAGTTTAAATGGTACCTTCAAAGCTGTCAATGTTCTCCTGCTTCTACTGACACGTGGGCTTGCCTGTCTATTCCCACGGTGTTCTTTTGGTTTTGCTAATCCATTGCAATTGCTCCACTAGGAACTTGAAGCCCTCCCATTTTTGGACTCCCTGACTCCCTCTCTTCTGTTGGGACATATTCCTTAAGGAAGTACAAGTGTTTGACCTTACTACAAAGGTAAACCAAGTACTGGGATATTCCAGAGGTCAGACTAGGTAATACAGTGATCCTTTTGGTCCTTGAACACTACTAATCTAAATTGGTCTATAAACCACTGATCTAGAAAATAAATACATGTTCTATTTAACTAATTTGTTAGCCTATGAAGCCCTCCAAATTAACCTTGCATTTGGATAGTGAACTTCGAAAGTTTTCTTGGAAAAGGTATAAAGCAAAAATAAAGTATAAAAACGAAGGTTTTTACACATAGATATTGTGTGCATTGACTGAAGAGGCTGAAGAGATTATCTATTTTGCCTCAGGGCTATAAGTAAGAATACCTGTCTCAATCACCTCTGACAGGTGCACATCTACAACTAGATCTGTTGGTTAAAACCTTCAGGGAAATTTCCACAGCCCACATAAGGAATCCGTTTCAGTCTCTGTTATCTCCACAACTATGAATTTCCCTCTAAAATCTAATCTAATCTTATGTAGGGAAAGACTAAGATAGTTCCTACCTTATATGGACAAAGTGAACAATATTATTGTCCTCTTTATAACAGCCTTTCCCTTACTGAGAAGTTGCTGTCATCTCCCTCCTCAGTGTTCTGTTTTCCAGTCCATTAATCACAGACTGTAAAATTATTAATCATTCAGCAGAAAACTGAGGACAGACCCCAATACTTTATATAACTTCCCAGTTTGCTGACTGCTCTGTAATACAGATTCCCAATTCTCTTTACTGGGGTCATTTCCCAAATTGTCCCAAATTTCTAAGAACTCCTGGTCTCTGTGTGTGAAGCAGTGTTTGGCAGCGTTCATACCTCGTGCTTCATCTGGAAATTCTGCACCAGGTTGAGGTCTGTGAACATGCGGATCGTGCACAGCGTTGTTTCAAAGTCTGACAGCTCAAAGTCACTGAAGTAGAAGTCGGTCAGGTTGAGGCATTGTGCAGATGGCACCACAGCAGCCTGGAGAAGAAGGAGAGGACACAGCTTAGCACTGGGAAAGAGAAAGGATAATGTAAATACCTGCTTTGTAAAAAGAGAAGGGGTGAGACACTAAATTTTACCTTCACACGATGCTCAAAAGTGATGATTACTTTTATTTACTTCCCTTAGCCTTCCATGTTTAATATTATCTTATTACCTTAGATTTAACACACACTTTTCCATAGATCAAGAGGATAAAGGAAGAATTACCTGGTCAGTCAGTTATCTAAGTCACCTGAGGCAAATTGCAACCAAGAGTGTGTGTGAAATTGGGAGAATGAGAAAATAAGGCAGTGCAGTTGTGTGTTTGTTTTTATGAATGTGCAGACATCAAAATCTGTAACTGTTGCCATTTTTCTAAAAATGACAAGGAAAGAGATGTCAGTAAAACAGATTTCCTGACAGGATCCCCATTCAGAACAATGGTAGACAGAATATGTCCACAGGCAGAGGATATGTTCCAGCCCTTTCTCAGGGCTGGAAACCTGAAAAATCAGGGTTCACCTGTGACCACTAATCTTTAAAACCTATGGACAATGGTTTTGGTGCAATTTGAGTATAATCATAAACTTTAAGCATGAAATTTGAAATTACAAAGTACACAAAAAACCCAACTCTACTTTTTTTAATCTGTATTTTTAGTTATCAGTAATATCTCTGGGTATTACATGTATTACAACTCTATGTATTACAACTCTACTTTTCCTAGTCCTAAAATGCAGAGTATAGGTGTTGGTTGCCCTGCAAAATACAGGTGTTAAGGTTATGCTAAGTCTTATCCTAACAAAATAAATGTCTACAATATAATCACATACAAAAATCAATGTCTTAGTCTACAGAAAAAAATTCAGTATAATTATTTTTCTGTAAAATTAAAGGTGGAGTTCTCAGTTCTTCACAGCTGTTTCACCTCAACCTGAGTGTGGATCAAAAAAATCAGGTAAATCTGAAATGGTAGAGGAAATAAACATCTGTGTTTATCTTCCTCTTTGTAATTCTAGGGGAAAACATTTCTCCTAGAAATGTTCCAGCGTGGGGAACTGTGTCCCAGGAGCCTGAGGCACTGAAAAGGAAGCATGTGTCATAATCTACAGCATTTTTACATGTAGCATGTAAATCCCCATAACTACATCCACCAGTCCCTGTTCCATAGAAGTTTGCTGTTACCTTTCTTGTGTGTCAGAATTGGAAAGTCATGAAAGATTATGAAAACCAGTATTTACACAGGGGGAAAAAAAAATTCTTGTACCAGTAATTTTGTGTCCCTCTGGATTCATGTGGTATCTCACCTGTGAGCACATAACAGAGCTGTATGTTCAGTGGCAAATAATGCACCTGTTCAGGAACTCTCCTGACATGATTTTGAAAATCTGCAGCTGCAGGCTGGAATTTCACAGGGAAAGGGGCTGGAAGGACACACTAGGAGCTGAACAGGGCACCTCGTGCCTGTGTTCTCACTTCATTCATAATTTATCTTTCCCTTCCTTGATCTCCTGCCTTTGACCCCACAACAGGAAGTTTCACTTCACCTGAGACATAAAAACCCCTGCACTCTGTAGCTATTCAGGTGGTATTTAACCAGATTAGATATTTCCTCTTTCCCTTACTGAAGCCAGAAGAGTGTTTGGCCCCCCATTTTGTAGCATTTTAATTTCAAGTTATTGAGTATGGTCAGCTTCTGTGAGCACTGAGCAAACTACAGACTCTTGCCCAATTTCTCCACCTTGGGAATATTATAAAGAGCATGAAATAGTCAAGAAAAGAAGAAAATGTGCCAAGGAATTCCCCTCTTTGCATAACTGTGACTTTTCAATTCCTATTGCTTACTAGAAGCATCGTATTAATGGTAATTAGTAGTGAATAATTAGTGACTCCATTTCATTGCCTGGTTAAGTGTAGAAAGTAATTTTTAAAACTTGTCTTCTATTGTGAGTGACAAACCTACAGATCAAGCTTATAACTTCGTGTCATACACCAAGGCACTCCCTTCAAGGATCCCTCAAACCCAAGAACAGCCCATTCTGGAATGTACTAAAGTGAGCATGGTGAAAGGCCAGCAGGGATGCACAGGGAATTCCTGACGGAGCTCAAACGGAAAACTGAAGTACAGAGAAGGAGGAAGTGGGGATGGGCTACCTGGGAAGAACATAGAGACATCACCAAAGTGTGCAGGGCTGGACATGGGAAAACCAAAGCTCAGCTTGAGTCAGAACTAGTGAGGGATGCAAAGGGCAACAAAAATTCCTGGCAGCAAAAAGGCGGCTGTGGAAAACATGGGAGCACTGTGGTAACTGAGTGGCAGCTAGGAACAGGTTTGCTTTGTTTCGTTTGCTTTGTATGGGAAAACACAGGTTGTATCCAGGCTCAAAGGAGGTGACTGATGCAACAGGACATTCTGTAGCATGAGGAAAGTGAGAAATTTTACTACAGCCTATTCCACAATGCAGATGATGAAACAGAATAGGACAGTTTCACTTGGAATGATTTTCTAGCCCAATGACCTGATGAAGCATCTGCTTTCTGTGCTGTCAGGTTATTTAGAAGCAAAACAGAGCAAATCACAGAAAGGTATATCCAGAAACATCACTTTAATCTATTTTGTCTGGCTTGATACAATGATATGAATGCAAAATGAAACAAATAAAAATTTGATGAGAGCAGAATAAAAAGGCCTGTGCTTGTGCTCTAGTCCTGTGTTGTCTGGGATGTCCTGAGAGCCTGTGGCTGACACAGGCCAGGACTGCGTTAGGAAGCACATGGACACGTAGTGGAGGTAGACACTGGCCCAGTTCTAGGTTTGCTGTGGTTCTGTTTTATTTAGCAGTCAAGATGTGACCACAGAGCTTATAACCCAAGCCCTGCAGAGAAACCCCAGGAGATGTGTTGCATTCTGCTCTTGTCCACGGCTCTTTCTGGCTGGGCAGCAGCCTGGTAGGACTGAGGTTCAAAAGCCGTGTGACACTTACTATTCTAGAAATACCCGTAGTCTTACACCTTGTTCCATGGCACCTTGCTTGTCCAGACCAATCCCATAATACCCAGCCTGTGATCCCCCGTGTCTGCCTTCCTCTCCATCCCTCCCATTTGTTTTTGTGCAGCAGGGGTGATGCTCTTCCTCCGACAGAGACCTGGAGAAACTAAGCCCATGCTGTGCTTTGAACTGCGCTTGAAATCACAGCTGTAGTTATTCCTTAGGCAGTGCTTTCTACACACAGAATTAAACATGAGCAGAGCAGGACACTGCACAGAAAAGCAGCCGTAAAAATAATAAAAATAAAAAATCACTGCATTAAAAATTAAATACAGAACTTCCAGCAAGGCCATAAAGCTGCGCCCATCCTTGGGATGCTTGAAAGGGACCAAAGCTGTGAAATATACAACATTCAGACTTAGCTCCAAAATGAAGAGTTCTCAGCATTTTTTCTGGTTCTTGCAGTGCTCTGGCCAGCCTGTATTTCTTCTGATTGAGGCATTGTAATGTTTCCTTTTGATGTGATCTACTGATTCAGCTCAGGAACCAATCAGTATAACCCTCACTGTTAGTTTTATTTCTGGAAGATGTGCTTCTGTGTGTTTCAGGATCACATGTGTGTGAAAGACTGCACTTTGTTCTATTAATGGAACATTTCTATAGTAATAGTAAAAAATTCAATTACCACTGTTACCTGCAGCTCCCTCGTTTCCTCCTCAGCAGCAGAAGCATGGTATGAGAGAACCTACAGAAAGAAAGAAGCAGCCCTTAGCACAAACAAAAGAGCAGTGTGGTAAAAGGGTACTTTTCTTAAAGCAGATTTTTCAGCACTGCACTGCGTTTGCTGATGAAATCTATTGTCCATGCAGGGCCCACAAGGGTTTTAAGGGAGCTCTCTGAATGCATATGGGGAGATATCTGCAACTTGCACAAATCTCCCACAGCACAGAACCTTCTGGAGATAAGTAGGCCAGGAAAACGTAAATAGTTTCTATAAAAGTGCAAAGAACTCTGATTTTCTCTTTGGAAAGATTTCGTGCCCCACTTTCAAAGACAAATAATACACGAAACAGCTATAATTATGAGCCTGACATTGTTGCCATAGGAATTCTTTCAGGAGTTTATTCAGACAGAGAAGAAAGTTTTGCCCTAACTGAAACTTGGCACCAAACTCTGAAAGACAATATGTTTGTTTTAAATTAACTAAATAAGCTCATATTTTTTAGCTCTTGAGAACACGGGTCATGAAAATGTTATGGATTATTTTAGGCAACTAGAGACTGATTCTTTTTTAAAGAACCCATCCTATGTATTAATATATAATCTGTCTGGACCTCCTGTATTGCCCATAAAGTGTTACAGTAGGACAGAGAATTTCTAATTTGCAATATAAACGAATCATTCTGACAATAATTTTACCCCCTTTTTATTTAACGTGACTTAATATGGGTTTATTTGAGAGTTGAAATGTTTCTTTTAGAGGCTATGGGGTACATAATCCCCATTTTAGGAATTCTGCAAATACTCTGTTTACATAATGAATGTCAGGAGATCCAAAGTCTATAAAGTTTTCACTTTCAGCTTCAAGTTATCGCCTCTGAGTAATTCAGCTGCTCAGACTAAAGCCCCCTTCAGCTGTTAAACTGAACAGGAACCAGCTCAAAGGCTGAGAGCAGATGATGTTCATCCTGACATGGTTTGCTGGAGTCTGAGGAAATTGCTGCAAGCCTACAATAACGCTGCTGTTACTCTGTGTGTCCAAAGGGCTGAGCCAAAATCATCACAGAAAACCTCAGACAAGAAAAGGAAGCCCCTAATCCGCCCAAGCGTTTCCTGTTCCGACGCAGCACCCGCTGAGCTGCCCGTGGGCAGCCTCAGGGAGAGGAAAAGATGGGCCCAGCTCACCACTGAATATCGTGAGCGAAGTTAAAACACAACACCAAAGGGAACAGTCTGCCGGCACATCCAGAAACAAGCGGGAAAATTCCCGAGCAACTCCACAGGCCAAATTCTCCTGGGGGAGCACTGTTTCTGTCCTGATGTGTAGAGCAGACAGGATCTGGAGAAAATCAGTTTGGGGCTAATGAAGGACCACCTAGTTGTGGAGCTCACCTCTAATGTCACCATCTGTTTGGCCATGGCTCTTTCTACAGCCTCGTACATCTGTGTGTTCTGGATCCCCAGCCCACAGAAGATGACGAATGCTTCCAGGAACTGCTCGTCATTTCTGTTGAAAGCCTTGATCTTTCCTGAGTTTTCTTCCATCTTGTTCACCAGCTGGCAAACGCCTATGGCAGGGGACAGAAAGGAAAAGAAGTAATACAGAAAACTGCCACCATATCGCCTGTTGTAAGGAACAGCAAGAATTAAGTCTGGGACAGTTTAGCCTGCAGTATAAACCATCAATATACATAAAAGGGACACATGGGAGTGCTGTAGGATTTTCTCCTGTTTTTTTTTTAAGAGTAATTTCAATGTATTATAGAATGAATGCTAAAACATATATGAAACAATTATATTTTACAAAGCAGATTCAAAAGTATTTATTGGGATTTGTAAACCAAAAATGTAGGGCTTTAGAGACTTGATTATCCTGTGAAATTCTAGGGTTGTTTTCATCCTAACTTTTATTATTAATAGTATTCTAGATTGATTTAATCCCTAAAGACAATTTGTCCTTTGGAGGCTAATTAAATTTTTGCAACCATGCCAAAAGAACATTTATGAAAGTCAGAACAGTGGTACACAGAGTTTTTGCTTCCTTATTTGAGTCAGTACTGGAATTTTTTTTTAAGTAAATGAACTAAACAGAGAATACCCAAGTTGAGGTTCAAAGCTTAAGCAGTCGCCGAATCCATGATAATATGATTGAATTCCAGCCTGCTCCAAACACTGCTGAACTCCTTGAAAAGCATCTTACTGAATTCAGCTTGTTAGGCTCCAACTTGTTGACAGCTGCATCTGTTTATTTTTTTGTTAAGACTTTCTGGACTTTTCCGTGCACACTGAAAAGTCTGACAGGTAACTTCTACCACACCTTGCTGCAGCTTAAGTCCCTGACACCATTTGAAGCAGAGGGAAATTCAGACATACACCTCCCTTTAGTTTTGCTCAGCAGATGGTAATTTCTGCTAAAAAGCAGAATATTAATGAAAGCAGCTGCATTATAAGAACATGTTCTCTTTGGCCAAAACTGCTTTGGGGGTGATTATTGTCTTAAGTGAGTGCAAATGTTTTCTCCCTCCCATGAGTGTGAGTACGAACAGTTTGGAGCATAAAAGCCAGCATTTTCCTGGCCAACTGCAAATATATCCCAGGGATTGCGTTATCTGAATATTGCAAACAGGATTCTGAACCTTAATGGGATGAGAAGACTAGATCACAGAATCACAGTAAAAAACATAATCCCAGCAAATAAGGATTCAAATAAGGGACAAGATTAACTTTCCCTGGGAAAAAAAGAAGCTGATTTATAAAACTCTATAGGAAAATCCCATGAAACTCACTTTCAGTTCTCTGTTTAGCATGGTTTATGACATTATAATTATTCCCATAACAACTGTGATGTCATGAACACAAGATTAAGACCCAACAGTGAATATGCCACAAAAGTAAATGAATTCCTAAAAGACACAGCATTTGGATGCACAGAGATGTCTCTTAAAAAAAATAGAGAACTGCAGTGAATATACTATGTAGTACTTAAGACTCTTTAAATACCTTTCAAATACTTCCCCAAAGCACTGAGATTCCCATATATTACAAATAAAGGAACTCCAAAGTCTTTTACTGGGACAAAGTTACAAAACCACAGGAAAATTCTATAAAGCTTTCACCACATACCTGAGAAATGCACAAGTCAGGAGAATAAAAAAGTTCTTTTCATCTTTCTTGCCAGTAAGATCTGCTTGGTTTTGCTGTGGACAGTTTTTCCCACCCCAATCCCACTTCCCAAATTCTGGTTTTGGCTATACCACTCTTAAAATAATTTTAAAAAGAAACCAGACTTATAATAATAGTCATGGATGCTGTATAGTGTGGCAAAGGAGCTTCTGGATATTGTCCCAAAGACAACTTCTTGACCTTGCCCTGTTAAATATCTGAACATTAGGCAGATGTGAAACCAGAAGAGACTTCAAAGAACATTTCCCAATGAGAATTACTCAGATTTGAAAAACCCACCTAAATGGGTGGCCTGACTGAAACTCTTGAACTTCCATAGAAAATCCCAATAGAAAAAAAAATCCATGAGATCAGTAGCTCACAGCATCATGAAACATCTCTAATTAAAGCTCAACAGTTCAGTCTTCACCTTGGTCTACTAGGGTTTGCTAGAATATTTAAATAAAGTAATAAAAGAACTCAGGAAAGAAGCTAATACCAAAACTCCATTAGGTGAAGAGGATGCTTCTCTTTCTGCTTCAAAGGTTAAAAAAAAAAAAATCTGTCTTCACAAAAAAGGGACCTCATATTTACTATAAAAATTGGGCTCTGCAGTTTTGCCATAATTCTCAAAGAAAATTATTTGAAGACCATTAAATATGCATTCTTGGAACTCTTAACATTTACTTGCCAAATTTTGTAAAGCTGAGTAAGTTGGATTCATGCTACTGTCTAGGGATCAGTATGTTTTATCTTCTGTTTGCTTGTGGAACTTACTGATGCCAGGAACTCAGGCTGATACTCATTCTACTCTTTTGTAACTTATTAGGTTTATACTCATAATTTATACTCAGGGTGGACTCAGAGGACTTATAATTGAAAACATGATAATTAAGGATCTTTTCTCCTGGCTTGAGATTCCACGTTGCTTGGATTTTACTGTGGAGCACATAAATATTTCTATGAAATGTATAATGACATTTTTGTAGAGATACCTACCTATCACTTTATTCTTTTTCCCATTTTTTATTGGTGTACACAGCAAACTCTTTATGTGTTGGCTTACATTTTCTGCACTGTCATTCTGTTAGACAAACAAAAAAAATACAGTTACAATTTTAGAGACGAGTGTTCAGGTGGCTGAGGGTGGGTCTGCAACTATTCTTTGCTTGCATACTCCTTCAAAAGGAACCATGTCTTCAAAGAGTTTGCACACAAACAACAAGTAGGAAAACTACTACCAGCTAGGCCAACATTCTACATCCTTCCAAAGATTTTCCATCATGTCTCGTGCTCCAGTAGAAGGAGAATCAATTTATTTGGGGAGTGGAATGTTGGATCAAGAAGACAATGCCTCTTTTTCAAATACCTGGTGAGAAAAGGATGTAATTCTACTCTGACTGCTCCTGGAATAATGTGGCAGCTGCTGAGAAGTACATTTGGTCCAATCTCTAATTGTATGTGACACAAAAAATGGGCACACATTAATATTTCCAATCAAAAGGTTATCTTGTTTGTTTTTTTTTTTAACTATTGTTGCTCTGCTCTCTGGTGCTGTGCAAGGACTGTAGATAGGATCTTGGCAGGCGAGTGCACAAACACTGTGATTCTTACAAGTGGCAATAGGAAATGTGATTCTTTAAAGAAATCATTAAAGGATTACATCATGCCACATACTTTACACGACTCCAGCCACTTAAGTACTACTACTTAATAGTAGCCCATTATCCAGAGGGTTATAGGAATAACTCAGGAGCAGGATTGTTTTCTCAGCTGCAATACCTGTGCAATCAGCTGTAAAAAAGGGAGATAAGAATCAGCATCTCTCCCTAAAAGTCAAACAGGAGAGGACTGGAGATGAAACCAGTGCACGGTGCTAAATAAAAATGCCTGACCCAGTATTAGTGAAAAGGAAGGGGAGTTAGCCAAAACCAGACTTAAATGCCTTTAAGCAGTGTTGTAGATATTTGAACTTTGTCTCCACTGCACTAACTTTGTTCGTTCAGGGAAGAAGACGGACACCTGCCAGCTGAAGCTTAGCATTTGGCTTCTGTACTATCCTTGGAAATGGCCTGAACCTGAGGCAACCTCACAGCTCAACATCACAGCACAAATAAACCCAAGCTGCTCTTCTGCCTCGTGCCATTTCCTAGGCAGTTCAGGCCACCAAAGCACAAAGGTATTTTCATGAGGTGACTACAGATGCTGTTGAATGTCCTCCAAAGACAGAGGCAAGCCAGGGTTTCTAGGGCACTGGGAACACCTGGGATTTCCCTCACGTCAGGGTTCATCAGCTTTCAAAATATTTAGCCTCCAGCCTTGCCTTGGGACTGCTCCTAAGCAGTGGTGCAGATGCAGTCACTGTGTGCTGAACAACATTATCCAGAATTCTTTCTAACAGCACTACTATTTTCTTTTTATGACTTCCTTGCATAAGGTGAATTCCAGGAAAAAATGCAAAATAACTGTACTGAACAGTCTGTTTTAGACAAACAGTTGTTTGGATGACTCTCAAGGTATTAATTTTATTTTTAAATGTCTTCCAAATAATCAGCTCTTTCTTTACTGATCTATACAGTGAATCCACTGGATTCTGTCTGTACTTCCAGTCCTGCAGTTAAGAGCTTTGGGCCCTGTACTGCAAAGTGCTGAGCACTCCTAGAAATCCACTCCAGAACATTCATGAAACCTTGCACAGAAAAAAAAAGGGAAGCAACAGAGCTCCCCACCACAAGCCTGCCCCTTCTTTCCACTTACTGGAACAATCACACTGAACACTATATTTTCTGACCTCTTTGTTGTGTGTCTCAGAACAAATTTTGGTAAAAAGCCATCTGCTGACCATAGCAACTCATGTCCCTCTCATTACTCTCTCCCTGAGCGCCTCTGGGAAACAAGCTTAAATATAATAAGAAGAGCAGACATCTTTCTAATTTCTGCAAGGACAGGAAAATACAGAATTACAAGTTTGCTTTTTGTTACTGACAACTCTTCAGGCAACCTGACTGGAAACTGAGTCCTGCCAGGTGACCTTCCCTCCTCACTCTCCACTATCCATGTGCTCAGTAGTACACCATACCACGAGATCACACTTGTGAAGCAAAAGCTCCCAAACAAAAGTGAATTTGTTCCATCTCCAAACCAGCAAAAAACCTGCATCTATAACATTAATCTCTGCCAGAACAAGAAGGGAAAGGAAAGGATAAAAGGGAACTGGGAGCCTCCCAACACTCTCTGTGTACCTTCCTTTGTGTTTTCATTATTCTAACCGGGGCCATTACATTGACAGAAACAATAAGGGGAAAACAAAAAAGCCTTGAAAGGTAAACAGAGAAACATTTTCTGTTTCTGATTTTCAAATCTAAGCTTCTTTTCCTTACCGTCCAGGGAAATCTTCTGTCTTTGCAGACATCTGGGATGTTGAGTGGCTCCATGGTGTTCTTGACGTACTGAGCATACATGTAATTGATTTGGTTTGTGTCGTAGTCCCTGAAGGACACAACAACACCATTGTTATGTGCGTGGCATGAAAATGAGGCATTGCATTATGCCCAGCAGATAAGAGTAATATCTTTCCTGTATGAGAAAAGGATCTGTAGGTACAACTGATAGATATATAATGGGGTTGAGTTCAAACCCTGGATCCCAATCCAGCTGTCATCACAAAGCTGCAGAGTGGACTGATGTGTGCATTCCACCATTTCTTATTCAACATTAACACTGAACAGCAAGCTGAAAAAATAAACAAATCCCTACGGTTTACACAGATGAAGGACAGAGAATGAACAGCTGCGTTTATATAGAAATAAACAGAACCTTGTGAAAACCAACTCCATTCACAAATCTGACACACTTAAAAAGCCAATAGTGGATGAAATTCCCATATTAGTTAAAGAGACTGCAGCAGGTATCACTTGGGAGTTTTCTGCTTCTAAGTTCATTTCAAATTCGTTCTAAAAGTAAAGGTCCAATCAGTCATATGGAGATTCTGTTACTGAAATAGAACTGTTTATTCCAAATTGGGACACAAAGGACATTTACAGAATCAGTCATCTCCACTCTTTTAGTCACAGCTTATTTAATTAAGGTATTTTAATTCTCTTAGACCCTTAGACCCTCCTGCCTTCGAGGACGTACACCCTCAAAATAAACATATTGCCATCAAGCTCCTGGAGTTTCCCTCCAACATTTGACTTGACTTTAGTTATCCTCCTGCTGTAAAGATGTTCACAGGGCTGGAGGGGTCCTTGATTACATAACAAGCCTGAATTTTATTATGAAAAGTAATAATTCCTATCTAATCCATGTCATTATTTCTGCTACTGCCCAAAAATCGTGCCCTTCAAGCAGAGCAGAAGTTCTAACTCCAGTGGCTGACTCACAGTACAGTCCTCAGCATGTAGTCATGCTGTCTCATGAACAAAATTCTGATAGGAAATTCAGCCTCCAAGATTCCTCCCCTATCAGTTATGAGAAATAATTTACTGATGGCCCATGCAAAGCAGTAAATTACATTTTGAGTCCATTAACTAGTAACCATAAAAGGGATAATGAAGTGGAAGGGTCCATTGTCATAGTGTAAAAGAGCAAGTAAAGAGGAACTTTCTTTTTCACCTTGTGATCTTATCAGACTGTTGTACCTCTCTACATTCTGGTTGTACAGTGTCTAAAACTGTAATACAGCTCAACAGTTTTTGGTTGCTTAAGCCACACACTTTGGACATAATTTTCTAATATATGGAATTAATTTTAATATAATAAATGTTTACTGCAAAAAAGCATCAAAGGGGTACAGAAATCTCCGGTTTCTCTCTGCACACAATATCCACAGTGAACATTTTATATACAACTGTGCCCCTTTTTGACATTATTTGAAACAGCTGTCTTTGATGGCAGAGAAAAGTAACGGAGACAGTAATTTTCAAACTTCAATACAGAGGTTCAGGCTAAATTTGGAAACTATTTAATCTGGGTATTTTAATTCAGCTATTTCTACCTCGCCCTTACTCCCAGTTGGTTTCTCAAAGATGACTGAAAGTTAGAACTTTGGGACTTTAGTCTTGATTTAGTCAGACTTGTTCTTTAAGCCAGCTTCCTTATCTGTGAGATAAGGGTAATGATTAAAATAACTGATTAAAAACATTAATAGGATTATTATCTTCTACTCTACACCATAGTTGTCTACACAGATTTCTTACAGATCAGTTTTAGAGCTGCTCACCAAGTTCGAATTTTCCTTCTCCCATTTTGTACATGTCCGTAGCTTAGCCTTGTGACACCAACGTGTACTTGGACCTGGCAAAGTGAAGAGATCGGGCCCTACTCTCCTGTTCTGCTCAGTGGGGCCTTTTCAAGGCAAGAGAGTTTGTCTGGGCACACTTCAGGGCAAAACCTGCTCTCTAAAAATAGCAGTAATACCTAGGACCCAGTAGAAATAAGGCCTGTTATTATGAAAAGAATATTAATAGCATAGTTTCTTCAGGATTCTCCTGGGATGAACAAAGGTCTGAATTCACTGGTTTACCTCTTCAGATTTTCAGCAGAATCTTCTAATTCCTCAGCTTCCATGTGAAACACACTGGAAAATGTATCCTGGAATACCGAGAGGATATTTTAATACACAGGTCTATAAGGCTGCCATAAATTAGAATAGTATGATCTGTGAAAACCTTGTTGCAGTTACCAAGACCTATTTGGAATCAACACAAGTGTAAAATTCTTTCCCTTCATTCCACATCTATACAGGATCCTGCCACAAAGATATCTTTTGGTACAATTTTAGGTATCATTGAAGTGTCTTGAGACTGAGAAGAAATGCCAGTATTTGCAAGCCATGCCAAATTTATCTGTCAGCCCAGAAATTCTTTAACTACACAAAGGCCAAAATCTCCTGAGTCAACATCCAGCCTGAGCAGATGCCATAAAATGAAAGACTGAGCATGAAAAGATGACAGAACATACTATGGGTCAGAAATCTTACAGAGTCAGGGTGGAGGGAAGCCCTAACCACTCCCAGGGGATAAGCACTTCTGCCTTTAGCCAAAAAGCCACACTCACGGGACAATCTTCATCCACTATGAAGATGGTACACCTCTGCACTTGCATGAAGGATATTATAGTGGCAGCTATCTTCTTCAGGATTACTTCCAAAGACTGCTGCTCCTCAAAGATCAGGCTGGCAAGGTCAAGAAGCACCTGGGGAAAAGGCCTTTTGTGAAATTTTGACTAGTTGTGATTTATCCAATAATTAGCATTACTACTGTCTTTGAGTCTTCTCTCCCCTGAATCAAGGAAGTCAGTGTCTATGTCCGTGACCAAAATTAAATATTGGCTCTCACACAGACTGCAAAGTAAGTGAATAACAGCCAGTTTGATGCTTTTGATGGAGGAAATAAATAGCACAGATGGCTGGCTGATGTTTTGGGTCAGAGAGGCAGAATAGATTTAGGCATTAACAGGTCATCAAATGAAACCTGAGAAATCCAGACAACACAGTTACTTGTCCTTAGGAAACTTAATGATTTCCTATGGCTCATGTGTGCATCCTGAAACCAGTGATATTTACATCTCTTAAAACTTTGGAACACACTTATTATCTGTTGTAATTCTAAGCAGATCCTAATGAACTCATTTGGTGAAAGCATCACTTGGATACAGCACTTCAAAGCTGCTGCTGGAGGACTCAGCTGCTCAAATGTGCTCCTATTCCTTTTTTCCCCTCACAAGAAGCACGAAGGCAATTTGAAAAATTAGCCAAATTTGCACCAGTTTAGCAACACTGAGGGTCACTTGGATACTCAGACCCACCAGGAAATGGTTCCGTACCTGATTCCGCCTGTTCTCCAGCAGAGACGTCTCGTACAACTGCGCGTTGTGAAGGACAATTCCGCAAAAGGCCAAATAGGCGGCGAAGTCCTGCAGACAAATGAACATCAGCACCTCGTGGAGGTGATGTCCCACAGTCAAAGATAAGCTGCTGCAATGTTTTGTTTCCACTTGGAAGTATTAATTGATATTTTTGTTGGTTTTGGCAACCACACATTCAGGGTCTGGGTTTTTTCAGTTGCTCCTAATTTGTTATTTCCTCAAGAATCCTTTCTCCTTTTGTTTAAACTAATGACCTTCACAGGTTATCTTGGTGCAAGTAGGATTGATAAGATTGATATAAGAAGCAGCTCAAAGGAATCAAGTAATTTTGCAGCAATGCTTATTTTATCTAGAAAACCTGAGTGCAGACAACCAGCCTCTCTCATTTTGAGCAATTCCATCTCTTGGAAAAGGGAAATACAATTCTGCTAACATAGCAAACCCACAATTTTCCCCTTCTCAGTGTGGGATTAATTCTGATATCCTGCAGACACTCAGGCTGCATTTTGTTTTAAAGGGGGAGTTTTCAAAGAGAAAGGGTGACTTCTGATTCTTTTATTGCTGAGGGTTAAGTCACTTCTTCAGCCTGAGCACAGCCTGACTTTTGCCAAAGCAACCTGAATGTGAAGTCCGGAAATGTTAGAAAAGCAACTGCAATGTGAGAATTAGGAATCAATTCTACTGTCTGCTCTACTGATTATCTTAGATATTGTCCATAACTTATCCAAAGCTTTTTCCCTTCCTGCAATTGCTATATTGAGAAGTGACACAGTATTTGAAAGAGAATCACTTACACAAATTTTAATATTCAAAATATGTTTGTTGGGCATGCCAAGAGAGTCGGAACCATTGACTAAAAAATGATGTCTCTTACAAGTTACAAAACTGTTTTACAATGCATTTCAGGAGAGTAAGCCTGTGTTTCAGAGATAAATGACAGATAACACAGTGATCCAGAAATCAAACTATTTCACATCCACATTTCTCATGGCCTCAGAAAGAAAGACATTTGCAGGATTAGCAGGAGTTTTTACTTTTTCAGAAAAATAAATTATTAACACATGCATCCCCCATCCCCCTGGGAAAACAGAAGAGACAGAAATGGATAAAGCTTTTATACCTTTTCATCTTGTTCAGTGAAGGTGCCACCAATTCCAGATTTCTTGTTGATTGCTTGAGCCACACCAACAACCTAGTGTGTTCAAAATGGAGCAATTAGGAGTCTGTCATCAGCTTGTATTTCTAGGCATATGTACAGAAGATAATAAGTGATCGTTACAGGTATTTGTTTGGTTGACTATTAAATCGAATTGTTAATATAATAAATGTTTCCCACCTTAGCCTTTCTGTATGTTTCCCTTCCTTTTGAGACTTTGCAAAGTGTTATTAATCTGACATAAAGTATAGGCAAAGCTTTTAAATTTTTTCAGGTTTTTTGGCATGATTACAACAAGTGATAGGAAAACTGCAAAGAACTTCCTTTGTTTGAGTCCAAGTAGTGTAAAACCAACGCAAGGTGTTAATGATGGTATTTTTTCATCTCGCTTTTTTGGGGATAAACAATAGCGGAAGAAAACTGTTTAAATGGTGTTTAAATGTTGAAAAAGTTAACTATTAATCATTACATTTGTAACTGCTAAACTGATGGAAGGCATGTGGGTTTATTTTTGTAATGGAAAAGAAGGCAATTTACTATCTCTCAGCCTCGCATTCCCAAAATACTGATGTTACAAGCAAGGTCATTGTTCTGCAGGATGAATCGTTGCCAACTGTGGGCTCAAAAATGTCTGTCTGAAATAAAGCTGAACTGTCAACTCCCTTCCACACAACCCAGCTTTTCCCACAGTCACCCTCTCATTCACTTCAGGGAGGAATATTTGTTATCCAGTGAACTTCCTTTTTGTAGTAACAATTTACCACTAGTCTTATCTACTTCCATGGCAGACTTTGAATGAAAGCAAATCCTTTAAGCAGTCAATATGCTTTTATTTTAACCTACACGTGCAGAGATTAATGGTGACACCTTTTCTCATACCACTGTCTTCTCTGGGTATTGATTTAATTTATTTTATTTTATTTCAGTTTTGATCCAGCATAAGCTAAGACAACTTGAATAAGGCCAGAGGCTTTTCAAGGCATCCAGAAGGTGAGTGCTTTCATCTTGTGTAAATACATCCCCTCCACGAAAGCAAAGTCTGTGGTGCCTAAAAAAGCTATAAGAAAACAGTAAAAGGACCATATTTATATGGAAAAAAAAAAGAACTATTTAGGCTCCTTTTATCAGCACTGCAGGCTTATGATACATGAACAAAGGCAGGTGTTCTAAGAGCAGTGGTCGGTTTTAGAGCTTTGTAAAGGTCTTTCAATAAAAGGTTTTAACTGAGGAGGGAAGGAGAAATGAGAATAAACCTACTAAAAAGTCATGGTTGACTTGATTATGATAAAAAAATGTGCAAGCGCAAATCTTTTTCTTTGCTGTTGCTGTTTCAGTGGCGTTCTAAGCTTTTAGACAACTTTGTAGTGTGTGCATTTTTTTTTCATACAAAACGAACAGTTTTAAAAATTAAACTGGTCCACATTGTGGCCTCATTTATATCAGTACAAATTTCAGTGCTTCTCTACATTCTGTAGGATATGGTGTAGAGACAGTAATGAGAAAAACCTCAGATGGATATTTTTTAGCCATTGGAGTCTTGCCTGCAACCAGGTAATTAGGAGAAGATGTAGGGAACTCAAGAGGATCTGTTCCTGTTACTAAAGTAATTTTGTAATTAGGACAAAAGTAAATCATGTAGCAACATTTTAGGCCATAGAGAACATATGCCTGCATTTCAGAGAATACTAAGCACAGTATGAAACCCAAATCTTCATTTTTAAAACTTATTACAAACAAATCAGCAATAACAATAGGCCTGACCAGTGATCTCCAGCTGGGAGTTATGTTTGCACCAGCAGAAAAACTGAATCCAAGGTGACTCTGAGCTCAGCTGCACAGGAAACTTTCTCAGATAACAGGTACATACAAAGCGTGAAATGTTTGAGGCAATAAACAAGAGAAATCTGAGATAAAGCTTGGAGAATATTGGGAAAATATAACAGGTGAGTCATGTAGCAATAAAGCAAAGATGTGTATGTTTGATTCCTTGTCATTCTCCTACTGCAGCTCCAGAATTAGCCTGTATATTTGTTGGTCACACAAGGCAAAACTAATAGGAAAGAAAGGGGTTAAAAATATTCTTGCTGGCAGGACAAGTGATATTCCAGGGCTCTACTTGTCCTCTAGCCTTTCTTCTCTATCTACTTTTGCCATGTAAGAAATCCTGATCCACATTACAAGAAGACATTTCTTCTAATTCTTAGAGAACATTATTTTTACTATTTTCTTGCCATAGCTGAGCTCTGCCTCTAAAAGTAGCAGCCTACCTAGAGTGTTTCCCAGTAGGTGATGATTGATGACTGTGCTCTGGATTTTATCTCGATTGTTTCATGCTGCAGGTTTTTGCACATTAGGATTACAGGTGTAACTCTGGAAAAGCTCTTCCAGCTCTACAGGCCACTGGTGTCCTTTTTAGTTGGTTCTTACTTCAGCTGACTCAAAAATACAATTAATTTTGCTTCCTAGGAAGATATATTTTTGATTTGCTTTTGCTGGCACCTGAAGAAAAATTACATTAAGCCAAAGAATGGTAACAGAAAGAGGGGAACTCAACTTTTATCTCATTTTCAACAAGAGAACATACCCACTTCAGGAGACAGACTAAGTGGTGTTAACCTTACTTCGCTCTCCTGGTCTTGTAGAGCTTTGATTCAGGCTTATAAAATTATCCTGCAGGGACAGAACTGTATTTACAGACTTCCATTTTTAATAAACAAAAATTTCACATCCTCTTCTCTCATTCATGCCAGCAGCAGACTGCGTGATTTCCAGCAGTCCAGTGAATGTAACACGTGTCTCAGCATAAGCTGAAAATCCACCCAAGAAGCAAATTACTGATCTCCATAATCCTGCAGCAAGACTGCTACTGGAACTTGGGGGAGTTTGTTTAAAGTCAGCTTGGCTGGAGCTCCTCTATTCTGCAGCAACTCTGATATCTGAAGTGTTCACTGAGGGAGAAAATGACTTCCCTGGCTGGCAGGAACATGCCTGCTCACGTTTTACACAACAAAATGCAACGGGATATTTTCAAAGGCTGTTGGAAACAGTAGCAAACAGGGCAAAGTGAACAACAAACTAAACAATTGCCAGAATAAAACATTTCCCTAGCCAATTACTGGGAAGTTCAGTCTTACTTAGAGCCTGGGAGAGAGGTCTCAGTTAATTCAGTTAAAAGTTCCATGTGAGAGAATCCTACTGAATTCAAACTGAATTTGAATTTAATGCAAATTACTATGCACAGCTGAATGAAAAAAACAAAACAGCAGTAACAGAAACTTGTGTGATTCCCGTAGATGTTCTGTGGCAGCTGTGGTGTCTCTGTGCATCAGAGACCTTCCATTCTCCAGATATTCCAAACCTGTCAGAGAGCTGTGCTGAGCCTGGGTCAACCCTGGATAACTCCACAGGTTGGATTAAGCCAAGGAATGGAATAAGGACTGCTACTCCCTGCTCAGTTCTGTCGAAATGGCTGTTTGTTGACAAGTGCCTACAAAACCAGGTGCAGACATCCGAGTTGATAGTTATTTGCCACAACCTCTGCAATCCTTTCTCTGGATCCCTGAATCCAAGCCCAGATGAAACCAGAAGACCTGTGCCACTGCATTTCCTGACTTTCCAGGAGCCCTAGAAGGGAAACCAGCACCATTTGGAGATTTTTCTCGTTGTTACTAGTTCCTGGGTCCTTTTCATGGGCTCTTTTGTGAATCAAACTGTTTGCTTTTCATCTGTGGAATTTCTTACTAGATGTTATTTTTAAATGAGGCTTTGGTTTCTCACATGCCTCATGGAAATATAGGCAAATGTGGAAAGCATCTACTGGAAAAATCTCCATACTTCAGCAGGCCCAGAGGATTTAATAATCAGCATGAGATTTTCTTCCTCTCAATTACTGACTCTTTTGTTTTTAAAAAAACAGTCCTAATACTAAACAAACAAACAGAAAGCCCCAGTTGCTTCTCTTTCTCAGTGCTTATTTTTGGATGACCTCCAGAATCATCTTTTGACTGTGGTTGCTGACATCCTGGGCTAAGGCAGCATTCAGTAGCCTCAATATTAATAGAGGGGCTTTGGGGATTTTTTTAATTTTACTTATTTATTTTTTAACAGGGAGGAGTCAGTATTCTGGCTTTGTTGTTCTGGGGATTTTTAAACAGACAAAGCAGCAGAATGCAAATGGAAAATTAAGGACTGATTAACTGACTCCAATGATCTCTCCAGAAACATGCCAGTCATTTGTTGTGGTGAGAAGGAGAAAAACCTTCTGGTACAGACTGTAAAAATCAGAAAAAAATTAAAATTGCAATCCTTTCCCATAAGAACTCTTAGAGTTTAGCACCTTCAAATTATTGCATATGAGTATAACACTCTCCTCAAACTTCAGGTTGGCTGAACTTTTCCAAATAAACAAATTCCTGCTTCATTTCCCCTTGCTGATGCACTTAGGAGTAGAAAGCTGGCCCAGGACACGGCCCATTGCAGGTTTATTCAGCCCCTAAGTCATGGTGCACTGGACACACAGACTGCAGCTCTTATTCCTTCCCCACCCACCAGCAGGACCTGGGGAGAAGTGGGCACTTCCATGCTCCCTGGCCAGTTCTGTTCCCATCTACATGGAGCACAGCATTTTTTGCCATCCAACAAAAAGAAAATGGGATGGCTTGGGTGAAAGTTAAAGCTTTGCATCAGCCTGACATGGACCACTGGTCCCTGACAGCTGTTCACACCACATCTGCTTTGCTCATCTACTGGCCCAGGGCCAGCAGTGGCTGCAGGGGAAGACTTTTAAGCAAGAGTAGGAAAGGATCAAGTGCTGTCCTTGGAAGAACTGAAAAAAAGAAAAAATTTAGGCCAAAATTAGTAGTACATGAAGAAAGGAAAAGCTGGCTGATCATCTGGGTCAGCTGCAGTAAGATTCAATAGACAAGTTAAATCAGGAGCTTAATCAATTTATTTAATGAAAGAAAGGTTCAGTGCAGTAAGAGCCAAGGTGAAAAACTCCGTAAGAGAAGTGAAAGATGGAAGAGCAAGAAGAAGAAGGTATGATGCCTTCAAACCAATCCTGGCAGCCTTTCTTTTTGGGAGTTTGAGCTTTCTGGAAGCAAACCATAAATGCTCTGAAAAATAAATGAATTGCAGGAGAGAAAAATCTCCACCTCAAAGCTCAGACACACTGTATAGAGAGCCTTACCCTTTGTGAGTATTCCTGGAACTGGTGATGTGGCTGAAGGCTCCTACAGTCAGGATCAAAGGAAACCCAAATGTACTTCACTGACAGTGACTCTTAATTGCAGTCTCAGTGCTCTGGGATAGACCAGGAAGTGTGCAGAGAACTTTAATGCTCACAGATACTTGGTGCAGGAAGCAGGACCAGAACTTCTAGAGTTAAATCCATATATTCTACTGCTGCATCTGGGATTAAACGCTGACAGTTCCCTTTGGCTTACATTACTGAACTGGATAAGATAAAATTAAAGTCCAAACAAACAAAAGCACTCTTTTTTTTTTAAAAAGGGGTAGTCTTATAGTGGAAGATAATGACTGGCAGCTAATAGAAGTTTAAAGCATCAGCGTGGTTGGAAACAGTATTACATGAAGTGATCCTAAGACTGCAACTTACCTCTTCCCTGTGATTCTTTATTGGCATACAGAGAATGCTCTGAGTCTTATACCCTGTGATCTGGTCAACTTCTGCATTGAATCTTGGATCCTGATACAAGAAAAAAATACAATTATTAGACTACTTGCTGAAAGATCACTTCTTTTTCTTCCTTGCTTTAAAGGTTAAGAAAAGCAGAATATTTGATTTAACTGTTACCCAGGATAACAAAGGTTCCATTACTAGGTAATAATTATATGAAGTTGCTATTCTCAGTGTGTTAAAACAAAAAGCCATGAAGACCAACAACAAAAAACCCCCACCCAAATGCTAGAAGAAGCCTTTTTTTGTACCTAGACCATCATTATCATGAACATGTTCACAGACCAACCATCCCTAATGGAGCTTTTATCATCAAGAAGAGGTTACAGAAATACACTGAAAGACACACGGCCACGGAGGAACGAAGTTTCATGAATGTGGTCAGTGGTTTTGCTTTTATCAGAGATTGCTTGTTTCATTTTTTCACCTCAATATTGTTACAAAACTCTGGTTCTTTCAGTCCCAGCGCCGTGTCTCTGTGCACACATGTATCTACAGCACAGGGATTATAACCAAAACCACAGGGTGGGCTTTGCACCTTCGCCAGTTTAAGTGAACACAGGTCCAAATGCAGGTACTAAAGTGGCAATATTTCAACAGCTGATCAGAAGGCACCTTCTTTTTTTGGAGAATTGCTCAGGAGAAGTTTCCTCGACTCACCTCGTAGGCGTTCTTGATGTTCAGAGGTTGGCCTATGGCTGCCACATGCCCCACAATGCCCTTGTTCCACTCCAGGCGGATGCAGTTGTTGGAAGCTTCTTCCAGGGTGGAGCCTTCTGCCACATCAAACAGCCTGCTGACGAGGAACTTCTCATTGGAGCTGTCCTCACAGACCAGGAACAGGGAATAGCGGTCCGCTGCTATCAGCTCGTGGATATGCAGGAAGATCTTATGGCAGAGCGCCGTGACATCCAAGTGACTGGAAATGTCTTTCACGAGTTCTAATAGTCTTGAGCACTGATCCCCTGCACTGGTCTCAATCCTTGGAGATGGCAGAGGCATCTGTTCCTTCTTTTCAGAGCCTGAGAGGAAGCTCACTGCTCCTACCGAGTCCGTGACAAAAATAGGCCTTAGGGGTCTGTCAAATTCCGAAGCAGAGATTTTCCTTGCCGGTGTCCCAGGGCTGGTGGTCTCGGCACAGGCAGGCTGGTGACAAGCACAGGATTCGCTCTGGGACTTGTTTCCCTCCTTGCAGACTGGGATGGTGTGAACTCTCTCAGCAAACCATGCATTAACCATTTCTCTGTCAAACAAAAATCCAAATACAGTGAGCGATGTGAACGGAAAACCCTCAGGCACTAACACATATTGGAAGCTGATGCTGCAAAGAGGAGAACTCGAAACCTTTTCACCCAGAGGACACTGATGCACCTTTAGGCTCCTCTGTATAAATACTTTCCAATTTTATGAAGCACTCAGCCCAGATTAAGCAGTAACATTTAATGCCCCATAAAAAAGAACCTATTTCTGCCTAAAGGAAATACCTGGGAAGGGCAGAAGGAGACCACTTAAGCTGCACCTTTCAGAATACAGATCAGAAGTTTATACCATCATTTTGTGCTTGAAAAGTTCTGGTCCTTCCCATTCCTAAGATCTGGATTTCTGTATAAAATGTATATACATTTGTATGAAGACAAAACCTTCTCCTTTAATTCTGTTTTTCAGACCATTTCTGACCTCTAAAAAGATAATTCTGAACTTTAATTCCCTCTGTCAATTCACCTGCCGTCCCTCCTATTTTTATGTCGCTGATCTTCTATTTTTAAGTTAACTTCCCCTGCTCTCCTAGTTAATGAAAAATGCTGGTTTGATTCAAAGCATAGAAGTTTTGCTTAAAAACTGTCATAAAGAAACATGAATGTTTCTATTTCAGCCCCCTTCAAAGTAATGAAAGGACAGGCTGTTTTCAAACATCTTTCCCATTTCCTTTCCTTGCAGATGAAACTCATTGTCTAACTTAACCCAAAATAACCCTAAAATTGTATTTTTTAAGAGTTCATCACCAATTAAAAAAATGTCACGCATCTCTAGTATTTAACTGTATTTCTCAAATTAATTAGCACTAGGAAGCCAACCCTAATAATGTCCTCACTAAATACAGCATGCCTTCAATTAGGCACAAGCACACACATGATCAATAACAGGAGGATACTTTTTCTTATCACCATAATATTTTCTTGTCCAAAATTGGGTTTGTTTGGTTGGGGTTTTGTTTGTGTTTTGTTTGGGCTGTTTTTTTTAAATGCAGGGCTTTTTATTTCGTTTGCTCAGTGCCGAGGATCCCTCACAGCACATGCCCTACTCTTACAAGTAACGATTTTTTTGCTGCATTACATAACATACAGGCCTGTGAACAGCAAAAATCCCTGTTAGAAGTCTGATCTTTTGGAAACCTTTCCTGGTGGTCATGTTTTAAATTTGGGATATTTTTTATTTGCTCAGCAGCCCACAGGAATTTTGAGAGTGGAGCTGAATGAAGCCATGGAGATGAGTCAGGTTAGTCACCCGCTGATCGGTTACATGCCCCAGTGTACTTCAAATATGAAAAGCACTGTACATGGCCCCTTTTTTTTCTCCTATTGGGGAGGTTTGAAAGAGTTTTCCAGATTTTGCAATCACATATCATTTGGAGACCTCAACTGCAGGCAAACATGCTATAAAAAATTGAATTATTAAAACTACCATTGACCTGTATTATAGCAGTGATACCTATTTTTTGTGGAGTTACCTCATCCAAATGCTTCTTGCAGTGAAGCAGCATGAAGAACAATTAATTTATTATTAGAACTTTAACAATATTACTTTACAGTACTTAAAGAGGATAAATGGGAGTCGTGACCGTGCATTACTGAAACGCATAATATGATTTGCATAGGACAATGTTATAGTTGCAAAAGCTGTTTCAGTGAGAGTCAAAATAACAGGCTGACATTTGGTAACATTTGGAATTTTCATTTATTGGACTGAATAAGAAAGAATAAAAATTTGGAATGAAAATGACCAAAAATATCCTTAAGGAAAATAAAAAGCTTAAGATGCAAAAAATTCGTAAGTAAATGCAGTACAACCTCTAAAATCAGTGCTGGTAATTCTTGTCATCCTGTGTGTTATATATGGGTTCTTTTTGTTTTACTCTGAATCTCCTCAAAAAAATAAATTACCTGGAAAATTTTAGCTTTTTCTAAACAAAATTATCATCTAGCACTAAGGTTCCAGAAAAGAACCTGAAAATGCCAGGTGGGTGGATTTAAACCTGAGACACAAGAAGGTAGGTGCAGAATAATCAGTAGTTTTAAAGAAGTGCCTTGACCTAGATTCACAATTGTACAATTGTTGGGTGAGAGCAATTTGCAGAGCAATCTGATTCACTGCTTATTTCCTCACGAGTAAAGGAGAATATAAAATGCTGTCATTTCACCTACTTCTGGTTTACACTGAATTTATATATGTGGACAAGTTGATACAAGATGCGAGGGCAGAGAAAGAACCTGGTACCCTTTGTGGACAAAGCAAAAGCTGAAGCAGAAGTTTGATTTATCAGTTGAAACCTGTCATTTTATTTATTCTGGAGTGTTGTATAATGATGTCCCCTGGCCTGTAGCAGTAGCAATCAGTATTCTGAATTCTAATACCTGTTCTCAAACTGTGGCCATGAAATTATTTAGTTTTTACCATTTTGCCTTTTTACTGTGTAAAGTAAGCTTTCATTTCTGTGTCTCGTGGAGGTTATCGAGGGATGTGGAACACAACTGTAAAACCTTTCACATGAAAGGAATTACATTTAGCAGGAACTGACTACTTGTTGGGTATCTGCACTATTTGTGAAGCGCTGCAGCGTTGAACAGAACTATATGTGGAGCTGCATAAATATGAGTAACTTATTCCTGTCCTTTAATGTCTCTTAGATGATGGTTCAGTAACTTGCCGACAAGGTGCGTGATTCTCAGAAAGCTCCTTAAGTTAACAACAACAGCAACAAATCCTTAACTAAACTGTTTAAAGCATGCTTTGCAACTTCAAACCATTTAAGCATTTTTATTTGGGCAACAGGAAAGCCATTCAAATTCACTGGAAAAAGAACAGTGTTCGCTGACCTTTACTGAATGCCTCTTCTAACAAGGAAACTATTTAGCTCCTTTTACTCACCCAGTTACACACACGGGTGGAAGAACTGGCATTTCTCATTAGCTGACGTATTCTAACTCTATTTAAAATCTATCAGACAAAGTCCTGACATGCATTTGCTTGTTGACACTCAATCCTATTTAACAATGCCTGACAAGAGGAGTATTATGACTACCACGAGTACTCTCACAGCACAGAATCGGCTCAGCAGATATCTGATACCAGACACTGAACCACAAGTGAGGTTACTGGAAATTAGTAACAAGTGCTAGGTAGGATTAAGATGTCGTTTTCTAAAGGACTATAGGAAGAAATAAACACTTGTGACTACTCTCTTCATATGAATAGTTTGCAGTAGGCATTGGCATTGTCAAGAGATGATTGTAAGTAGAAGAGCCTTGTTGTAGTTTAGAAGGTGCAGGAGCAGATTCTGACCTACAGTGATCCATGCAGACAGTTAAAATCAATGCAATGTCTCTATCCCAGCACAGCAACCACTGCCTGCTGAGGAGTTACAGCATCCATTCCTCATGACCTGGATGCATCCTTTACTGCAGTATGAGCCTTCACTCAGGAGAGCTGTGATTTATCCCAGAGTTCATAAACAGCAATAGTAAAATATGAAGTAACCATTTTTTAGTCACTCCTATCAGCCAAACCCAGTCTTTTCTCTATAAAGCACAGGACAGTAGTGACTGCTGAATTTGGCTGCTGGCTCCATCAGCAGGTGACAAAACTGGAGAGGAATTTTGGAGAGATGGGGATGAGAAGGGGATGAAAATACGGTGGCAGGCAAAACATTTGAAGGAAAAAAGAAAAAAAGATTGCGTGATCCTCCCCTCTCTCATCGCCTATATACAAATACACATCATCTGCAGTACATGAGGACTTGGGAACTTCAGAGGAATTCTTTGGCCCTGATTTGTTAAATGCTGTATAGAAAGTCCTATAAAGCAAGAAGTTTTCAATATGAATAGGCAACAAAAATAGATCACTTGGTAAGAAAACACAGGCACAAGGATGTGACATGGCTTGAGCCAGGTCATGCAGGAGGGCACAAGCAGAGCTGAAGACACCCTCAGGTCTAAGACCTGAGGAGAACCTTGCTGTATGTCCTGTGCCTGTGTGTTAAACCATGCTGACACAACACTAATCACTATTCTATTCATACACTGGGAATATTAAATAATTTACTGTACCCGCCTTTGCTTCATTGTGATTATCTTCAAAATACACAGCAGACTTCTCATAAAAAAAACCAACCCAGTGAAGATGTTTAAATATTAACAGCCAGATTATGATTGTCTTGCTCACAATCATAACCACACTGCATATGTAAGACAGTACCAACATGACCATTCAGCAACTGTTTAGTATCTTTGGACAAAATGGGCAAAAACCAGAATGCAAAACTAATACCAAGATGCAACAATGACAGTAAACTGCATCTTGCTTGTCTTGCATAAAGAATGCTTAATAATCACAGTACCATAACAGAACCGAGTAGCTTTCAGTGAAACAACTAATAATTCCCCATTTTCTCTATTGCTCATAAATCTTTCATATATACCATGTTTAATGTTTCAATAGTTGAGTGGCCTGTTTGGTTAATTTTTCATTCAAACCAGCAGTTACTGATAACACACTTCAGGAGAAGGATTCCAAACTTGCCTGCTAGAAAATGCCAGCTTTCAAGTACTGAATTCCTGGGGCCTAATCGCGCTACTGTTGAAACCAACTATATTTCAAGCTAAGCTTCATAACTATTTTCTCAATTGCCTTCCTTAATATAACCACTAGATGTCTTCAAATTTCTCTCCCGCATCCTGGCATAATTTAAACACGGAGATCATTTAAAGCATTAGCAGTAACTCAAAAACTATTCAGTTTTAACAAATGAATTTGGAATTCAAAGCTACTAGGATATTACACTTGCCTTCCCACTTTCTATTTCACAGTCGTGTTCTAAGTGGGTTTGTCCCTTTTCTGGCCATGGAAAAGAGGCCTTGTTAGATGAAAAGAGCAAACTGACTGTAAAAGAAGTGTTTTTAAACTGACTAGAAGAGTAGCTTGACAAAAACAATAGTTGTTTTTCCTTAAACCCTTTCCTATTATAGTTAGTGGAGATGCCATTTCTCACAGTGGTAGGCGAGGAGTTTTTCAGGATGAGGTATGACTTAAAGCGAGTGCCAGTTTTAGCACTCAGTCCAATATATTAGCATACATTTAACATTAAGCATTTCAAGTGGCACAAATGACTTCTGTTGGAATACAGATCTAAATTAAGGACTCTAACTCTTGGTTCAAACCATGCTCATAAAAGACTGAAACAACTTTTCAGAACTATGAAATTTCAATCTTGTCTGAATGCATATTTTTAAAAATAGGAGCCAGAGGTTGCTTTATTATCTGTAACAAAAGTATTCAAAGTGGAGAACTAACTCTAACTGGCTGTTCTTGGCTATTTTCAAGTTTTCTTTAACAACTAAACTTCAAGCTTAGCTTTTCTCCACAGAAGGGACTTTCTAGTCACACTATAAAGGAAGACAGAATAAATCCTCTGGGACTAAAGGTCAGATTCTAAGACCTGACCTTTATTCCTTGGTCCAAACTCGAAATTTTAAAAATAATTATGTACATAATGATTTTATTGTGGAAAGCCACAGGACAATACCAGTAATTTTGGTGAAAGATGGATTAAGACTTAAGTTCACACCTACCTGGAGACCTCAGGCCCACTAAATTCCTAAAACAGGGATTTAGTAGGACTTAAGTGGTGCAGAGGCTTAAGGATGGCTCTCTGTGCTGGGATGAGTTCACCATAACGCACAAATAAATGGGAAAATATACATCTTTTACTAAGCAAATATATTTAGTGGCTGTATTTTCAGTGCCAGACCTGATGTGAAATTACAACCATTGAGTTCTCCACAAGGGCCGTTTGAGGAGGGCTTCTTTTCTGGCACTTCATAAATAGCTCATTTTGTATTTAATACCCTTCTTTTTATATTGTTTTCTTCAAGCCAATCATATAAATGAGAAAGCATTCCATGTAAATTTATGTATGTTTCTTTGCCAGTGAGGAAGAGAATTACTTTTATACTGCGGTTTTGTTAACTGTATTTTTTCATGGCAGAAGGAAAATGCTTCCACTTTAACAGTGAAAATGAAAACAGGTGGTAAAATATTAGTTCAAGTCAGGAATGTATTGCCTGGAATTCCTTCGTTTGTAATCCTTGATCTCAGCCATATATTCCCACACAATTCAGCTTTAATCTTGCACTCAAATAAGCATAAACATAGGCTTTATTGGGTCTGAAGACATCACAGGTGATGTATCATGAATATAATATGATAGCAAAGTTACCCCA